AGGCTTTGAGTTCTTGTTAGTATTTTGCTCATATGGTGAATAGTAATATGTTTCAGCTTGCATGTCTGTGTGACTCGTGTTAGTTAGTAGAGGACCCTTTGACTTGGCTACCCTTCTAAAATCAAAATGTTCAAGGCCTTAGCCTCAATATTCACTTAGTGAGACAGGAGCTGACAAACATAAATATTTTTTTGACGCAGGAAAGCATGAAAGCATGTTCGATGCCGTTAAAATGAATATGTATTATTAGTGTAAGAACTCATGAAAATTATTCGGGGAGCAAAAGTGATGATCCCAATGAATATTTACACATGAATCCAAAGCCGCTTTAACCCCCCTTTCATCACAGAACAGCTAGAGTTGAGTGAACAGTTTAAACTGGTAAAGATTTAACGTAGGATTCTTCAAGTAACCGCCTATTGAACAAATATTTTGTCTGAGCCCTCACAAAGGAGCTCCAGACTCAGACTTTACCAGAAAATAAGTGTACTTCAATTTAACTCAGTTAGATTTTCTACTAAGAGGCTTGTAGAGAATTTTTTATTGTTTGACTCTTTGAGTCTAGACTTTGACATCTGAATTTGATACCACAGTGAAACTAATGGGCATGCTATTTTACTTTCTGTTGCCATTTTTGGAAAATGTCATTCAAAATATGTTTGCAGCACAATCACAGGGATCAGTTTCTGTCAACATGGTCAAATGGTCTGTCTGCTTGTTGGCCAATTTCCGTCTGTTTGTACTTTGTCACCTTTTTCTCTGTTTGTGGAATGCATTTATATAGATATGATCAGAAACATGATCATATGTTAAGCGGAGGAGATGGACCGTGAAGAGAATGTTAAGTGACCTTAATGGGAGGATCTGTATTCCTCTCCCATAGTAAACCAAAAAACACATTTTTGGCTATGGATGCCTTTAGGTTGAGTTTGAAATTCATTGATACAATATTTGCATGAGTTGCTAATGTTTTTTTTCTTGCAAAACTCAACCCCCCCCCCAAATGATTTAGTTTAATGGTTTCATCAATATGCCAATACCATACATTCATGGTGTTTACTAAATCACATCATTGAAGGTTTGTGTGTTTTGTAATCAGTTCTTCGTTTAATTTCAGAGGACAGATATTGCAAAAAAAAAGATTGAAAGAACACTTTTGAGAGTACCTAACCAAAAAGCAAAGCCAAACCATCTTTTCCTGTTGCCGATGCGAATTGAATCACTTTGTTAAATGCGAAAATGTTTTGTAAGTTTTTGGTCGGTTACCTTCTACAACTGTAAAAAGAAAATGACTGAACTTGATACAAGCATGATGCTACATTGGGGCTATGTTTATAGTTTGCTAGTGCTGCTCTGGTCAATGAATCATAGGCCTTAATGCAAAATTTCTAATCCGAAACAACAAGTAATAGTTTTCCTAATTTTGTGCAACACAACACATTTAGAATATGTGCCAAGCAGTATACCAGAGTACACACAGAGCTACTTCCTGCTCTCGTGGGAGAGAAACAGAAATGTTGTCACTAAAGTGAAGTGTATGAAGAGTTATAAGGATGTAATAAAGTATTTGAGACTATGGAGCATTGTGGAAGTGGTGGAAAATAATGTATTACTAGGTGATCAATGCAGTATGTTGAAGCTGAATCCAGATGTTTGGGTCTTCAACACAAAGATTTTAATTGACTTATGCAGCTTTCTCAAATTTGTTTGCCTGGCTTTTCATTCAGGCCTGTTTGCTGTTGTAGTGAGAGGCAGGTCAGCAGTAAAATAAATATGGAGAGTGGGCTTATTTGCTGCTGCTTTGAGAGTTTGTAGGCCATGTTGACAGACCCTGATTGCCTGCCAAACGTCTCATCTGACTGACATGGAACTTTGTTGCGCTCTCCCAAAAGCGCAGCAGACCACATTTGATTAAAAAGGTAACTAGAAGTGCTTCCCAACAGAACACTGACACAAAACAGAGCCAGTTTGCTTCGAGCAGATAAAATTAATGGGAAAATATGATTACCACAGACACCGCTTCTACCCTGATTCCACAAATAACAGTGAGGCAAGTCAATTTGCCTTAATTTTATTGGAGGAGAAGGCCCGCCTGCCAGGTTTAAGTCACTGCTCAATGCGAATAAGAGCTTGTTAGACAATAATGGATCCGTGAAATTAGTAAAAAAAAAAAAAGATCCTATCAGTGAAAAATTTTCTGTTTCATTAATCAATGGTCAGAAAAAAAGGTTACCTAGCCATTTGTAGATTGAGTAAAATATCTTTTGGAATATCAAAAGGAGAATAATGGGTAATTGTGGGAAACCACTGGGGTGAGAGATTTGGCTCTAAGGTTTGAGGATGCATCCTAATTTTCCTAATGTCCCTTTACCTTTAATCATATGGACCAAATGTGTGTTTTTGCTATGTGTGTACTTTTTAGTTGGCAACCTTAATGCATCATTGGCTGGCTGCACACCAGCTCCCCCCCTCACTCTTATGATTAAACACTGGAAAGCATGCTTCCATGGGCATGCAAAAGCACACTGATACAGACACTTTAGAGCTGCAAGTGCTTTCTCATCTCGCCGCATGGGGAGGAAAGGTTGGGAGCCATTTGTTACATTTTTTTCAGTGCACTTATTACTTTGAGTGCATCATCAACAGCTCCTATTTTTGTTGCCCCCTCCCTGTCTATCTGTGCAAGGACATCTTTCTAATTTATTTGTGACAACAACAGAACAAGAGCATGACTCATCCAAGATAAGGCTGATGAAGAGTTAGAGTCTTAGGGGCCCAAAAATGACAGCAGTGCAGACAGTTCCACAGAGGAAGGTCTACTAGTAGTTCAAATGAAGGAAAAGCCCCTAATCATTTCCAATCAGCTGCTGCTCCTGCATGACTAATGCTGAAATGACATATATCACTGTCAGATAGGGCATGTTCACACAGCTGTTTCTTTTTTTCCCTCTCAAACAAAGACACACAATGACAGCCTCCAACACGCACACGCTCGTCTGCACACTAGCTCACTCTTATCTCGCTGGCTGACACCATTTTGCTCTCTAACAATCTTGCTAATTATAATTGTTAATTAATTCTCTGCCAGTGTCCTCATCAGGAGACTAATAACCTACATTTCCATTAATTAGACCTTCAACCCTTCGCTCCCTCTCTCCGTCTCTGTGTCCCTCACCAATCCACCCCTTCACACCCTGCCTGCCCACCGCTCTGCTCGTCTCGTAGGATCATACAAAGACCACGTGCACACATGGGCCGCCGTTGATTGTGAGTGTGTGGACTTGCATAACTGACATTGAAAGGACGAACCTTAGTTCACAGTCATTCTGAGAGGACTCAAGTCCAATTTGGTAGCAAAACTAATGTTTTTAAGGCTGAAAGAACGGTTGATGGTTTTTACTTATATTATGCTTTTTTTTTGTTTTATCTAAGATAGTTTTTAGTGAGTGTTGAGTTTATTTGAAGGTGTAATAGGAATCTGACTGCATTATGCTCAGTTACACTGATCAAAATCTGCTTGCACTATGGCATCAGCTCTAATGTGGACAAAAGTGGCCCAACTTAAAAACAATTTGGTACCTTGCTTCTAGAAAACAGCCGGTTATGTTTTTGCTGAACAAAGCTGATACATTTGCTTGCTTCAGCTCTTCTTTAACATTTTCCACTCGGGAGCACATTTACAGTACAAGTGAAACAAATATCAACTGTCTTTTTTTTTTGTCTCTGTCAGTTTATGCAAATCACTAAAGCAGTTGTGCTCAAACCTTTTAAAGCAAGCCCCAACACCCCAAAAGAAAGAAAAAGTTTACACACTCCTATCAAAAGTTCATTCAAATCATCAATATTTAGAGTTTAGATAACAATTCTAGATGTTAATAGTGATCACGTTGGTGTAATGCATTCATTCACCCGCACATCCATTCAGTGTGAAAACCCTGCTGCTCTATAAACAACAAAAAATGTAAGAAACAGGAACTACTCATGCTACAAGTATTGTTTGATATCCATGTTCTCCTGATATGGAACAATTCAAAAGATAGTCAGGGTTTTCACTCAAATCATACGTGGGCTCGTCATTGTTAGTGTTTGCACAGTGTTCTCCTTTATGATCAATGGAAAACATTCTCCCATTTCTCATGGAGACTACCCTTCCCATCAGGCTTAGCTGACCTGGTTTCAGAGTGGAGTGGAGCAGTGTTCTCATGTCGCTACTTGCTCTGCTCTCAGACCATGGAAATGGCCCACACATCCTGTAATCCCACTTTTGCGGAACAGATCCACGGAGCTGTTGATTTTACAGGCCTGTTGATCTGTTGGCCATTCGGATCTGCAAACTTGCGTATATTTGGAGGCTTAGCTGTGCTTCACTGACCATTTTTTGGACTCTCATACACTAAAGTTCTCTGCTCTTTCCTTTCCCGTTGAGCCCTCTCCATTCACCCCCTGTCTGGCCCAAGAGGAAACGGGCGAGGGTTGGCACTTGCATGTCCATACTGTACTGATTGTGGCAAAATGGCAGCTTCTGTCTCATCCGTCCTCCTTCCTCTACCTCCCTAACCCTCTCCTGAGAGAAGTAACCCAGATTTCAAAATGAATCGCTGCCTATTCCCCTCAATCTCTATCCCTCTCTCTCTCTCTCTCTCTCCCTCTCTCTCTCTCTCTCTCTCTCTCTCTTCTTCTTCTATTTTTTCCTCCCTCTTTCTCTCGGCATCTTCCATCCTCTTCCTCGTAAAAACAGAATCTTGGAAAGAGAATACCACCTCACTATCTCATCCTCCTCCTCACCCTGCCTGTGGGTTAACGGATATATACCACTTCACTCTATCTTTGGTTCTTAGAAAGCTTGAATCTCTCAAATTCTTTGTTTGGTGCGTTCGAGTCTCAAAGTTTGTCGTTTTTTTTATTTTTTATTCCTGGGCGCTGAGGTTTTTATATTTCCTAGCTACTGCTTGTCTTGGTTTCTCTGTTTTTTGTTCTTGTTCTCTTTTTGAGGTAACCAGCTACAGGTGGGACACCTTTGCTTTTCTTTGGAACTGAGTTAGACGACAAGAGGAAGAGGGGAAGGCTGTCTTTTGGTCGGGACTTTCCTCCAAATTTACCACATATTCAGGTACTTGGGTCTTTGTCTTCTTTCCTATATGGTTATTGCCAAGTTTTTGGAAAATGTCATTCTTGTTATTATTTGACATTTGTTTTTTTTTCCTTCCGCTCTCCTCTTTCTTATGTAGTATAATTTATCTGGTTTGTTTGCTGAGGGACCATCCTCTAACCACTTTAGTTTTTCTACCATCCGTTTTTATTATTGGGTTTTTGATTTATTAATCAAATCTCTTTTGGTGTATCAGTTCTAATTTAGTTTAGTGTCATTCTTGAACACAGACTCTCCTGTTTATGGTTGCTATTTTGCGCTTTTCATGTTAAATCTCAGTCCCTACAGACACCTACGTGTTATTCTGGTCCAAACTTTTCTGCAGAAATAGGACTAATCGCTAATAAGGGCAGGCAGGAAGATGTGAGAGGGTGCGGGCTCTAATACTGGAGCAGCTGGTGGGGGTGTTGTTGACGTGGCAACAGGAGGTAGTTGACATAACTACCGGGGGATGGGTGGGGGTAGTCATAGCTGGCAGGGAGATGGAGATATAAGGGGTATGGATAGGGGAGATGGAGGCAGGACGGACAGGCGGTATGTGGGACACAGGGAGTAGCTTTAATGGTTTAGTGTCTCAAGTCTCTTAGGAGACGTCTATCTCTGTATGTAAATTAACCTTCCTGTCTCCTTCATTATACCTCCCGTTTCTCTTTTCCTTCTTTCTACCTGTCGCTTTCCCTTTGCTTCTTCCATCTCCTTCTGAACCCCTGGTCCATTCATCTTTTATGATTATTCTCTTCATCATGTCGCTCATTTGCGGCAACCTATGCCGTGTTTCATGTGCTGTGAATACAACTCCCGTATCCCCCGTGACCCATTAAACTTTCTGTCCAATGTCCTTATGCTCCTCCTCCTTGTTCTTGCCATGTCCCCGCTCTCTCCTATGTTCAAGGTCTTTCGCCTGTAAGACCTCCTTCACCTGCCATCCACTCCCCCCCTCTCCCTCCTCTCACCAAACTGTGCTACAGCCATCATGTCCACCCCAGTCTCCCCTCCCCCTTCCCTCTCTCCATTGACTCTGGCCTCCCCTACTTCTGCAAACTCCCCCGGGGGCTCCTCTCTGCCGTCACCCCTCTCCCCTCCACCCAGGGTGCCCGTTTTTCAGAGGAAGGGAGCACTCAAACACAAGAGGATTGTCGAGGTGAAAGACCATCAGTTCACAGCACGCTTCTTCAAGCAGCCCACCTTCTGCAGCCACTGCACTGACTTCATATGGTAACATTCACACACACACACACACACACACACACTCCCTGCTCACTGCTGCACACGCACACAAAAACCACCCCGGCAGTTCACGCGCCGCCTCCTCAGGCATCCCACCACTCCATCCAGTGATTACTTTCACCATACTTGTTTCTCTCTTTTACCAATTCCAGCTGCCTGCTGGAGATTCTGCCTACACTGACCCGAAGTGATCACATAACCCCATCTCCACACTGCTGCCCACACAATACGGAAGTTACTTTAGAAACTCCATGTGCTGTCTAATGCATGCAGATACACAACTTGTGATGCGCATAAGCTAAAATGTTGGGCCACGTTATTCCTGAAGGTTTGCGCACGGTGACGACGCACATATAAAAAGACTGGGTCAGGGATGGAGAAGCTATTGAGCAGAGAGAGGAAAAAAGATGAAACTAAAATGAATGAAAAGATTTTCGCTTTCAATAAATTATAAAGTCAGGCGTAGCAGAAGGTTTGTATGGACAGTTGAAATTTAGTTTTCCATTTAAAGAAGTACCACTGTGAAGTAGTCAGGATATTTTTAAACAAAACATCAACGCTATTATGTTTATTCAAAAACCATCATGAGAAAAGCTTGAACCTCTTGTAGACTTTCGAGCATCTTTTCTAGATTAAAAACCTATCATTTGATCCAAAAAAATACCGTCAGCCTTGAGAGGTTCTTGTCTTGGTGCATATTTTGTGATTTTCCTGCGTCTTTATGTCAGTGTTTAACATAATTTAGCACATTTGGAACCTCAGCTGAGGTGGTTGAAAAAACTGTTTTATATGAGTTATGAGGAACTACAGATCATTGGTCATGCTTCAATGCACCATGTCATGTTTGTCTCCAGAGTTAGGAATTAGGAATTTGAAAAACTAACTTATGAGAAGTAATCATCAATCAAGTAAGGAATCAGGGAAAATGTACAGTTCACCACACTGACAAAAAACATGTCTTGAACAGAAATGTGTTGTCAGCCTGCACAGTCCAGTGAAAAGCCATTGTGTCTGGAAATGGTTGTGAGTTTGAACATATGGTAGGGAAGTACCATATGCCGGTTGCAGTGTGCTGGTTTTTGCCAGCAGCCTCCGGGTATCTTTCAGGACATTTTCCCAACTGGCTACTGTCTTGGCGGTGGTAGCAGCACTTCATTCAAGATGAACATTTTTGTCCTTCACTCAAGATGTCAGATTACCATCTTTCACTTGGGTGTGTGAGGCCCCTGTGACATTGTCAGATTAATCAAAGTTTAAGAAGAGACGGTTCTAACTTATGAATAAACGTATGTTGCATAGTAAGTTAAGGTCTAAGGTCTATCATGGTTCTTTCTGTTGGACAAAACAAATCTTAGCTTTAACGACTGATATCCAGTTCTAATTTGATAAGTGAGACAGAGAGAATAATAAAAACAATAAAGAATGAACCAAATAAGTTTTTCTCTTTTTAATGTAAAACCATATATACACTCAAGTACAGGCACACTGTATTGTAAGATAACTCTATTAGTGTTTTGTTAATTCTTTCTAAGTTTATTAATCTATGTTACAGAGGTAAATATACTTCTGTGATGACAGTTTTAGTTTAGTTTCAAGATCCTACACAATAGGAAATTATTGTACACAAAACACAAAGAATTGTATGTATTTGTAAGCAATAATAAATATAAATACGTTGTTGTATACCACACAAAAGTTTCTCCTCTGTAACAGAGAACAAGCTAAATTCCACTCATTAGTGGACATGCATTATCAGTTATATTAGACTAGATGCCAGTGGGGGCGGCAGTGGTTAGCACTGTTGCCTTCCAGCAAGAGGTTTGGTTAGCAGCGCTTTATCATCATTGTTGGTAAAGCTCCCATAAAATGGTTACTACAGACGCAGGTGTTGGTTGGGATCCTCACCTTTCCATCCAATGAGGGTTACTCAAAATGTGAGGAGACCTGTTGCTCACTTTCATTCATGATTTGACCCTTTAATTTATTTCAACAAATCAATTCTTCGTCATTTAGGGAACACTATACTGGTTAGCGTGTTGAAATAGGAGCAGCATCTATTGTACTGTTATCTGTGCTTACCTTTTCTGTTTTTTGCCTGACCTGCTATAGTTCATCTTAGCCGAAAATTAAGGATGGTCAAATTCCTGAAAAAAACAGAGAATAGAAAAAAACATAAAGGAAATGAATTCCTACACTGGACTGAATTAATAACTCCAGTAAATTTGATGTACTCAGATTTCATGGCCAACTGTAATTGTGGTTAGAGTGAGTAGTGTGATTTAGGATTTGTGTTGACTTTTTCAAGTCCAAGGAAACAAATACACAGTGCTCCGATCTTTTTAAATTCTGCTTGAAATAGGTGGTGTTGCATAAAACTCAGGCTCCCAGCCTGATCTGGTCTCTTTTATTGCCTCGTTTGATTAACTTAGACAATTATAGCACTTTCAAATACTTTTAGCTTGGAGTTCATCTCATGGAACCCCTGTTGTGACAGTAAGAAATTGATTTAATCTTAGAGCTTGTTCATTTTCAGTGTCATATATCATTTTGTGATGCAGAATAGAGTTGGACAGCTAGAGGATTTTACAGACTTTTCTTACAGTATGTTCATTAAAAAAATATGTCAATATTGTGGTGTTTTGTACAAAAGAGAGCCTCTTTGCAGGTGGGATCAATTGTGGCACACAAACAAACACAGTAGCCTAAAATTAAATACTCATCAACTTCCCATCTTCGATTTGAGTCAGGAGGGTTTGTGGTTTTGTAAATTCTGGCATCAGTAGAAGACGGATTGTGCAAACCAAAGGCAGCAGCATAGTTCCAGAGCCTGTGGCTGCTGGCCAGATGCACAGAGCTAGCTAGTTCAATGCTAAAATGCAATAATGTTAATAAAAACACATTGTGGAGGCAGGTTGGCTTGCATTAAAAAGTGTAAATGTTTTTAAATCCTACAAAATCAGCTCTGTTAATTTCACTTTACAGAGATCTTAATCAAACGAGCTTGATAAAACATCGTGTTCTGGTAATTTTTCAACGAGCAGAACAGAAAGTATCAGTAATTTAATCAATTGACTGAGAATCGGCATTTATTGTGATACAAGTTTCAAACACTTGTGTCAACATTTCATAATGTCTCTACAGTTCTGACAAAACAAAAACAGTCAGTTTAATAACAGAGAGAAAAATGACTAATACTCATTGATAATTCATCTCTTTATCGATGGCAGATAAATGTGAAACACAACTGGTGCCACAACAGTCACCACACTGCTGATATATAATGTTACCTAGATGAACAGTCATAACAGTCTTTTCTCTGAGAAATACCTTCACTAGATAACATTTTAAGTGCTGTCCTTTTGCTTGAAATGCAGTACTTCAATACTGTACATTGCCACTTTTATCTGTGGTGCAAAATTGGTCATTAAGAGGATTTATTTTTCTCAGAGGAGGTGAAATATGATTTTTATTAACTTCTGGTTTACATCCTCGACTTTATTGACCATTTTCTACATTGAAGAACTTAAGCTGTTATAAATGTAAACCAATAAATCACATTTTTCATGTAAATTCGTCTTGCAGAACATTTTTTTCTTTGGCCATAAAGCCATGTGGTGAGTTCTCTCTAAATCCATATCTGGTTGTATAATGCTCTCTGCTGGTCAGAAAGCAGAACTGGCTTTTTACACTCTGCAGATCCAGACTTCTGTTGAATGCTGATGAAGGATCAGATTATCCTCTGCAGTCACTTCTTTAATTATTACTTAGCCAGATGGTGAACTGACTGTAGATCAGGGATTATGGTCAGTTTCCTACAAACCCCTGGGCCTTTCCAGTATGATTGTAGAGCAGCGCTCAGCAGTGTCTTATTTGTCCGACTTTCTAAAGCTCCTACTCAAACTTAACTCAGAGTAGGCAAGGTGCTGAATGGACACTTTAGTCAATCAATTATTCAATTAAAGCTCTGAGGGGACACAGGAAACTAGCTAACACTGCATCTCTGGAAACAGAAGCATTGTGTTTCTGTGTGTGTGTGTGGATAGACTTAACCTGGTCAGATGTGTCACTTAAAGAACATCCAAACTTCACACAGAATGACTTTGTTTGTAAAGTATGGTTGTCCACCACAGTTAATGTTTTTCTTAGACTGGACAGAGTCTGTGCTTGCATGTCTCTTTTTCTCCATGCTGTTTGGAATGACTCAAATGCAAAAATATTTCACTTCGAACAGGAACAGTGAGGACTTTTTTTGTGCTTTCTTGATTCAGGGGCATCGGCAAGCAGGGATTCCAGTGTCAAGGTAGAGATAAACCTTGTATTATTCTCTTTCTCTGCAGTATTTAATCTTCTTGGACATGTTTTTATACCTAACAGATTCAATTCTGAGGATCTTTGTCTCTGTTTTTTTTTTTTTCTAGTTTGCAGTTTTGTGGTCCACAAAAGATGTCACGAGTTTGTGACCTTCATATGTCCGGGCTCGGTGGCGGCTCCCAGACCTGATGTGAGCACGTGTGTCAGTGTATCCGTTTAATAGAGTCTGTTTTGCCAGTATTTAAGCCGACGTCATCATTTTGTGACATATACATACTGCCACTGACACAGGTGTGTGTGACTCATCCGTTAATCCATCCGTCCTTCGCATCACACACCCTTGTATAATCTGTGACGTCTACACTCATGTCGTTCTTATCCTACGCTGCCTCAGTGATGCAGGGAGTTGTAGATAGGGGTTTGGGGAAATGCAGGTGGGGGGTGGGAGGGACAGATAAGAAAGAGAGCAACAGAGTGTTCAGCTCTTCTGTGTGGCATCTTAAGGATTTTAGAGAGATTTGTCGATCCCCTGTGTGTGTGTGTTCTTTTTTCCCCCCCTATGAGCGCCACTTTAAAAAGCTGCCTTAAAAATGTGAAACACGTGAATTTGCACATGAATGTGCCTGTGTGTTGAGGTAGAAAAAAGGATAAGATAGTGGAAGGAGCTCTCAGAGGAATGGAAGAGAAACCGGGCGACAGTGTTTTTAGAGAACGACTCAGAGCTATGAGCGAGGGAATACAGTTTGAAAGAGGGTGGTGTGCGAAGCGTGGCGGTGGGGTGGTCAGATGAGCTGAGGAGAGATAAAGAATGATTCATTCCTCTGTGTGTAGTATATGTACACTCACACAACTACAGCCTTGCCTTGATGCAGTGCATGCCCCTTCCCTGGTGGAGAAATCTAATTGGCTTGTCCATGGATACCCCACTCAACATCTCTTCACTAATCACACACTGCATGTATGAGTGGAGATGTGTGTGTGTTCAATCTCTTCTGTGGTGTGTTTGTGTTTTCTGTGTTGTTCCAGGACCTGAAGAGTCAACACACATTTAAGGTCCACACATACTCCAGCCCCACATTCTGTGACCACTGTGGCTCGCTGCTGTATGGCCTCATCCACCAGGGCATGAAATGTTCCAGTGAGTCTCGCCTCCCACAGTGCGGCAGAAGCAGAGTCCTGATAGCGCATTAAGCATGTTGCAGGGGCAAAAAGCAATTCATGTAGAAGACTCATTACTTGGCAAGCGCGCAGGTAGCCAACCAGGAAGCAGTTTGAAGATGATGGGTGCCCTGTTCAAGAGCTCCCAGGCTGCGCAAAGAGTAGCACGGGCCCACTGTTCACTGCACCAACACACATTATTTCTGCCACGCTGTCAGTGAAAAAGCGCTGATCTTTTGTTTCCAAGACCACGAAGAAAAACTAAACTCTCATCTAGGAGGAGGAAAGTAAACTAGCTCATGTTTCTCTTTAGAATAAAGAAACGGGTTTACACAATGATACATATCATATCGTGACATTGGCTGTTAAGCTGCCACACCATGTATAGTCTGTTTTATGGTGTAGGTGGATGTAAAAACAGCTTTTAAATTGTTGAAAGTTCTTGTTGCCAGACAAAGTAAGGTTATTTTTCTGCTTTAAGTATCAGTGCATGAAGAGCCTATGTGGCATAAAGGGAAGAGTTTTCTTTATTATTATTTATTTTACTGTCCAACATTCCCTGTTAGCTTCTTTTAACCTTCAAGCACTTAGCTTTTTGGGGATTTTCATTAGAAAAACACCCTAAATACATCATTTGTGTGATGAGGTTGTGACATGAACGTCCATCGGCGATGTGAGACCAGTGTCCCCAGTCTCTGTGGCCAGGATCACACAGAGAAGAGAGGGAGAATCCACCTGACCATCAGAGGAGACAAGGAGGACGTCTACGTTACAGGTTCAAGCTTCTGGGTTATGACAGGAGAGATGACATATTAGAAAAGTAAGCATTCTCCAAACGATAAAGGATTTTGCTTGATCAATTTCTTTTCCATTGTTTTGGTTTGTCCTCAGTGCGTGAGGCTCGGAACCTGATGCCAATGGATCCGAATGGCTTGTCAGACCCGTATGTAAAACTCAAACTGATCCCAGACCCGAAGAGCCACAGCAAACAGAAGACTAAAACCATCCGTTCAACACTCAATCCTGTCTGGAACGAGAGTTTCACTTTGTGAGTCCTCGTGCCATGTCGTCCTACTCGGAAGATTAACAGAGCTCGGCTAAAAAAATTAAAAAGAGAAAAATTGCTGTAAATCTTCGAAGTGATCAGATGGCATGTCATAATAAACCGGACTGTGATGTTTGCATGGTTTTGACGGTGTCTTTCGGCTGTGTTAATCTCTCCAGCTCTGTGCGCGGTCAGCAGTGGGACCGGCGTCTGTCTGTGGAGGTGTGGGACTGGGACCGGACATCCAGGAATGACTTCATGGGAGCGTTGTCATTTGGTGTCAGTGAGATCTTCAGGCGTCCCATATGCGGTTGGTTCAAGCTGCTGGCCCAGGATGAGGGAGAGTACTACAACATTCCTGTGCCAGATCCAGACCTGCAGGTGGGAGGCTGTCTGCTGTACCCGTAAAGTAATCCTTATGCTGGATATAAAGCAGCCGAGGGGAGGTTTATTCACTAGAGAGTAGAATTACATTTGATGTTTTAGCATACTAATGAGCATTTATCCTCAGGCCTTTATCGGCTCATAATTATCTGCATCTAATAAACAACAGCTGCCACTGCTAACACTGGGTCAGGGTCTTGAGCTGTCCCAATGTCTACGTTTCTATTTGAAAAAAAGGCTTGTAAGATTTATGTGGTTGTTGTGGCTAAATAATTGGGTAGTAAATTATGGTGAGTTCCCTCCCCCTTCTGATACAATCAGCTTCCAGCAGGGCACAGAATTGTTCTGCCTGACCAGGTTGCAAAACGGAGGGTGGGGGTGGGGGTGGGGGTGTACTGCCATTCATGTTTATTACCTGAGTTCATGCTGGAGCGCACCCATCCTTCATCCCAACCATCCCGTTATGAACCTCCAGGAACTTCAGCAGGATGCTACGACGCCCATCCTGCCCCAGGCGATACCCTCCCCGGTGCCCGAACCCTTCCCTGTGGCTCTGTCCCCAACCCCGATCCCCTCCTGCCCGCCCATCCACATACCGGGTCCCGGCACAGTCGTAATGGGCATCCATGACTTCAACTTCCTCATGGTGCTGGGCAAAGGCAGCTTTGGCAAGGTAAACACAGCAGCCTCGGAGAGGAAATGTCATCCTCTTTACACACAATCAGCACCTCTGGTCCAACGGCTGCACCGATATCAAAGGAGAGGTTCATTGCTGGAAAAAAAAACAAAGATTGATTCCTGGCTTTAAAGAATGACTTTGATAGTCTTGACCTTTAGGTGGCATTTCATCCTGCTGCTCCTGAGAACAGTAAAGCTGAATTTCATTGAAAATCCTCTTTTCTCCCAAACGTGCTCATTGTCTCTCCTCCTACTGCCGAATGATTCACTTAACCCTCAGACCCTTTTGTGTTGTCAGCAGTCGTGAGCTAAAGCTGGCTGGCTTCCTGCATGCCACCCGGGCAGTCCTCTTGGAGGTGTTCATTTCAAGGGAGACTTTGGCTCTCCATTTTCTCTTTAATTCCCCAGAAGATGAAGAATAATGAAGAGAGTGGAGTTTTGAGTCCTTTCTCCTCTTCTGAAATCCCCCTGTGTTGTTTCATAACTGTCAGAGGAGAGTCCACAGAGGACAGGAAAAATAGACTGGACTTATGTAAGATGTGAGAAAAAAAAAAGCGACCTAAGAAAGGAGACGCAGACCCTTGAGCTGCTGAGTGGGGAAAAGTAAGAAAGTGACAGACAGAAAAACAGAGGAGGATTACTGAGTGTCAGAAAGTGACAAAATGACCGAAAGGAAATGGGATTATATCACCAAAATGAGAAAAAGTGCGTGTTGCTAAGAGTCGTAACATTCTGCAGGCTGATGAATCCAATTTTCATTTGAGTTGGTTTGAAATCACAAGGCAGAGCTGGAGCCTCGATGGCAGAGGACGGCAGGGTTTCTCTGAGTGAATAGCAGCTCATCAGTGGCCCCACACACTAAAGGCAATCACCCAATTTTCGCTAAGAGCCCAGTTACATTGATTTATGAAATATGAAAAAGCATATTTTCTGTAGCATGCACCACTATTTGAAAATAAAATGAGATCTTTTATTTCCAGTTGCCTCTCATCATCACAGAAAATCAGTGCAGGATGGCAGGGTCATTTTGAGCTTTGCTGTTGCCAGCATTTTCCTGTCCTCCTCATGTCTTTCTCACTCAACTAAAACCTGTGACATGTGGATCTCGTTGTGGAAAATTATATAGCATCATTAGCAATCAGAGGTGCTTACTTGCAGCCAATTTCATATGAGTTGGGGAATGTACTTTTCAATCTATTTCAAATGTCAGATAATAGCATGAGCAACTTTGCTCCATAACATAAATTCATAACCTTTCTTTCTTCTACTTTTTAAATGTTTTTTGTTCTTATTTACTTTAATTTCCCCCTGCTGAATCAGTATTCCTGTGGTGTATTTTCTTTAACATATTTTCTATTGAGTATGTTAAAATCTTAAAACAGTGAAATGCTCCCTGTGCCCCTGATTGCAACACAAGCCAAAATCAAGCCCATGTTGCTTAACAGCTCAGGAGACTTTCTACTAATGAGATTCACAGCATTTTTTTCAAAAACGTTTTTTTTCAGACTTTTTGGGGCTTAAATATTATTTAGCATTCTCCAGCTGAAAGAGATTAAAGTCACATGAGTAAAATATTTCACTCTCAAAGCTTTTCAATAAAGACTGTATTCCCTACTGAGAGCATCACCACTCCTGAGACTTCCTGAGGGCCTTTTGGAGTTTTTTTCTTTACAGTTTTTAAAAAGAGAGTGGAGGTGGGGGATGATTAGATTTTTTAGTAATAAGCAGTCCTATGTGGGCTCTCTTGGAAAATTTACGTACCTCAATTTGACCTCCATCAATTCTGTTAGCTACCATTTTAAACAGCATTATGAACACCTCTGCAAAAACACGTTTCTTTATATCAGCCTTTTCATAATTTATGGGCAGGAATTCTTTTAACATTTACCAAGCAAGGCAAGCAATGGCTCCCGACATTTGGAACAAAGTCTGAGGAGTCTTTACAAAGACTGGCTTGGCCTTTACTAATGATGGATGTCAACAAGGTGAAAGCATTAACAACGTAATAGAAAAATAGTCCTGGGAAAAAGAGGTGCCCCCACTATTCAATGTTACCTTTTTGTTTTAAAATCTCTTTTTTTTTCCTTTAAAAAGTATTCAGACTTGGAGAAAATGTTCAAGTTTTCTTTTTTGTTCTTTTTTTTGGGGATATCGGCAAGTATTTTTGACTCCTTGTCAGAGGAACTCATATCCTTACTGTAACCGTGCCTTCTATTCTCACTAGCCTACAGAAACAATAAAAACTAGTTTTGGCCCAGCTGGATCACCTTGTCACTCATCACACAGTGACCTAAAAAACTTTCAGAACTGGCAGCATTGCGGTGGAGTACAGGCGGAGTTCTATCTGGGCTGACAGATGAAGCTTGAGTGAGAGATTTTCAACAGTGTCATGTATGGTTTCATTGTGTTACGAAGCAATGACAAGATAAAAAAAAGTGAATATAAATCTGCAAGTTCTTTTTCTGCGCTTTATTATCGTTCCATAAGACAGCTCCTGTAGTGCTCCTAAAAAACAAAAAAAAAAAGGATCTGTGCGGTTGGATGACAGCGTAGTTCCTTTATCGCTCTTGGGAGACATGTTTCCCGGGTAACTTTCTGCCTCCCCTCTGTTCTGCTGCAGGTGCTGCTGGCGGAGGAGCGAGGCAGCGAGCGCCTGTTTGCGGTGAAAGTGCTGAAAAAAGACGTTCTCTTCCAGGATGAGGACACGGAGAGCGCTTTGGTGGAAAGGAGGGTTCTGGCACTCGCCTCTCGCCCTCACTTCCTCACGTCCCTCTACTGCGCCTTCCAGACGGAGGTGTGTGTCGGTGTCCGTGCGCGGTAGATAACACGGGCCCTAAATGAACCACATCAGTTTCATTAAAATGTCCATAAACCCAGCTGACACTTTGGCTGCATAGTGCTCCCCGGAGCTGCTCCAGTCCAGGTTGGGTGAATTTGGTTTAATAAATTACATAATTAGCTTGCTTTCTTTAACAAGGTCCTCGTTCCTGAAGGAACGGGTTGTAACAGATTGCTTTTTAATTTGAACAAGAGTTGATTGAGTGTGAAGAACTTGTGTATGAGCGTGCTGTTTCTTCAGGACCGCCTGTATTATGTGATGGAATATGTCAACGGAGGAGACCTGATGTTTCACATTCAGCAAGTCGGGAAGTTCAAAGAGCCCCATGCAGCGTATGTCTATCTCTAATCGCCCCCTTTATCTACACCAGTCTCATTTCCTGCCTGTCTCTTATCCTACATTCCTTTAACACGCAAATTCATGTCGTGCCTTTGTTCATTATACCTGGCGAATCATAAAAAGTCATCAACTCAAGTACCAGCCTTCTTCTCTTTTTCAGAGTTTTCTCCTCCCATTAATCTCATTTTTTCATCAGATCTTCCCTCCCTGCAGCGGTTTATCCCATCAATAATCTTTGATCAATCATCTAAAAGAAATTCTTACCCTGTTTCTAATTTCCATTGCTTTTTCTTCATTTTCTTTCCTTTCATCTTCCTGGTTACTCCCCTCTTTCATCACCCTCACAAGCTCCCTCTCCTCTCATCATCCCGTTTTGGATTAGCTGAAAAACCTTGGCCAATTTTCTGACAGATAAAGCTACCAGCGGTGATCTTTTCCACCTCCACCTGTTCTCCCTCTCCAGGTTTTATGCAGCAGAGATAGCAGTTGGCCTCTTCTTCCTCCACAGCAAAGGCATCATCTACAGGTAACCATGTTGACCCGCATACCGACACGACACAGATTTACCGCCTCTTTTCTGGCTGATGACTGCTATGAGGATGTTTTTTCTATCACAACGATCCATATCTCCCTTTATCTCCCTCTTTCTCAGGGATCTGAAGCTGGATAATGTGCTGCTTGACTGCGAGGGCCACATAAAGATAGCAGACTTTGGGATGTGCAGGGAGGGCATGTTCGAGGGCGACGTCACACGCACCTTCTGTGGCACTCCGGACTACATAGCCCCTGAGGTACGCTGACCGCTGCAATCCCGCCGTGTTCCACGGTCTCCTTTGAAAGTCCTCTCGTTTCTTGCTCTCCCATCCACAGCCTCCCCTCCCGCCACCTTCCTTCATCTGCCTGACCTGTTTTGTCGTGCACTGAGACTCCACTGCAGCTCCTCTCGTCCTCTCTGACCTTGTCGGCAATTTTGAATAATTAACTTCACATGATTCAATTAGTGGCGGTGTGTGCCTGTGCTCTGAGATTGTTGCATAGAAAGGCTTTTGTCCTTCAGAGACCTTGTGGAACTTAGCGTTCTCTTAGAGCAGCTGGAAACTTCGCTAAAGAAACAGAAACACCGACTAATCCAAACAATTTATTTGACGTTCCTGACTTTATTGGGCCCTTTTTCTGATATTTTTCTATTCTTCAATTATAAATTGATATAGGACGAAAAGGCTTTCTCAGGTTTTCAATTAAAAGAAGTAGAGCTTTTTAAACTAGTTATACTAAATGTTCCATGAAATCATAAATGTCTATCTCACTGTTTACCAGGTTTGAACAAGCTGATCTTAAAGGATAACCCCAGTCTCTTTCATATTTGTTACCTGATGATAACAGACACTGAACCAGGCCCAAAACTTTGTCCTGGTGGACACTAGTACCCCTGATCCACAGATCAGCACAATTGCATATCTGCACAATTACATATATTGACCAATTGTCATTTTTCAATTATTGTAGGCAGGAGGGGTTTCTACTCATGCAAGTCTCAAGTTTCTTGCTTTCTGAATGTAAGGTTGTCCTCATTCCCAAAACATGCTAATGTGGGTTTACTGTAGGTAGAGCCCACCAATAATTGAGAACAAAAGGGTATGAACAAATGATTTATAAGAACATTTCCGTTTGACTTCTCTGCCTGTGACAGACCTCATTTGCCATCCAGAAAATAGAGTTTGCAGATATTTCAAAGTATGTCCCTGACTAAAGGTCCAAAACCTGTTTTTAATTCACTTCCTTAGTAGAAAGAGCAGCTTAAATGATGGACCGCTTATGTCCTTCTGTTATCTTTTCAAATCCCTGTAAAAATAGTTTTGGATTCCTAAACTAAACCAAACAGTCAAGAGAAAGATTCTTTTACTCACCTGGGAGTCCGCTTAGAGTTTCTCTGGCAAAGGTCCAGTGACTTGTTCGACACAAGTGCAAGATTAGAAAGATGCCTCAAACAGCTGACGGTTGGGCATTTTTCTGCTGAGCTGTGGTTCAGAAATAGTGAGAAAAAGAGGAACAAACACATTATTAGTCTTTTACAAAAAAGAAAGGTAAACCAGAATAGCTAATTTTGTTACAAAGCGATAATAATTAACAATTGAAAACATCATATATAGATTCTAGTTGTGTCATTGTGAATAAATGATGTACCTTTTACATACCTTTTAAGGCAATTAATGTATCTATAGAAAAAACTGTAGTTTATAGAGAGATAAGTAAGAAATACACTACTAGCTTATTTTTATTCTTTTAAGAGAGAGATTGGTTTTGGCTCATCATTGTTTCATATGTAAATTACAGCTTTCAAATTTGTATGATGTCAAGCTTCCTAAATTTTTGAGACATTCATGTCTGCATGAATATTCCAGGAAAGGGAAAAGGAGCTTGTTTGGCTTGTGGACTTGTAGTTGAAAGATAAAAAAGACAGTGGAAGGGAGGACATGACTATTATGCTTGTCTTTGATATTGTAAATCTCGCTATGAAACCCCTGGGTATTGACTCTCTTATGTAAACACCCATTGATTCTTCTGCATCTGCAATTTGGAAGAGATACAGTAAATGTCCCGAGGGGGGTGGGAATTGTTCCCTCATGCTTCTCGTCCCTGCACGTGCACACACACACATATGCATACAAGGAAAACAAACACAAACAGTAAGCAGGCAAATCCAAAGTCATTTTTTGAATATTTCTGAGCTTATTTATGACTTTAATGCTATACTCTCTTTTCCAAAACTGCAGAATGCTACTTCAATTGTCTTGCACTTTTTTGTTTCCTTGTCAGTACCATGTCATTCATCGTCTTTATCTTCTCTTATTTTTCTCCATCCTTTTTAGATTGTCGCATATCAGCCCTATGATAAAGCAGTAGATTGGTGGTCTTACGGAGTGCTGCTGTATGAAATGCTAGCAGGACAGGTAACTTCATCCCAATAAAAGTACCCACTCACACAAGCCTCCAGTGCTTTATCATTTCAAAAAGACTTCAGAAATAGTTTTCATTTGATTATGTTTACTTTCAATTTGCTCATAGGTCATTGATTAAAATCCCTCATTTTAAACTTGATTCCTTTAAGCCACCATTTGACGGTATTGACGAGGAGGAGCTGTTTCAATCCATCATGGAGCAGAGTGTGTCATACCCGAAAACTCTCTCTCGTGAAGCCGTCGCTATCTGCAAGGGAGTAAGTCAGTTACTTCTTTCTCATCTAACTTCTAGACCACATCCAGTTAAATGAGTAGACATACAGAGTTGAGTTCAGATAAAATGCTGTGTATTTGCTCAAAATTTGCCTCAAGCATACTCATTGCTGAGTACCTTACAGAATATGTCCCCATCACTAGCTTTTTAGCTTTCATTACAAGTAAGGTTAGAAAACTGGCCACACTTAAATATATCTGTTCCTCGATTTGTGTGAAAGAGCCTGAAGGCATTATCTTAGCTTAGTTCCTACAGGCAAACTTTAATTTCTAACTTTTCTGTGTATTGTATTCCTTCCAAAAAATACCTTTTGGGTTCCCGTCTTCTTGCCTTAACGTTGGTAAACTGTGAAACCGCTGTCCTCAAACATTATGGTTACACTGTATATTAAAAAAAGACTTATTATCCCAAAGAATAATTGTTGTTGCCGAAGCATCACTAGGAACCAAGGTATTAAGTTATTAACTGAAGATAACTCAGATGTGAAGGAACAGCTCACTGGGTAATCGTCCACGCTTACATAGTGCTTCTTATAATTCCCCCATCCACACAGCACCTTTTATCATGTATTTGCACTCTACAATACGCAGTGCCTCTTTTCCAAAGTCACACAGCAGTGATTATACCAGGCTGTGTGGGTTCATGTTTGCCTAAGGGCACTTTGACACACTACACTAGGGATCAAACCATAAACCCTCCAACTGGAAAAAAGCCACTCTGAAAACTGAGCCACAGCCGCCCAAAAGGCTAATTCTGCTATACTCCAACACTGATAGGTTGGTTAGTCATAGTTTGTTGGAGAATGGGAGGTGTAAAGTTTTTGTTGGTTCTTTTTGTTACCAAGCCAGGTTTGCTGTTAACTGGTCGACCTGCTGTTTCTTTATCATCACTGCTCAAAGCTGTACAGAGCAGCTCAGTCACCAGGCTGCTGAAAAGGTTGTTTTTTAGGTTTTAATAAATGTAAAGCTCCCAAAATGTAGCACAGTGGTGTGGATGTGTTAGCACCATCGCCTCACCGCTAGAGGGGTTCTGGGTTCCAGGACCTCTCTGTGTGGAGTTTGTATGTTCCCCCTGTGTCTGCGTGCAAAAACCTGCATGTTAGGTTGATCGGACATTCCAAATTTCCCCTATGAGTAAGTGTGAGTGTGCGTGGTTGTTCAACTTTGTGTGTCTCTGTGTGGCCTGCGATGGACTGGCAGACCGTCCAGGGTGTACCCTGCCTCCTGTCCACTGAATACTGGGATAGGCTCCAGTGCCCCTAGCGACCCTATTTGGGAATAAGCGGTTCAGAAAATGGATAGATGAATTCTCTGAACAGGGGCAATATAGAATTAACTTTATTCACTTTAGTCACGGATCAAAGATGTCTGTCTTGCAACAAATTGGACCATTTCTTTGGATGCATCGGCACTGAATAAAAGTTCGATTTCAAATACAGTAAGCGATGTCACCTTTTGAATGAATCAACTGCATATTTAGAAGAACGGCAAAGTTGACACAGATGATCCTTTTGCACCAGCTCATGACGAAGCACCCAGCGAAGCGCCTGGGTGGAGCAGAGGATGCCGAAAGGGAGATCAGGGAGCATCCGTTTTTCCGGTGGATTGACTGGGACCGTCTGGAGAGACTGGAGATCGCGCCGCCCTTCAAACCCAGAACTGTCAGTTTAAGAGTTTTTTTTCTTTCTTTCCTTCCTTCCTTTCCGACATAATCCTCTGTTGGCCATCCACATTGTGATGGCTATTTCCCTCCATCCTCTTATTTCTGTCTCCCTCAATCTCCTCTAATCCACTCTATTTCCTGTCTCTCGCCACCTGAGTTGGTTCCCACTGATGGGCTCTGAGCACTCAGCAGCAGACAGTCCAGACATAACAGGCAGCACCTTCTGACCCGCGGTGTTCTCCACTCCTCCATATGCAAATGTCTGTCATTATTAGCCTGCCATTTGCTCGTTTGCTGACCTGCTGGCCAATGGTAAGATGGGCCCAGAGCGAGCTGATCATGCTCGAGGGTCAGAGGCCAAGCCCATTATCCAAATGAGATTCACATCATCCAGCAGAACCACTGTCATCTGGTGTTAAGAAGGTGGAGGAGAGATGATTAATGTGACTCAGGGAAAACAGAAAAGGAATGTGTGGATTGGCGGAAAATATGTCTACATATGTTTCCTATTTTGGCTCTTCTGTGATTTTATTGTAGTTTCAGGAGAAAATAAATATTTGATAACGCTTGCACAAACCATAACCTAATCTATGGGTCTTTTGTTTGGATTTCTTTTCTTTCCTCAGGGTGGGAAAAAGGGTGAGAACTTTGACAAGTTCTTCACAGCAGCTCCGTCGGCGCTCACTCCATCTGATCCAGATGTGCTCGCAGCCATCAACCAGGAGGATTTCCAGGGTTTTTCATTTCTCAACCCAGACTTTGCCCCCTCACCTCTCACCGCTGTTTGAAAACGGCCCCCAAAAAATGTATCTCCAAAAGTCCCCTTCAAACAATAGTTTTATAGCAGAGAGCATGGGAACTAGCAGCATTTGTTACACCTTACATAACCAAACTCTGACGTTTACATGAAAATGCCAAGACACCTTGATCTTCACGCAGTCTCTTTGACGTATGCATGTACGAGTTACAGCACGTGTATCGCCACTAAACAAAGCCAGTACCTTATAGTTTTTTAGAAGTCAACTTCTAACTTTATGTAAGAACACTGTAGTGCCAACATTATAATTTAATCTATTTGCATGCAGATAGTTTCTATTGTCCTAGATCACCCAAGAAAGACAAATCTGTTAAATATTTTCCGATCCCTTTTACTGTTGTGCGCAGCTGCAATTTACAGGTTAAATTTCCTTTTCAAGTTCTCCTACAGCTATACAGATAACATGGAATGGTAAACAGGATTTCATTTCATCCAAAGCCATTATAAAGTTTGTTTAAGGGTCTTTTTTATTTTAAGCAGTATGCAAAATACAATAAGTCAGCATCAACAGCAATAAGCTACTAGCTCTGACTCTAAGACACTTTGATTATAAAGCAAACTGAGCTGATTTCAAGGTTTATTTTATTTTTGTAATTCTGATATTGGCATGAAAACAATCAGACAGGATCCTCTGGCCTGCTTAAACTTCTCAGTTGAATATGCCCAAACTGTGACCTCAGCTGATCCACTGAGATGCATCCATAATGCAGTGGGCACAGTGTGACAGTGAATGTAAGCAACAGCTCTGACCCGCCAGCCAAGGCTCCCGCTGTTCCACTCTGCTGTCACGGGAAGGAGGTCCTCACTTTAGACATGATGTAAATAATTATACTGTATATCATGTCTTCTCTATAGCAGTGTGACAACTAGGGTCATCCAGACTGCAACTTAATGCCCTTATTTTGTTACAGAGATATTTTTGGTGCAGTTTTAGAGAAAAGTGGCCTCGTTTTAGGCCTCTCTTCCAAAAAAAAAGAGGCTTGTTGGCTTCCACGAGAGTGCATACTTATGTTTTTAGTGGCAGCTCAGACAGCTTTTTTGCTGTGCAATAACATGGACGCAGCATCGATTGGGAGTAATTACAAGTGAGGCTCAATGAGACTGTTCAATACATGGAAAAAAAGTATAGCAGCGCTGTCCTTTAAACCTGTCTGCATTGAGCAGGTGGCTGCAACATGCAGCACACTCATTTCGTACACACAGAAACATAGTTTATTTCTTATGTTGGACCATGTAACGTATTTAATTTGATTATTATATTCTGTGTAGGCGAGATCTATGCTTAAAACTGAGATGTGGTTGCCCCTTACATGGCCAGTTTCAAAAGGTTACTTTAGCTCAGCTTGAGTATGAGTCAAATGTCACTCCACACAATCCCTCAGTATAATAGATACAGTATATGATGACTGACAGTAGATAATAGACAGTTTATGTGCTTAATAGTTTAGTTAACCTTTTGTCTTCATGTGCTGGAAAATTGAAAATAAACTGACTGGGAAGAGTCATGAAACAACAACAGTGGCGTGTCTCATTCTTTGATATTGTGAGATGCTGCTGAGAAAGCCATCCACCACCTCCCGCATCGCCCTCTCCACACGCCTCTCTTTCACACATGCTCACACGAAGAAAAAAAAAGTGCAATCTCCAGCGCGTGCACAATCTCTTACACACACGAGAAGATGCTGACCCCTCTGTTTGCTGTGGGACTGTAGTTGTTGAACCAGCAAAACCACCTCTCAGTCATCTCACTCCCTCCTCTTCCTTCTGATGCTGCCTCTCACTTTCCTCTCCTCCCTCACCCTCCAGCATCAAGATGGGACTAATATCCCTGTGGAGATCTGAGTTATAACAAGTTGACCTTCACATTAAAATCTCATCAACTTCCCATCTCCCTCTCTACCTCCCTCTCTTCTTTTCTATCCGCCCTTCATGTCTCTTCCTCACTGTTTGTCTGTCAGTCCTCAACCGTTAATGCTTTCATGCATTATTTTATGCCATGCTCTATTAATCATACTGTCAGATTTTATTGTTGTTCCAAGTATCTTGTTGCGATACCTCCTGTTGTCAACTCCTAATGTCTTGTCGTGTCTTTCCCCTTAAATGGAATATTATGCCCATGGTTTCATGGATCAGGTTTATAATAACTTCTGATGGTTTTTAACAAGTGAAATGGAGAGATGGGTTTATTGTAAATCTTAAATGTTAACTTTGATATGAAGGTATTCACCGTTGATAGATAGATAGATAGATTCTTTTATTGGGTCTCAGTCTTTGCTGCCTCTGCCTCTGTGAAGATGAACCCCCAGCTATCACTAGCCGGAGTCGTGCGTGCACTCCATTTCTCCCTGTCACCATGGCATGATATCATCCCTTCTTTCTCACTGCCTCCTCTTTCTCTATCTTTATCCTTATCTGCCTCTATCTTTCTTCAGTCTCTCATTCTCACCCTTTTCCTCTTTAACTCTCTCTTGTGCCCTGAGGTCAGAGTGTGCTGAAGACTATTGATATCGTTACTAAAAATACAGGATTCCTCTACTTGCCAGCTAAAAATAGAGTAAAGGGACACAGACCACAGGAGACAAAGGCAGAAGGGGCAGGCGGAGAGAAGCTTACTTGCTCCATCCACACTCTTACTGATCTTTAGCTACACCTATGAGGAAAGGTTAAAAGTATTTGTCATTTTTAAAAGAGATTATATCATTGAACATATTGTGTGTCTGCTTGTGCTTTGTGCCTGTGATCTTCCTTTCTCCAGTTTTAATCAAACTCACAATGTCATCTATTTTTGTTTAATTTCTTATCTACTTCATTCATGGGACATTTTTGTATTTTTCTTAATCTAGTGTCATAAACTTTTTTTTCTACCTAAAAAGGTATTTTTGAGACAGATAATCTCTTCTAAAAAGCCATTGATAGGTTATCGACAAATGAAACAACTACATAAAATGAATAAACTACTTTATGAAGGCAAACTACTGTCAAAGCAGGCTTACAGTGATGATGTAAGCTGACAAATGATACAAGTTGTGCTCATAGACAAATTTAGCTTATAAAGCAGCATTGCAATATAAAAAAAACAGCATTTTACAATGAAACTCAGTGTTGGATATGGTGGGTTTCAAACTCTTCCCGTTATATACTTTACAGTCCTTACAGAGCAAAAGATTGCAGCACAAATAGCCAACACTGTATTAAAAGCTATAAGAAAACTGTATGAGAGCAAACTACAAAGAGAGCAATAAATGTGATGAGATACTGTGGTTTGACATGCCCTCCTCCCCCTCCCACACACACGCATTCACGCACACCCTCTCCCTCCCTATCCAACACTTCTCCCTCCTGCTCCCGCAACAGTCTCTCTCTTTTTTTTTTGTAGCCAAAGTAGCTCAGTGAACGATCCACCGCAGAGCCTGGGACAGACTGAGTGAAGAGGGAGTGAAGAGGGATTTGTGGGATGGGCATGGGGGCTTAAGGGGTAAAAATGCAGATGAGTGAGGGAGAGTGAGAGAAGGGGAGAAAAGGGCAGAAAGAGGGGGAGAGAGACAGAATCCCAAATCCAGCAAGCCTCTCTGCTGTGGGGTCTCTTGGCTACTGACGTGTGCGCACGACTCGCATGGCACTGTGAGTATTTCTCTCTCTGAATATCTGTTTTCTTGGCAGCAATTGCAATGATGACTCAGTTACTTAAAATGTACGTATGTGTGTGAGGGAGAGTGGCGAAAGCGGTGGAAAGAGCTGAATTCAGGACGCGTCCTCGCGTCGTGCCCGAGAGTGCACAGAAAATGATTTGGACACGAGAGCCAAGTCGCGAAGCGGCTCTCATTTTTCAACATTTCCTTCCAATTTCCCCAATTTTCCATCTCAGTCGCTCCCATGTTTCATACTTTTCTGTTGATGATCTGGAAACTCCGCGTGAGTGTGTGGCGTGAGGAGGGGGCACCACACAACCCACTGCGCATATCGCCGCCTCCTTCAGTCCTGGGCTCGGGTACAGCTCTTTTTTACATGCGTGTAGTTTACAGAAACGACAGTAACTCTGCCTTGTGCTGCGTAAAAAGGGTGCGAGTTTCACACTAGAGTGGATGCGCAGATAAAAAGCCAACCCACCCACCGAGTCATAATTAGTCCTCATGAAGTCATTTATTTCTCTGGGAGTGATTGTATCGATCCTCTCCGGGTGATTTGGGGAGGCTGAACAGCGAGGGCTGCTTAGTTTTTGCACACCTTTTAGTTCAGTGCATGCACTTGTCGACGTGCACGTACACGATGGGTACTCCTTGCATTTTTTGGGGGGCCAAAGTCTTTCCTTGTATGTCTTCACCACTCCTTCTTCTGTTCCTGTCTTTACAAAAAGAAAAATCTCCCAAAACATAATCCCCGTCCCCCTCTGCTCTACTAGGTTCTTCTTAGATGTTTGTCCACATCTTCGTATCCTTCCTTCCCTTTTCTGGATGTCTCACTCCCTTGGAGGCTCACAGGAGATGTCAGTCTGTAGATCGTTACAGATAAGCCTGAATTAAGCCTTTTGTCAGCCTTTTGTCAGCCTTTTTATCACCCTGAAAGCCTTTTGCTGTCAGGATGATGGAGCAAACGGAGCTGCAATTTCTTATCACAGTTCCAACAATTACTGTGATGCACAAGCTGACCACCTCAAAAAGCAGCAAAAACTGAGAATAAGGTTTTGCAATTCATTTTGACCAATCTGTTTTGGGGGAAAATGAATATTTTTAGAGGCATGATGATAAAAGTAACAAAAAACACTTTTAATTACATTTTAGAGAAGCCTAGATGCAACTGAATACTTTGCTTTGCATCACCTCTCAACCAAGTTAGATTAAATTCAGTCAAGTTGTTTCTGACGTTTGGTTTTCTATCTAATTGTAATTTTAATTTTCTTTGACTGAGGGAGATTTGGGTGCTGTCCATGGTGCTGAAAAAGTCTGCCGGACATGGACACATCTGCTCAATTCTACAGTATTACAACTCAAACCGACTCATTCTTCGGCTTTGGCACATCCAACCACTGCTGGAAGGTGTGACTGTTCATTCCTGAGCATCACTCCTGTCCGATCGCTGGTCATCTTTATATGTCACCCATCTTTGCTTCCAGTCATGTTATGTCATATCTGTGAACCGTTTTTGATTTCACAAGGGATCTGCTTTTCTGCTTTTGAATTGCTTTTTTTTTTTTTTGCTGTACTCAAACTGGCTCTGGCCCTTGTCCGTCACCCTGATGTATCCTGGGTTTATCATGTGATGCACAGACTCTAGTCCAAATGAAAGGGGACTATCGTTTAAGAACAGGTCAGCAGGAAGTCGGTGTGTAGTGTAAACAGCTCATACAAATGACAAGTTTGTGCTTTTGTGACATTGTTAATTTGTCTTTTGTCTTAATTGTAACCAAACTTTTAACCTATTTGTATAATTGTATAATCTGTGTTCAAAAGTAATAGTTAAACTCATCAGTTGCATAAGCTAGTCAAATCCAGACATCCAGTTTTTATACCCACTGCATCCAGCTCGGTATTGTGGGGAAACTTCTTAATCAAATCTCAGAGGCCTTTTCTGATGATGACCAGCAGCTAGACCTGTTCCTATTCTCTAATCTTGCTCCTCACTCACAAAGGAAACTCCATTCATCCCTGCTGCTTCAAAGACAGTGAAATTTCCTCCATAGCACTCATGTCTCCCACAGTGGTTGTCCAGATAAGATGAGTCCATGCTTCATCTTTAAGATTTCATTCCCCAGTAGAATGACTGCCTCGAAGGTTTTGCTATACAAAGGCAGAGCAGAATAATAAAGTGGTTCTCACTTTGTAAGTTTCTGTTGTCAGTACCTTCAAAGGTGCCTGATAAGAGGTCAAATGAATTATTAAGATTTAACAACACTCTGAGGTTCAGCTCTACATCTCTTACACCATGTCTTAAAAGGGGATGAGACCTTTCCTAACAGCAGTGAAACTGCAGACATCATATCAAACCTTGTTGTGGCTGATTTCAGTCCTCAGACACAAAAGTGAGTTGTGACCTCAACGCTAAAGCTGTGGTTCTTTATGAAGTATTAGTTATTAATAACATTTAATCTACAGATCAGTGTTGGAAATCAACACAGGTTCTTTTTTCTAGGTGATCACTCTGTAGTCTTGGACAGATATTGTATCCACGGCTCTGTTCTGTGGATACAGCTGGTCTTTTCGACAGTTATGGTGGTGCCATATTTAATTGCAAATGACTTAATGGCACTCTAATGGCTACACAGTCTGCAAGGTATAATATGAGAGGGACACCATTCTGACACATTAAAAAGAGAGCAGCTACTGACAGATGCTACATTACAGTCAGAGGTCTTAATCCAGCTTTTAAAGCTGCTCAGTCAATTGCTGCTAATTGTGCCCACGTGTGAAGCATATGAACCTGGAAAGTCTTTGATAGGTCATTAAAATACACACTGACCAGCTTTTTTTTGACGAAAACAAAGCTTGCAAATTAGCACGAAACAGATGTGCAGAGTCTGGGAGTCTTGTGCAAATAAGTCTTTTTACAGTTAGAGCAACATCTGCTAGTAAGGTAAGGCAGGCTTTGTGTTTCCTAAGATGCAAAGCCAAGGGCAGAAAAAGTCCGTGGAGCCCTCCTTCCTGCTTTTTATGTTTATTGCTGTGTATGTGGTGCAGTGTAGTCACTGGCAACTCAGATGAGCCATCATTGCTCTTCCGTCTTTCGGACTGAGAAGAGACAATTAGAGGATGCAGTTCAAAGAGGTTTCAGTTGCAACATGAGCCTGGAACCCCAGATACATCAGAAAGAGGGTTTAAATAACACATGACCAGTTAAAATACCACATGTGAAATAAGCAGATGAAAAAGTTCAGTTTTAACGATCATGACATGACGGTACACAACACCTCTTTTGTGTAGTAATTAGTATCTGAATATACACTGAACCTGTCAAAAAGAGGGTGATTACAATCAACAAAGCTTCTCTGTTTTTTCCAGATGCATTTATCCTCCATTACTTGTCAAACTAATGCTAGTGAACAGCAGTCCAAATTAAGTAAAGGCCAGCGGGAAAGCAGCCACGTGCAAATACACGCGGGCACTGAAACCCTTAAATCTGTACAGACGGCATGCTGAAAGGACGTGCAGTGAAGCAGTTCCCAGTCAGCCAGAACTAAGTCACGGAAAGACCATGTGTGAGTCACACTCTCCTGCCTGCTTATATCCCTCTATCGCTGGGTTTTTAAATCCTTGTATAACTTCATTGGTGAAGTCATCACTTGTTATGTTGGCTCCTCTCCGACCTTTAACGTGATTGGCTGCCAGAGTATGTACCACTACATCATCTCTAGCACTGACAGGCCGAGACAGGAGGACAGCCTGTGGCTGTGAGTCACATGTCTGCCAAAGGGGATCCCCATCTCCGTTGACACCTCTCCATGACCTTTTTATTTGGGTTTTTCTTTGCACACTTTGGGTGCTTGAGTGCAGAGTTTCTCTGACATCCCTCGTTGTGCCACCCTCCTCTCCAGATGAGTTCGTGCAGCAGCCGTGCGTTGACTATCCTGTCCACAGTGTTTGGAGCCTGTGGGCTGCTGCTGGTGGGGGTGGCGGTGTCCACAGACTACTGGCTCATAATGGTGGAGGGCATCATCCTGCAGCAGAACCACAGCATGGAGGTGAAGATGGCCCTGCACTCGGGCCTTTGGAGGGTCTGCTTTGTGGCAGGTGAGGGGACGCAAAATGATTTGTGTGAGTATGTCTCATCCGAATCCTTACACACGGGCTTATGCAAACGTCAAGACAAAAAGACCCCGAAAGACTGGCAAGTAGACCAAGAATGTAGGACGGGGAGAAATGACAGATAGGGTGCCTGTGGCCTCTGGAACCAAAGCTGTCACAAATCATGATCGTTACCTGTGAGCAGGACGGCAGAGACCTGCGCTTCATCATGCATCACTGACTGGGATCCTAAAAGCAAACCCCAGCATTTTCCTTTTTTTCTGTTTTCTCATAGGAGCAGAGAACGGGAGATGTGTTGCATCAGAGTACTTCACTGAACCTGATATAGAGATCACCACTGAAAACACAGCAAATATCCTGAGTGAGTGAAAGATTACACACAGTGTGACCGGTGTACAATTTGCAAAGACCCCACCATAATGATACTAAAGTGGTGCTTTCTTTCCCTGGCTAAATGGGCGTTCTGATAATTTGCCAAACACGGTGAAAATGTGTTGTGTGTCCTCAGTCAGACATATCCACACACTTTTTCAGATTATCTGTCAAAGTCAAGCACCATTATCGTTAATCTGAGAAGATTAAAGATGCATCCTGTGAGCCGTTTTAAAGTCTCTTCTCCCCACAGAGATGGTTCGGACGGCCACGCCTTTCCCAATGGTGTCGCTGCTCTTCGTCTTCACCGCCTTTGTCATCAGCAACATCGGACACATCCGGCCTCAGCGCACCATCCTGGCCTTTGTGTCAGGCATCTTCTTCATCCTCTCAGGTGGGACCCATTACTCATGTCATTCTGTCACCTCTTCCTCACTCTGTGATTTATTACTGCAGCCTACTGTGTCCTGTGTCACACATGGATCCATTATGGCTCTATTTTTGGTTTGGGATGCAGGTGTGGAGGCTGTCATCAGAAAAGATGACAAGATTAATTTTTGGGCTGAGAATTAAACTCTTTCTTCAATTTGTCTGGAGTAAATTTTAATTTGTTATCATGAGCAGGATTTTCTCACTTGCTCACTCTCTTGTTATAAACAGGAAACCCATCAAAAACAGCTCTTTTTCAACTGTTGTAGTTATGCACTTGAGCAGCAGGTGGCTGTAATGTTCCCATTTCTTCTCTGCATGGAGTAAAAAAAAGCTGTCAGGAGCTAAGCTGGAGCATGCAATGTCAGTCAATAGTTTCCATATGAACTATTTAGAAAGAAACAGAGCTCAGAGGAGAACCAAATGGAATGAAATTCAGCCTAGACTTGCAGGAACTTGGTGATAAAGGGTGTAGCAGAACGTAAAATGTTATGTAACAGAGGTTATATAATGTTTATAGCCTGTACTCAAAGTGTCACAGTGTTTTCCTTTATGGGGAATGCTGATAATAGGGTGATAATAACAGGCAATTGTATCGAGTTACTTGTCAGTGGCTGGATGTTTTGCTGCATTGAGCCTTTCTTTTCAAACACCCCTCCCTTCTCAGCATCCCCTCCCAAATCCTTTCATTCCTCACATTTCCTCCGTACTCTCTCTTCTTAAGTGTGCCGTTTCTGAGTCATTTTGGCTGTGGGGGTCTGCATGCTGTGAATCCAGGACTATGTTCTGGTTACAGAATTACAGAATTCAGAGCTGAAGATGAAAGAAAGCTCAGCACGGAGCCACAGATGTTCAGACTTGCTTTCAGGCTCATGTTGCTTTCTCTTTTTTTGCCCCCTCTCTAAGAAGTAGTCTCCTGACATCTTGCATATGCAACCGTCCTTTACCTCTGTTTCCTTTTTTTTTTTTGCATACTACAGTTTTACCATGCCTTTCTCGACTCTCTTGGGGCAAGCACATCCATGCCCTCTGTCAGAATTTTCCTTGGATAAAGATGTACTTCAACCTCAGGATTGACAGCAGCATGCTTTCTGCATTTTCTATGCTTTCCCATTTTAAATTGTCAACAAAAACCTCAATTACAAGCCATTTGAGCACCTGACAGCCCTCCGGCACATTTGAATGTTGCAGTAGACTCTAAAAATATTCCTATTTGGTGCTTACAGCATGCAGCTGTCTTTGAATATTGATTCCTAGATGCTGGCCATATGTTGTGTCTCATACATTTAACATTTCCAACGCAGTGAAGAAAGCATGTCCCTGTCACTGGAAGAAGAGAGCTTTTAATGTTGTATGAGTTGCTTCTAGGTCAAAAGTTTCATTCTTTCGCTTTTTAAAGTGACCTGACAACTTTTATTATTATTATTGACTGGATTACTTTAAAACTACCCTCCCTCAGATGAGATGTCAGACCACACAAATGGTTTGACATTGTGTTGTACCTACCTCCTTATGTCATGTATTTCTTCGATGTGATTGTGGAGACAGATTAACATGAAGATTTCTAATATTTCATGATGTAAAATGTGCCCTGGGCTATATTAGTGATCAACATGGTGACGAAATATTGATCCAACACTATTCATAGTCTCTGTGTTTGGTATGGCTTTATGATCTTCTTTTATCAGAAAATTCATTTTTAGCCAAAACACCCACTGAAACATGTAAGGTATGTCTGGACTTAAAAGTATAGTGTCTGATAATAGAACCTAAAACTACAGTATGCTGAAAAAATACTTAAATGAAAAGGATGTTGCCTATTTATATAAATAGAACTGTGGTTTTAAAATAATTGTTCCACCATCTTGTGACCAATAATAACATTTCCGAAGATTCTTAAGTCGAACTGCGTCACATCAAGTTATTTTAAGCCCCTCGATAAAGTTTATGAACAGGTTTGGCTAAATTTGAGATGACTCAAACGGGACTCGGCATGCTATCTTTGTCAAAAGGACACACACACATACAATAGTTTTTTCATTATAATATATTATATTACATTATATTATTAGATTATTTTTTGTCTGACTCATAAAAATAGCATATACATAATGTAAATGTTTTTTTTTTAGACCGGCAAATGTGTAGTGTGCAAATAACCCCAAATCTCATTAATGACTAATTGTTTTGATAACAGAATACTTTTTATTTGTTTGATGGGAAATGAATTGTTCAAAGGTCACTGTAGACGTCCTTAATTATTAACTTTGATCATATTTCTAATGCTGGTTAATATTGACTCTTCCCTCTCCTTTTGACCCTGAGCATATCTCATGGTCTCTCTTCCTCTTCATCTTCCTCTGGCCATCATGTGGCTCTGTAAATCACTGTGTTATGACCTGACTTGTACTGGACTCTCTGTCTCTTCCTGACTCTCTGTCATTGTTAATGTGCTGTGTGCAGGCCTCAGTCTGGTGGTGGGCCTTGTGCTCTACATCTCCAGTATTAATGATGAGGTGATGAACCGGCCCAGGGAGCCCGAGCAGTTCTTCAATTACTACTACGGCTGGTCGTTCGCCTTTGCTGCCTCTTCCTTCTTACTCAAAGAGGTCAGTGTGGGCTGTGTGTGTGTTACTGATAAAGTATGGGAAAGTGAGTGTGAGCGTGTGCTTCAGTGTCGGCAAACAATACACAAACACTATCGCACAAGATAAAGGTTTAGTAAAACAGTTTGTCCACATGTCTAAGATTTTGTAGAGCAACAAAAAAGGTGCAAAAAACATGAGAAAGTAACACTTTTGCCTCTCGGATTTGTACGCCAGTCTTCTGTAATGACATTTTTATTGCTATTTATGCTTAGAAAAACATGTCAAAAGAAGAAAAGTGAGAATTCACAGGACAATATTTTTTTTAATGAGCTCCAAAGAGGTGCAAAACTGCCCACAATGCTCTCCCTGTGCTGCAGTGGAATCACATTTAAACTGACTGTTTCCTCCAGTTTTCCCCTCTTACTTCCTTTTTTTATTGAACGTATTTGTTGCATATTCAACCACATGAGTAGCCACTCTTTCGGGTTATACGTCTATTTGTCCTTTGTCCGTTGTCAATTTTAGTTCAAATTTCTCTGAGGCTTAGAATGACTTTGTTGACATTTGAAGGTGCCCGTCCCCTGCTGACTCTTTGTTCCTCTCTCAGGGGGCTGGGGTGTTGTCAGTCTATCTGTTCATGAAGCGCTATGCAGAGGAAGAGATGTACCGGCCCCACCCCGCCATCTACCGCCCCCGCCTGTCTGAGAGCAGCGACTATAGCGGTCAGTACCTCCACCCAGAGTCCTCTTGGCCTCCGCCGAAGAGAGGCCGCAGCACCTCTGAGGCCTCCAGTGACATCTCCATCCAGCTTAATCAGACCCCCCCGGCCCCGCCAAAGAGCAGTCTCCAAGTAGGTGGCCCGGGGAGCCCACCCTCTGTTTCCTCTTCTGCAGGGAGCTACCAGATGCAAGCGCAGTCTATGGGCTACCCCCCCACACACACCCTGCCCAGGTCACACTCCTCACACCCGCAGGGCCAAGCTCTTCCCATGGCCATGCCTCCATCACCCTTACCACCCCCGCACTATCACACACACATGCACATGGGTGCCTCCCCCTGTTAAGAACAGGAAGCTCCAGCAAAGGGGAAGGAGAGACACTGACTCCTCATGATCATCTGTACTGTACATTTAGACGTGGATGCGAGTGATGCTGAACTTGGATTACATGACACTTCAGAGATGAGGTGCAGGAAGATGTGAGGCAGCTCCAAAGGACCATCACTGCTTCGGAGAATGATTTGGAAGATTCTACAGATACTGTGATGCACTGAAAATAAGGTTGAGGCAGGGGACACGGAAATGAGTCATAACACCTTTTCAGAAAAGCAGAGACATGTTTCCTGGGAAGAGAGTTAAGGTTTGGTGGAGAAACAAAAGAGATAAGAGGGAGGGAGAGAAAAGCAGGGGGGGGGGCAGGAGGCTGCGGTATAATACAGAGACCCTGCAGTGCTGCAGGAGATTTGTATGCACTTGGAAATGTTCAATGCGAAACGCTGATTTTAAATGACTGTGAAAACCCATAGTTTTTTTACACACTAATACACACTCTAATATGAACTATTCACGTTTTTAATGGGTGTGTGGTTGAATATATTCTTCTCTGAATTTATTACATCAACAATCCAGTTTAGAAGCTCACATGATCAAAATAGTGTCATCATAGTTATTTTGAAAATTACTACTTACCAGTAAACTAACTTATGAACTGTGAAGAATTGTACAGTTTATTAATATTGTCCATGTTTTTAAACAGAAGAAAAAGAGAGGGAAGTGGATGACACCACAAAAATATCATGATGAGAAGTTATGTATTTGTTAAAGATGCAAATTTCCAACTTCAAAGGACCTTTGTTGTAAATGTTGAATGGAGCTTTGCAGCAAATCACATCAAGAAAATGCCTGACTCATCCTGCTTGGAATGAGGAGACCGCAACAGGCGCATCGCAACCCACAACACGCTCACTGGATGCAGAGCATGCTATTTGAATGAGGAACCCCCCCCCCACTATAGCTGTGGGAATCCAATGCCCTCTACTGGCCGCCGTCCTGCACTGACTGGAGCAGCTTTGGGAATGGCTGACTATAATTTAAGCACTGGTGACTGCATCCAGAGCTGCAAAATTATAGTGAAGTAAAGGAATGTCACTGGGGATTTTCCTCGGTTGACTGGACTGCATACCAAACAGGATCAAAAGATCAACTTTATAGCTGAGTTAGGGATATTTAAAAAAAGCTATGTAGCTGTTCATATATCTTTAAGACTTGCGTAATGAAAGTACTTGTAACACTTGCACTTCATGCTTAATCAACATCTCCACTGTTTGACACTTATTCTGTAACTTATTCCATTTATTTATTGTCTTTTTTATTCGATTCCAACATATTGAAAGGAAATCCCCCTGTAAATCATGATTAGGGGTTCCTTGGCTGGGAAAGGTGGCTTTGCTGGGGGTAATGGGTGCGTACTGATATGTTACACATTTTTAAGATTCGGTAAGGTTTGATATCCAGCCAACCCAGCTTAAATTGTTTGAAGCAGCAAATGTCGGTTAGACATGTTAACAGTGTGTTGTGCAGAAACTCCTAACTAATTTATTCCACGGCTCGATTTTCCACTGCGCATCCTTATCAAATAATAATTATTTAATGTTTGTTCAATTTTTTCAATTATTGTAAAAAGCCTTTGTTGATTATTCCCATCCATTCTGTTGTTCATGAAAAGTCACCTTTCTAAATCAGCTTAAAGCAGTTTTCAATCATATCACAAGAATAAAGTTGATATATTTTAGAAGATTAAACTACAGTTTAGCTTATATTTAAGGAGCAATTTCTTTTACTGTTTTCTGTCAATAGGCTTAGTAGTTAGTAGCCTTTCTGTGTAACTTCTCTGAAAAAGAATTCCCACTGATACTAATTTTGTTTTGAATACATTTTAACCAGACTGTGGTATGTAGTAGACTATATTCCTAATGTTGTAGAGCTTAATCTTCAGATAAAGATTTTTTAGATACCACATAGTATCACAAAATACAATGGGATCGAGAACAAGTACACATACAAATAGACACATTTTTCCTTAGAATATCTATACTTACAGTTTTGTGTGAGGCACGCCATTAGTGGTACATCAGCATGATTTATCACTCTTAAGGGAATGAAATCACTGTGTTGTGTACTGGCTGGTTTGAATTATCACTGTGATGCTGCAGAGAGGGAAGCACATTTTTGGTGGAGGGATGATAATCATATGGCTTCACAGGAGAGAGTGTACACTGGGCCTGCTGCTATATCACTGAATTTTGATCTATATGCAGTCTGAAAACACTTCCTACCCAGATGTTTGGTGTTTTGTTTTTGCAGTAAACTGAGCTGAAGCCCACTGCATCCGCAGTCTGCTGCCATTAATTCTGCTGTTAGTTAAGGGTCAAGTGCCTTCCTCACGGGCACTTCGGCAGGAGCTGTTGAAAAAGATCAAAGCGTTTGTCCATCCGGCAGGCATCTGCACGTTTTATTTAAGGTCTTTGGATTACTCTATAATCCATCATTACCTGTAAACCGCTTCCTCTGCATATAGGCTCATTTTTTTTAGGTCCAGAACCGTTCAATGTTTTTTCAGTGCCTCTGAAAATATAGCTTTTTAAAACAAATCTTTATCCTAATTTATTTTCCTCCTTCTTTCCCCATATCCTTTACCTTTGCCTCTCCGTAAAAGGGTGCAGCTGTGCTTGCTTCTGCATGAAACCTATCTCCTTTCTTAGGACCTTTTTTGTAACAACCAAAAAATGCTCAAATAAATTCTTTTCAATGCACCATTGAGACTGCTGCTGTCTGATATGGAAATACTCATATTTCAGTAGAAATTGTGAAAAGATCACTGTTCAGAAAGTTTAAGACACTTTATATTAATAAAACTTTCATCTTGGATAAATGTCATCATGTTTCCCTCCTTAATGTATTGTCTTATTTTTTTTTTTTTGGGTACATGCCTCTTAGATATGGAAGATATATTTGCTTTTTGACTGTTTTTTTTTGTGTTGTAACATACAGTAAGTAACACCTTGAGGCAAAGTATGGGATACCAGCATGCAGTATGCTGCATTGAATATAAAGAAGAGCATTATTTTCTGGCTGGTGTCTGTGATGGAGGGAAGCATTGTAAGTGGATGAACACTGCACTGCAGAGAACCGCTGGGTGTTAACCAGGCTCCCTCTTCAGTCACGGCAAGCCACCACAGCCTGAAGGCAACAATTGATCAGAGTGCTGTATGGGTGCATGCGCTGGTGTGTAGCTATACTCGTCTGCATATGCGCTTTGTGGAGACTGGCAAATGTTTATCCTCATCAGACAGAGACAAAAATGTAGATCTAAAACACCAGAGTAAGATTTGACCAAAAGTAGTTTATCCTAGTAAATGTGAAAAACAAACTGGATGGTGTCAAACAGGAGAATATAAGGTGAAAATGTTTCTCTTTATCAGTGTATACAGTAACAAAGGAAAAGTAGTTTTTGGTCAAGGACACATCCAGGTTGTGAGCAAAGTAGGTGAACTAATAATACATTCAGGGCCACAGCCTGTCTTTAGTGTCCGGCCAACGAGAGGGGAATCATAACAGAAGTGCTGTGTGTATTAGCTGTTTTATTTAATTTTTTTACCTCTTGTGTCATCTAAAATGAAAGTCAAGGTGCAAATCTCTGAGAGATCAAGAGGCATGTTACACGAAGAAATGAAAAATCCACAGGTCAATAAAGAGTGTGTGCTGTTTGACTCCAAGAACTCACAGAATTTCTGCAAGTGAGCCTCTCTCAGCCTGAGAGCTGGTGTCAACAACTGAGATTAAAATATGTCTTGTGTAGAGACACTTCTGTGATAACATACTTCTGCGTGTGTGTGTGTGTGTGTGCGTGTGTGCGTCTGCTTCCGTCTTTTCCTTTTGTTTGCCTGTGTGCTCTTCACTTCATGTGTGTGTGGCTGTGTGGGTTGAGTGGATCTCTCTTTTCACCATCACCATTACTGCACGAAAGACCTGTCACTCTGTATTAGCTCTATCCAGCTCTCCCGCTCCCTTTTCTGAGTGTGTTTGTGTGTGTTTGAGCAAGAGGGGGGGTGAACTGGGCAGTAAAGCCATTTTAAAGCTATTGAAGGTCATTGTCTGCTCACTCTGTTTTCTGCATCCTAACTGCTATGTGGGACCAGCAGCCCTGCCACTGGCTCCAGTTCCAATGACATAAGCCAGTGTGTGTGTGTGTGTGTGTGTGTGTATGTGTGTGTGTGTGTGTGAGATCTGCCTTATTTGAATAACAGTGACATAAGAGTCAATCCCACATTGCGCTGGTCCTGCCTGATTTCTGCTGATATTGACACGCGGATATTGACCTGTGGATAGCCTATGAGATTAACATCTCTCTGCAGGGCTGCACTCGTGCTCCATTTCCCAGAACCGGCTCGCGCTCCTCATCAGCAGCCCCATCCCCAAACGAGGGGAAGTGTCCCAGTGGCGCTCCGGCAAAGAGGGGGGGGGGGAAAAGAGAGAAAAATCGACATCAATTTCACATCCACGCACACGCACATGTCTAACCTGGTCATGACTATAAGGCTACTTACCATCGCGCAGCCCTGCGCGCGGCGCACGCTCCAATAAGCACATCCAGACCTATGCGTGACAGGGACGGCGGAAGGAGGGGGCACGAGGGGGGCTCGGACCCGCGTCGTGATTCTTGAGGCACAACATACAGTTGTCGATGCCGTCGCGTTGACGCGCGCATTACCCTCAGCATCGTTCACATAAGAGTTTTTTGGAGGGATGCGACAAGTTGCCTGTGTCGGGCTGAATGTGGGAGAAAAAGCCAGAGGAGCAGACAGGCGGGAGGGCGGGCGGGCGGGCGGGAGAGCGCTCGTCCTCCGGAGGGGCGGGGGAGACGCATTCTCCCCCCCAGTACACACACAAGCAGAGGCCACATCACGGTAGACAAATCCGTGTTCAGTGACGTGTTCTGTATTAGCCTTTTTTCAAATGCACGTTTAAGCCTTTTCCATGACAGACCGATTTAAACTGAGTCGGGAGCTTAGAATTCACTCTCTTGGGTGCTTCTTATCTTCAGAATTTCTAATCTCCTCCTCTAACCATTTATTCTAGCCATTTATTTATTTATTTAGCCTCGATAGACCCGTTATTTAGCCACTCCGCCGTCCACCCCCCTCTTCTCTTTTTCCCTCCATCTCTTTCTCTTTAGGAGCGCAACGCGCAGCGAAGCTGTGAAATAAAAAAAGGCTGCAGGTAAGTCCTCCACGAGCGTTTCTGTAGCATTCCGATGACACTGTCACTCTATTGTTTTTACTTTGCAGCCTGATGGATCACCGTGTACGGTGGGATTTACTTGCCACGTTTATTTGCTTCACGTTGCCTTCAACTTATCTCACAACTGACAGTGTAGAATGAAATCTGCGAGGGGGGAAAAGAATAATGATGACAATTGTCCAACTTCTGTTTTCTCTCCCGATTTAGTGCTGCTGCTGGGTTTTTTCCCACAGATTTACGCGGGCCTATAATTAGCAGTTGCAGTGTCTATTATGTAAATGAAAGACTTCAAATGTCATGTTTGGGGCTGCCATGCAGGCGCACCGCAGCTGTTGGGACAACAATATGTGTTGTTTTTTTGCAGAAATGATCGTCCGGTTCTCTGGGGAATGATTTCACGCGCTGTGGACGCGCATCTACATGCGTGATTTGTGCCTCGTTCAGCCGAGAGTTTTCTCTGCCGGTCGCTTGATGCTAGGCGTCCATTTTCCACCGTGTAGCCTCTGCAGTCAGGGTGATGTGTGGAGCTTTCTCTGTTAATGAATGCACCGCAGTCCGCATCACCAGAACAGAGCTCTGCACGCTGTCAGCGCCGGAGCCCGGAGCTCGGAAGTGTTTAATCTCTCATTTTGCACAGTTTCTCCTGCCGGACTCCCCCCAGTGCAGCGCAGGGCCAGCGTCTTAGCTCCATGTTGAACCGGGGCCACATCATGTTTGCTGATGCGTTTTGAGATTCGTTTTCTTGTCAGCCTGCGGTCAGCAGTTGCTCTGACAGATGCAGAGGCAAAGGGCAGCAAAGATGTTGCACCCCATCACTCATTCACTTTTGATCTCACCTCTGATCACATCTGGAGTGAAGGTACAATGAAATATTGTGATGTCATGAAGGGGTGGACTGCAGCATTCAGGAGTTAACGCACTGTCAGCAAACGTAGGGAGTTAAACCTGCTTTTGTGCGGCTGGGCTGCATAGGTTGAGAGGTAAAGCGCTGGACTGTTTTCCCAGAAACTCTATTTTTGTGGTGAGAAGTTCTCTGCTGGGGTCACGTGCAGCTGTGGTGAGCTTATTGCCTCTGAGCTCAGCCTCTCATTAAAGTGCTGCATCTCCTCAGTTTGGGGAACAGCCTTACCTTTATAGAAGCAGCACAAATGTCCATCAGCAGCCGCCTGCACTCTTCTAATACACGTCTAACGTGTTCTTTTCTTGATTTTGGCAGTTTTTCAGACCTATGGCCTAACTTTCAAATACTTACGTATAATTGCACTCATGTGTGAAGTGGCTGTCAGGATAACTGCCAGCTTAATGACAGATGTTCTTTAAACCTGTATCAGTAATATTAGATTGAATAAGTAAAACATAAAACCTGAGTTATGTAATTACATAACTACGTTAATTTCCATTCTGTTCAGCTGCAGATGTGTTGTAAAATGCAGGGATCACGTAAATCACACTTAACGGCAGTAAACCCTTTAAGGTTAATGGCTGCACATCGATTCATCAGACAGGTCCTAAGGTCAACATAAATTCTGCCCCTATTGACTACTGTAAGTGCTTTGCAGTACAAACAAAATATAACCATTCATACAGCGTACAGGCAGAGCACATTGTCCTATGCATGCTCATATGCCAAAGATGTGGTCTGCTTATGAGGCTCCATAGCTAATGCAAAGGCACGAGGAGGTCAGGAGGAACTGGGGTCAGATCAACGACCCCCCAATTAGTCAGCCAATAGTCCAGTTCCTCTTTACCACGCCATTTGTGGGTGATAATGAAGTTTCCTTGCATCATTGTACTGCCATTTAGAGCTCGGCTCTCCATCAGCGGTCGGCCGGTCTCTCATTAAGCGCGGTTGGTCCGGTCGTCTGTTGTCGGCCCTCAGCCTCCTGCCTGCCGCTCGCTTTAAGTGCCGTCTGTGCCATGTGTGTAGCAGGCGTGCGGCCTTGATGATCATCTCTGTTGATTTTGAATTCCTTTCAAAAGCCCTCTGTTGGCACCAAGAGCTGCTGTTTACACTTTAAGGTGACTCACTGCAGTCAATATTGGTGTGTAGCCCACACAGGTTTTCTGTTGTATTATAGCGCCGGCCAAAATCTAATCATCTAATACTAAAGTGGTCCACACCAAGCTGAAATAATCTCTCTAACTTCTAAATGCTTTGGCTCATTCAGATGCGCTGTTAGACTCAGTTTTCATAGCTGGTTGGGTGGTCAGGTCTGTTTCTCTCTCTGTTTCGCTCTCTGTTTCCCTCTGAGGAGAGGCAGTTCTGCAGCCATCATCACATCTGTCATGTAGCCATTGTTCAGAGGATCAATGCCTTCTGCAATTTTCTTGATGGTCTGAGGTTTCACACTATTCCCTTTTCTCTTTACTCGGGCTAAGACTCAGGAGGAAACCCATTCATCGCTGTGTGAAAGCTTTGGATACTTCAGTTTAAATATGATCTCAAGATCCTAATCAATCCAACACTCCACACTATCAATTCTGATCTTTGCATGTATCAGTAAAACTTCTGCCAATTACTCATGCTAATAAAATTTGAACTTAACTCTTACATTCGAGTAACATAATGGCCTCACTGGTTAAGTAGAGAAAGTTGTTTGCAATTATAGTGAAGTCTTTTCACTCAAATTGCAGTAGTCCCCCTGGGCTGTAATCCAGTGATGAAGCACCAGCGATGGGCCTGTTCTGTCTCCTGATCTGTCTTGTGACAAATTTTCTTCACTAAGTATGAAAGGATGAAGTTTTCCATTATATTCCATCATTATCCAGACCAAGATTCATGTCAAGTAGTCCAAGATAGTTCACATCAAGCTCACTAATTATTTACTCATAATGTGGCTATAGGCATTAAAACACGGGAGTGTGTGGATTTTGAGAGAGAGCAGATTCCTCAGATTGGCGTCTTTGGAGCCCTATGGCCAGATGACCACCGCACACTCTTTCTTGAGCCATCTGACCCCTTTCTTGTGAGACCAACAGCTGTCCGGTGACACAGGCCAGACACACAGGCAGAATGCTCATATATTGGGGAGTCATTGGTTTACAGAAACATTTCACATGGATATTTAAAAAGGTTGTCCATGTGAAATCCAGGAGGAAGGCATTTCCAAAAGAAATGACGTTTCATAACTAGATGAGAAGTGTGTCCCTCACTTTATCTGTCTGTGATGCTGGAAATGTTCCTTATTTGTGTTTGTGACTGCATGTTAAATTCTGTAGCCTAAACAAGACATTTGAATACACTGTGTACTCAAGAAAATTGCACCGAGCATTTTTAGAAGAACACAGAAGAAATAGACAAGGGTTGCATAACTTCATCCAACCTGCTTCATTCCTGCTTTTAAGGACTTTGTGGCCTCTTAGACTCAACAATGAGGTCTGATCTGAAGTTGAGATGTGCCACTAAGTCATATTTACTCCCCATTTGCAACTCAGCAGGGAAATGTGTCAGTGGACAACCAATCACAGGGAGGCATTTGCTGTCTATTGATATATTGATCACTAAAACATATATTTAATGTATTTTCCATTGGTTCCTTTTTCTTTTTTAAAAACATAAAATACCATACAGAAAGCATGATAAGGACCATGTAAAATGGTTCCTCTGATGTTGGAAACAATGATGAGGAAATGTATCTAATCCATGTTGTTTAGCCAAGGACATAATTACAACAGCGCTAATTTGACATGTTGAATAATAACTTTAAGGTGACATCGCTTTCTGCGTGAAGCTAGTCTTTTCTGGAAATATCTCTGCAGCTGTTCGTTCCCAAGGCAAACTGTTGTTTTCGTGGTGGCATTTTTATCTTGTGCTGCATTCACCGTGACAGGATAATTAGTCAAAAACACACATCGTATGTTACAAAACCAATAAAAGTGAAGGTCCATCGTGTGTTAAATTTGCTGACACAGAGTGCTTCACTCGGTGAACGGTGAGGGTGTTTTATGTACATGACTGCACATGCGAATGTGTTTAAGCACAGGTTCATGGGTTCATGAGCATTAGGTCATTCAGAGACACTTTATTTTGAGAGCCTCTTAGGCTAAGGTGTTACTGTCACTGCTTCTTGAGGCCATTTCTGCTAAGACAGGCAAATGCTCAGCCACATGCAGTCTGAGGATCTTAGTGGACTTTTCACATTTACTTAACGGCAGTTCAGCTTTGCTTTGAAGAAGCTTTTAAAGATGACCTATTTTATGTTTTTTTTTTATCCTTTTGACAGTTGCAGGGATATGATGCTGCATATGTGCATGTGGGCCAAAGGTTTGTTTGCATGTTGCATGTTCTCTGTGCACCTGCATGTGTGCATTTCTGCTGACATACATGTGAGGCCGCGCAGGCATACGTTTGCACACCAGATGTGGGGATTAAGAGCTCAGGTGTGTAGCTTCATCTCATGATTAAGGAAAGAAATCATCTTCGCCACCGAGAGTGACTGCTCTGAATATTTATGCATGTTTTCCTAACGTTCACTGCTGCCATCTCAGAATAGAATACGCTGCTTTTATTTTTAGAGCTGTCATCATAAGTAGGCCTAGTGCATTTTTTTTCTCTTGGTCAAGTAGAGAGTATCCCTTCATGTCATTTTCACCACATTTCTGTTATTAGTAGACCAGACATCCTTCCTCTCACCTGTATCTGTCAGATGGTGTGATGTCCCTTCACTGAGTAGATGTTATCGTCCACTGAAAATATCCTCGCGTACACACACAGGACGACTGCCTTTCAAATGTGTGGAAAAACTTATTACAGTTGTCATCATTTATTCAACAAGCAGTTTGGTGGTTGATTTATGCAATGAATAGCTAATGGGGCAGCTGCTACGAGATTCATATCTCCCCTGTGATTTATGGCTGCATTATTAGAGCCCCAACTCATCGTGTGAGCCTATGTTTTATAAAGGCAAAGGTACACTGTCATGCAGAGAATGAGTCACGCAGGTAGATCTGATTACATGTGAAGTTCTCTGACAAGTGAGAGCCTGGTTCTGTAATTTTCTCTGGAGCCGCTTACTCTTAAAGCTGGGCTCCTGGCCTTTGTTGCTGCAGGATGTCCAGCCACTGCTGAATGGCCTCCGGCTGGCCCTATGTGGTCAGTCTGTTGCAGACAGACTATGGAAGCATCACTGTGAGGGTAGGTTAGCTCTGGGATTCTGACCATGATGATAAAGGAGAGCACCTAAGTCAGCTGTGCACTGAATATGTACGTTTGAATTTATTGCCACTCCAGCCAAATCCTTTGATAATAAGGACAGTGTGGATCTTTAGGGGTTAGTAAGATGTGTTTCGTAATGTGAAAACTAGGTAAAGTAATCTGAAATAAGAAATAAGAAATAAGTGGCAGTATCGCTTATTATTTTCAATGCATTAGTCATCCTTGTAACAACCTGGCTAGCTCTTTACCCACCAAGAAAAAATAACACTGACTGATTATGATTTGTCATTACATTTTTGTTTCGTCAGTTTGCCAGAAAATAAAGCTGATAACTTGGAGTTAAAGACTTAAGAGTGTCTAGAGATAAAGAGAGAGTCTGTTACCTTAAATGTACACCAGTGGGCAAAAAGAGGAGTTACATTTAATAGACAAAGGAGGAAATCCACTGTTTTGTATGAGAATTCGTCAATTTGAATGTTTTTCATGCAGCCAGGCTGAATCCAAACGCTCAGTAAAGGTCAAGTCTGAGAAAGCATTGATCTGCACTGCAATGTAAGTGGCGTTTTGTGGCATACAACCACAAGGCAGTTCTGAACCTCTCCCAAAGATATACTGATCATAACTCACACAGTTAACATATTATTGAACCTATTCTCACTCCTAACAGTCGGGAGCCTGTTCTGTCAGTATTCAACACAAACCACACCGGCTGAGGGATGTGGCGTGACAACATAGACTATCCTCGTGAGGATTTCAACAACAAATCATTTGAAGGTTTTGGAACTTCTAATCATCATGTCCTCCTTATGATTAGATTCTGAAGTAGAGCATAGGAAGAAAATCTAAAGACAGGAAAAACAAAGTAACAGCTGTGGTTTGACACAAGCACGGGCTTTCAGTTCGGCGGTCTTAAATCTCACGGCCTGGTTTCAATCCTTTTCAAACTTTTAACAGCTGCTTAAGCTTTTTCATTTGGTGAAGCCCATACCAGCCGCCATTGGGCGAAAGACAAGTCGCAAGTTGGCAACCTATCACTGGGCTTGTCTTGACCAAGGGCTTATAACATGTAATGAAGTGTAGTAATAAAAGAAGTCAAAATAAAGGATAGAAAAGAGGATAAAGGCAGACTCCAAGACTAATACACACACACTCTTGATTTTGGTCAAGAGCTGAGGAAAGGGTTGTTTTGTTGTGAGTGAGGGGTTACTGGTCGAGGATACAAGGGACAATTTGCATTCATTAAAACTTTTCGATTTATGTTTATGTCACTATTGAACATTTAGGTTTTGTAATAATAGATATAGGCAATGATTTTTAGATTTCCATCTTTAATGTGTGTAAAAAATGTACTAGAATAAATAAGTCAATTTATATCAATACTCTAAATAATAATTTATCAGCTCCAACTTCTTAACTAAAATTTTACATTTTGCACCTCATAGACAAGGTGTTTTTTTTTTCCAAAAGAACAGCACGGTAACAACGACTGACATCTTGGAGATAGCCGCCATTTTCAAAGCTGCTCACCCATTTTCTAGAAGCCAGTTGCATCTATAGAAGTTGGCATCACTCAAAAGGCCTTTGTTCTTTATCAGTGATTCCCATCTGGGAGGAATCTACCAATATTCCCCCCTTGTTTTTTTACTTTGCTTGGTCAGAATTAAGCTGGCCTCTTCATTTTTTTCCCCACATCTGTACGCGGCTTGATTCATGCACCATTTCTCAAATGTGCATCTGTTTAAAAATCTCACCTACAGCATTTAAAGTTCCCGTCAGTCTTTTTCTTTGTCTCTCACAGTAGAGTGATCCACTTTTTATATTGTGAGAATGTGTCCATTCTTCAATGTAGATACTTGCACGCACACATTGCAGCAATACAGAGACCTAAGCCTTTTTTGTAACCCTTTTTAAAAGTACTGAGATATTCAAAAAAGAGCTAGTGCACATGTACATTATGGTGCGAATGAAAATGCTGATGCACTCTAACTATACTGGAATGGAATAGAAAAAAAACTTGTTCCTGCTGTATCTGTAAAAGCCTTTTACCAAGAATATCAGCCCAGTCTTCCACCACTTAATGGTCATGTGTGCCCCCATTTAGTAAAACTGTCACTGTTTCCCTTTCTTTCCCATTTCTTTCACGCTCCTTTGGTCTCATTCCACTCCTCCACTTCTGTCCCCTCATTTTTTAATTATTAGAGAAAAATAAAAGATAATTAAATGACAATTACGATCTCATCCATCGGGGAGTTTTTGCTTGGGGGAATAACTTAGTAGGTTATTCTTAAGGTCATTCATTAAATACCGAAGTTAAAGACCACACACACACACACAGACACACAAGTTACATACCGAGTCTTTCGGCCTCGGAGATTTCAGCGTAATACCTTCCAGACATGTATTTTCCTGAGGGAGAGGCAGTATGTTGATAGGGTTGGAAGGTCAAACAACACACACACACACACACACAAACACGCACAATTGCTTTTGCTTGTATGCTTACACGTATGCAGGCACAATGTGTAATAAATAAACCACACTGTGGTGGTGATGCTTGACAGTTTACATAATAACTAGCGTAAATGCAGAGATATAAGGCTCGCTGTCGAGTGGAGGAGAGCTGAGGGGAACATAGCTGGGATTCAATAAGATTGGACTAGACCCATCCTCATATGCACTGTAGAGGAAACTCACACACACGCATACACACACACCACCGGCTCTCCTTCTGCCTCTGAGGCAGCTCAGCTTTGGGTCTTACAATGCAAACAGGATGTAACCTATTTTGATCACGGTACCATATTGCATCATCAAATATTAACAGACATGACTGAACTGCATTGTGTCGGCTGAATACTGTTTGCTGAATACTGCCTCATCATATCCTCATATTTGTTCCTGAATCCATCAGTGATGCTGTTTTGTCTCTATTCAAATGTATTTGTGTGTGTGTTGCACTATGTGGTAGTGGTCACAAAATGATATAGATTAGTGCACGAGCCTGGCTGCCCGTTTTCTTTTTTTAGAGTAAACAAGTGTTGGTGACTTGAAATGTCCCCTTATTTAGCTTCTTTCCCCCCTCTGCTTTCTCTTATCCTTTCTCCTCTCCTTCCATCTCTTGCCTGCCCCTTTCCTTTCCCCCTCCATGCTCTATGCTGATCCAGACTTTGGAATTCAGTGTTGCTATGGTAACAATGTCGGGTTGGTCCTCTCTGCCTCCCCCTCTTGCTCCTCTTATTCAGACTAGATGCAGTGCACATGCCCTGGAGTCTTTCTCACTTTAGCCTGTAACACTGCCCCTGCTGTAATTACTCTTTCTTTCTGTATGAATTTTGGAGTTTAAATTGGCTGATTGACATCAAAATAAATGTTTTAAAAGTCATATCAATCATTTTGATTAGCAGCTTTTGTTTGATGTGTATTCAGAAAACGCTTTACAGAAAGGTGAATGGAAATGCTGAAGACCAAAAAAATGTACAAAATGTGTGCTCTCTTGGTGAAGATATCCAACTAGCTTTATGTCCAGAAAATGCTAAGTTGTGCTCCATTTAAATAGGTGACATTTATGATTTTCTTTGTCTTGGATATGTGAGTTTGCCTATCAGTTTCGTCTGATGGTGGCGTTCAAAGAAAAATCCTTTAAAAGTCTAAGATTTAAGATAAAAACTGTACAAATTGGCAATTTGAAGAGGACAATGATCGTTTCTCTTCAAATTAATGTGCTTAATTGAGTGTTTATTACCGAAAAAAATTGTATTTTCTCAAATTAGTACGGAAGTAATTTCTAATTTAACTCCGTCGTCATGTGATGACCATTTTTCTGGGAGCCGTACATGCAGAAAAGACATTTTGTGCTTTTTGTGTTTTGGATAGGCTATTCCTAACAGCCTTAGCCACTGTGACATTGTTTACATGTCCTTCAGCATTACTGATAAAGTGGTTGGATTTGTATGCTGGTTGTATATGCATAGTGCGACTTCCATTTACTTTGTAATTAGTATGTGAGCCATCCCTTCTCTGAGATTCATGCCTAAAGGTCACATAAATATGTTGCAGGTCACTAGCTATACCAGCTTTTCCGCAGCAGCGCTGCACACGCATCCGGACTATTCTTTGTTCTCCGAGGAAAGATGTTGTTTTCGAATCTGTATGCAAAGTGTATGACTGTGTCTGCATGAACTGCAAATCTGTGGGCACAGATTACAAATGTTATTGCAGAGTATGTTTACGCATGGCTGTGTTTTTTACTCAGTCGACCTTAGATGAGCTCTGTAGCACGCAGCTGTTAAACTTACTCTGAAAAAAACACTTCTTTGCCCACAAATAGAAAAAAAACTACCTGTGTTTTAGATAGAATTCATACTGCTGTAATGTGAGATGTGGTTGTGTCATTCAGTGCTCCACTAATTCCTGAATATTGGAATCGAGTTACTTAGATCATCAATTTTCTGTTTTTCTAGTTGTGAGAGGAACTGAAAAAAATAGATCCAGACACGTTAATCTCCCACATCAGCAATAATTGAATTTAGTGAAACTCTGTTTTCTTGTTCTCTCACTAGCTTTAAAAAATAAGTATTATTTAACAGATGGTTGTTAAACTGAGTCAGGCTAAGCAGACCCAAACACAGTTGAATACAAATTTAAATTATAAGTTCATTTTTTATACAAGATGTCCTGTACATGAGCAAATTCACACCTTTGTAATGTAACTGCAAATTAAAAAAAATGCACTTTTTTCTATATGTAGGTAACTTGTGACAATAACAAAAAAAACTCTCTATGTCGTATGTTCACTTGGTCTGTTGCAGCATACGCAGAGGAGCAGCCACCATGGGGTGTTTTCTGCAAGTTTTGTGCAAACAGTAGAAGCACGAAGAACAGGACATCCGTCCACAACATCCACCGACGCCCACTTTCCAGCAAGGCAAAAGGACAGAGGCCGGGGTTCAAAAGAGACAGAAGAGGCAAAAGAGTGATAATAAGTGCAAGGAGGAGCGAGGGGTGCAGGTGAAAACAGTCGATGGATGCTGTCCGGATTGAGGGGACAGCAAGTTCTTCACTGACGGGGAAAAGAAAGATTTCAAAATTGAGTCGAAGGATAGAAACTCGCCGTCAGGTATGTAAGATTTTCGGTCTGCCTGTCAAAAAGACGTTTTACATTTGATCACTGTGAAGGCCAAACTTTTCACATAGTAAAAGATGTCTGCAGTGGAAACAGTGTGATGTGGAGCAAAATTCCCTCTTGAGCTGATGTCCTATGACATGCAGCACGGCGAATTATCTGATGCGGTGTGTGTCTGAGGATGTTTGCATGCAAATGGTGCACCCACACGGCCTCCCGCTAACAACAGGTACAAGGTGATCGCATGTGTGACGTGATGTGCATGTGTTTGCCGCTGTGCCTCCAGTGCTGCTGATTCTGAGGTGGAGAACAGTGTCAGGGTCATGAATATGGAGTTGACTGATTGGGAGGGTGTGATCTGGGGTGCTTCACATCAATTGTCTTGTTAAGCAGAGTCAGCAGAGTCACCAAACTCTCCTCCAAGGACGCATCATACGGCAACTCATGCACCTCCCACATTGCATCCACCTCTTTTCATTCACCTCCTTCTCAGCATCTCACCCTTTCCCAATCCTCTCTCCTGCATGCTCCCTTTCTTCTTTGAATAACTTGCTTTACGATTTTTCTCTCCATCTTCTCTCCCCTCCCCTTGTCCTCCTCCATTCCATCTTTCTAAAGGCATGGTGTGTGAGAAGGGGATCCAGATCCTTCTCACCACCGTGGGGGCATTCGCTGCCTTCGGCCTGATGACGGTGGCAATAGGGACGGACTACTGGCTGTATTCCCGCGCCCTCATCTGCAACAGCACAGCCAACGTCACCCAGGATGATCCCCATAATAAGGACAAGAAGGACCCTGGGGCACTCACCCACTCTGGGCTATGGAGAATATGCTGTCTAGAAGGTGAGGAAGAAGTAATGAAGACATTGGGGCAGGATTGAAACTAATGCATGTGAGATTTGCTTACATCGATAAAGTTTTAATGTAGCCGGTGTAGGAAAAATGATTTGGGATATGTGAGGGAACAAAGCATAAATAACTCACCTCGTTGCTCAGAGGTGTTATTGTCTTTTTTGTTTCTTTTTTTATTTATGTCAAGGTACATTGCACTTTTTAGATGTATACTGGCAAACTTTTCTTCTGATGCCTCATACAAGGTCATTTGTCCAGGATCATGAGTGACCATACAGTGGACCTCCACTCCAGGGTATACTAAGAATTTTCAGGCGGACTTTGATTTGCCTTTCTTGTAATGTAATGAGCATGAGTCTTCAGCTTCCAAACCTTAACTTGACTTTCGATATTTCTGTTTCTGGTTTAGTGCTAGCCAGCTGCTTAGAAGAGCTTGTGGCTGTTATTCATTGAGAAAATGTTTGAGAATCTCAGTATTTTAAAGGATCTTAATCCTACATCACTTGGCATTTAATAAAGATAACTGTGATAAACCCTGAACTGAAGAGATCCCATTTCTATTTAGAACCTTTGACCAGGGATGGCCAAACATGTGTTTCCCACTACATAGGATCCACCTTAGTGGAAACTTCACATTCCATTTATTGTCAAAGATTTAGGGTAAAGACACATTTTCCATCATTCACTTTGGGTTTTCTAAATGATATAAGGGTTTTGTTTTTTCCTTGCCAAATGACAACTTTTCCATTAAGTTTATAAAACTTAATGGAAAAGGACGCATCATTCGGAGCATCGAGATTGAATTTTTGTGCTTGTTCGACCATGCCTTGAAAAAAGGAAGATACCTGTGAATAGTGGGACACGCGCAACTCCGAAGCGTAACTCCCTCTAAAAAATAATCCATAAATCATTAGATTCAAGGTGCACTTATTTAAGTCAGGAGCTGAAACAAAAGCATGCCTTTGCCATCTATTTCTCATTTAAAGCAGCAGAAGGTACAGAAACTGGCAGCAACCATCTCTCAATCTTCAGATTTTAACTGCAACACAAGCTGCTAATTCATTATACATTAGACTGCTTGGCTGGCGCTCAAGAGCGAAGGCTGGGATGGAGTTAACAGGGAAGTAGCTACAGCCAAAGGGAGTTTGCGAGCTAGTGATCTCTGCCTTTCCTTTCATCCGGACCGAGGTGGAAGCGTTTCTGTCTCCAGGAAAACCTCTTGGCTCTCTTTATAAAGCATCCCCGGCCCATCTTGTGCTTGGTCATTGTACAAAGCTAATTTGTCCTCATTGCTAAGCTTCCTGATAGCAAAGCAGCCAATTAGAGATAAGCTCTAGCCCTTGCAGCTCTACTGCAGTGCACCCCCACCCTTTCCTTCCCATGCCCCACTCTCAGTTTCTCCTTTCACCCTCCCAGCTTTGTCTCACTCCTCCGAACATTACATTTCATCTTTCACTGCTTCTCCCATGTCTTTGCCGCTTTTGTAGTTTGTGTTGCCATCCAGTCTTTTCTCTCACATTGTGGTGCAGTAAAGATGACAGTGTCTTGGCATGGCTTAGAGGTCAAGTATCCTTGATGTCTGTGGAGTATTCAGCCAAGAAAGATGTTCAGTGGTCACGCAGTGATGCAGTGAGGTGTAGCTGGGGTGGAAATGCAGGACATGCTAGCTCTAAAAGATTTATGCCTGCGGGTGGGTGGCACATTATGCTGGGAATAGAGATGTGTCCTGTCCTCTTCTCCCTCCCGCAGATTTTCAGATGGAGGGTTTGCTATGAGTAACCTGCTAATGATTACTTTCTTTATCCCTTTTGAAACATTTCACTTTTCAAGTTGACTTTACATCTACTCCTGTCATTTAGCCCACCTGTATTATAACCCAGGGAGTTCATGTTGGTGGCATTTTTACACACACAAATCAACCATCAGCGCAATCACCTAATCTCGAGAAGAGTCTCGCTTTGCAGCAAAAGCAGCCCTGAACTGTTGGGGCCGTGAACTTCAGCAGATCTCTACAGGCATGCTGTGGTATGTGGCACCAACCCATGAGTGACAGCTCCTTTAAGTGCATCCTGGTGGAGTGTCTCTTCTAGACAGGTTGCCCACCAGGAACTGGCCGTAAGGATGTAGAGCAAAACGTAATCAATCCAGCCAGGCTTATCCAGTTCTGATGCCTGCATATTCCCCATTTTGGGTATGTTGGATCCTTATTGACACTTAGATTGGTCTGTTGCCAAGCAGCTCCCTTTACAACAAGCTGCAATGAGCGTTTTGGGATTTTTCTAGCTGAACCAGCACAAACCTTGTCATAAATTTCAAATGCAGAAGCTCCTCTGGGGATTTCAGATCGTCCCAGGCATAACTCTGTCACTGGTTCATGGGTTTTCCTTTTCCAAACCATTTTAAGTAGGTCCCGTTGTACACCAGAGTTGTTACACTACAGTTTCCCATTTTCAATTTGAAATACAAAATGTTTATGTGTTGCCTGACATATCCCAGAGACTGGAAGGTCTATTTGTAATGATATGATGGTAAGTCTTCATTTTGAGTAATACTGAAACACTTTAACTTAGATATATTTACTTATCCATTAACAGGCTGTATATATAGAGAGAGATTTTCTTAAAACTGAAAAATTTTCAGATAAACAGAATAAGGTATTAATTGAGTGTGTAAAGATTTTTCCTTTCTCACCTTTGCTTTGGCTCTGAGCCATATCACAACAATAGTGTGCTTTTTTTTATTTATTTTATTTATTTTTCTTTCAAATGTCCTCGGTTGGACAATTAAAAAACGTTCCTTCCAAAGCCAGATTTTTAGAACGTAAATTGTATAAATCCTTGATATTCCAGGATACTCCTGTCCTTTTTTACCCAACTGCATTTAGGCTGTCATTCATTCAGCCTCCGTCAGTGTATCCTGTGACCTATTGCAGGATCCCTAAAGCTCAGTCTGCTGATTGTATTTTAGAGAAGGTCTTCAAATGAGCCCCAATTCAACCAGTTTCAAGAGTAAAATCCAGCTGTGCAGCAATGCAACGCACACATTTAACAATCTCAGAGCGAAGGTAATAGCATGGCAGGCACTTCATTTTGCTTTCGATACTTTAGACAGATAGACCCTTAAAGGACTTTGACACCTTTCATAAAGAAAGGCAGAAAGAAAACAGTCAAGGTGCTATCGTACCCTAATGTTTTTCAAGGTTTCAAAGATCCCTTGAGGATAAAGAGTCTCAGGGCAGACGCTTACCCAACTGATGTCCCGCTCCTTTGTACCTCCATCTGTTTCTTTACAGACTAACTTGTGGAAATATAAGAGCTGTGAGAAAGAGACCAGCTCATCCCACATCTGTCCGTCACTCCTTTCGTCTGTGTCTCTTCATTCCATCACTCCATATTTCTCAAAATCCATCCATCAGCAACAGTGGTGTGCTGTCATCACCGTGCGTCCCTCCGTCTGTCTGTCTACATGCAAGACCCCGCCGGGTAGCTATCTGTCTGCCTGTGTGTCTCCATACTTGTGTTGTATGTGTTGAAGTGTGCGTCTGTGCTGAGATGTGACTAACATCTGCTTCTAGAAGGCAGGGCCATTAACCTTTGTGATGTTTTTAATCATTATTTCGGGACGTGCACAAATGCTTGGGCTCAAGTATAAGTTTTTATTAGATAAGAAATAAAAGCACTGAAATGTTTTATTTGGAGGGCAGGTTCTGTGAGAACTTTCGGTTGAGTCAGGTAACTCTGTTTCTTCTTTCATTTCTCAGGAGTGAAGAGAGGAGTGTGTTCACAGATTAACCACTTCCCAGAGGATGCAGACTTTGACCACGATGGGGCAGAGTACGTCCTACGTAAGTGACTGGAGATGAACAACGGAATGGGTGGAGCTATTTTTGTGTTATTTAAGAAAACAGGGTGAAAATGACTTTCGTCAGGTTCTAAGTTTAACATTTAACCGCCTGTTCCTGGGTAGAAAATCTCAATGAGAAAGAAACATGTGACAGTGTGTGGAAGGTTCATGGGGGATGGAGCGTTCTCATTCACACTAAGCGTCCTGAAGTCGGGGCCTTCTGCTCTGTGATTGGCTGCACGTGGGCCTGTGCACGCATGACGCCTGTGCTCGGTCTAAAATGTTGCAGAGGCATTTTGCTGGCATTTAGGTGGCATTTTCTCTCCAGTGGCCTAGTTGTCCTAGATGAGAGAAGAGTGTTAATGTGTGTTTGTGAGTGTGTTTGCACTTATGCTTGTGCTTACTTGGTTGGCAGGCCTTCCTGAAAGCACCGTAGGCCACTTGGGAACATTTGATTCGATTGTGTGCCTGGAACTGAACAATTCATTTCCTTACCAGAGATTATTTGTGCAGCAAAATTTGTATTTTTTTGTGACTGTCTTCAGATTTTCAGTTGTTTCGAACTCAGCAACATATTGTAAAGGTTTGCTTACAATGCCGATGAAAACATTCAGGTTCGCTTCAAAGTCCAAAGGCACTCTTGTGATTCCCATTTCTTTTTGATGAAAAGCAAAATGTGAGTGCCTAGACATTTGATTTTCTAGTTAATAAAAACTTTGCAGGTTCTTTGTGAATACGTTTATAATGCAGTGAAACAAATGCATGGTTGCAAACCTTTTCTTGTGTGCCAGATAATGTCCCTTCTTCTTCTTTGATTTTACCACTCACCTTTATTTTTTGCCCCGTTCAGGTGTAGTAAGAGCTTCCAACATCTTCCCGATCCTTAGTGCCATCTTGCTGCTGATGGGAGGAGTTTGCATTGCTGCTAGTCGTTTCTACAAAAGTAAAAGGAACATTATCCTGGGTGCTGGAATCCTCTTTGTGGCTGCAGGTAACTGACCCATACCACCTGTGTACTTCTATGTAGAGCTGGATGCATGCTTGTATACCAGTGTTCGAGTAATATGATGGATTATCTGGCCTTTAGGACAGTTTCTGAAGTGTTTGTGTCTGACTCCCTGAGCTCGTGTTACTCAGCTTATCGTCACATTTATTGCTCAAACTTTCAGCTGTTGCAATCTAAACCGTAATTGAAGACACTTTTATCAATTCCTACCGTGTCGTCTGTGCCCTTGCAGGTCTGAGTAATATAATCGGTGTGATTGTCTACATTTCTGCTGCGCTGGGGGACATTTCTCCTAAGAAGGACGAGGATAAGAAATGGCAGTACTCCTATGGCTGGTCCTTCTACTTCGGGGGCCTGTCCTTCATCATGGCCGAGATGGTGGGGGTGCTGGCCGTCAACATCTACATCGAGAAGAACAAGGAGCTTCGCTGTCGCTCTCGTACCGACATTTTTAAGAGCACCACGCATGCAATGCTTCGCCTGCCCAGCTACCGCTTCCGCCGCCGCTCCCGCTCCTCCTCACGCTCCACCGACCCCTCTCGCTCTCGAGACCCGTCACCTGTCGGGGGCGGGGGAAAGAACTTCGGCCTGCCCCCCTCCGCGCTGCTCTCCCAGGGCCCCATCTCAGTGTCCACTCTGCCTAACCCCCACTCGCGCTCCCACACGGCCCTGGCTGGAGGCGACATCTCCCTCTACACCTTGTCCCGCGACCCCAAGCTGGGAGGCTTGCCGCCCATGTACGGCACTGTGGACAGGGCCACGCTCTACCAGCTTCACAACTGCTTCCCAAAGGAGGGGGGCGGCGGGGGGGTGATGATGAGCGGCACGCTGCCCTCGCTCAAGTCCCACAACCCTTCCAATTCCTCCAACTCCAATGCACCAATGGCCAACTCCGTGGGCTCCGGCCCTCCACCCTTCACCTCGTCTACTATTGACAGGGAGCGAGGGATGGGGACTCTGGACAGGCTGAAAGGAGACCGGGAAAGCAACTCGAACACCCTCAACAGGAAGACGACGCCAGTGTAGGAAGGGGGACGAAGAGGACGGTAGCGAACAGCATTTGTGTGACTCAAACAGAAATAGATAAACTCACAGACAGGTGAAACTCAATAACTCTCCCGTCATTTTCACTGTTATTTAGTTGACTAAATCTCACTGAGAACAAAAGAAGAGTAATAACAATACGATAATAACAACAACAATGGATTTTCACAATGAAAATATTTTGATATCTCCGCGTGCTAGAAATGATTTATTTTGTTAATGATCAAATGCAATTAACCTCGGGCTTTAATGACAACATGTCACATTACTGCTGTGCAATATTTCTGCAAATTTAACCAGACCATCTTTTATGTGAAGTTGTTGTTGTGATTATTCTTAGTGTTATTACAAACAAGCTACGTTTGCGAACACTTTGGTTTGGTATGAAATCTTAATTTCTATGTTCCTTTTGTTTCACTCTGATTTTAGATCTTTATGACTGTAACTGTGAATTCTTCCATGCAGAGCCACTGGGAAGTGAGCTGTGTGTAACTGTGTCAAAGTGACAAGCATGAGTGTGCACAAAAGTTGAAAGAATGAGAGCCTGTCTTATTTTTTTAACCCCAATATTACAACATTTTCATTTATAATATGAAGTCAGATGTGAATACTGTATATTGTCTTCCAATACTGATTCTAAAAGAAATGCAACAACAAAGTGAGTGACTGAGACAACTGACCAACTTCATTGTTAGCCTGAGTTTTCTATGGGCCTCTGTTAGTTATATTTCCATTCTAATCAGTGTTAACAGTAGTACCTGTAGCTTTAGTCGTGTTGAAGATGTTTGTTCTTGGGCATTAACAGAAACCTCTGATGGGAGGAAACCGAAAAAAGAGACATTGAATAACACATTTGTACAGAATCAGGTAAAGGTTGCTGCCTGAGCAGAAGAATTTCGAATTCAGTCCGTTTTTTCTATGAAAATTCCCAAACTGACACATGCAAATCATCATTCACAGTGGCAAAAAAAAAAAAAAACGTGTATGAGGGTTTAAAAAAGGAACGGAAAAAAATAAAATATATATGTACATTGTAATTTATGCATACATATATTTGTAAGTCTATAGATACATTTTTTGGAACCACCGATCATGCATTTGGGCAGGGCAGGTTTTGACTTAAGTGTATCGATCCCAATTTCCTCCTTGGACTTCGTACTTGCCCCTCCTCTGCTCATTTATTTGTCCTATGATCAGTGTTTTCACTACATTATTGCATCTCCAGTGACAGCTTCATCACGCTGAGATAACCCCTTAACTTCCCCAAAGATTATTTTCACTGTGCTTCCTTTGTAAACTGCCAGCCCCTGAGTCTGAACTGTTTATGTTGATGAGAATGTAAACGCATAGAATCCCCCCCCCCCTACCCACCACCTTTCTCTCTTCAAAACTGTTCCAAGTGACGGGGTTGAATCTTTGGACAGACCTGCTATATGATGAAGTGAAGAAACAAAATAATGACCAGATGCTTCCAGATTCTATACATTTGAATTTCTTTTATTTCATTTCAGAAAAAGAACAATGTGAAAAAAACTGCACACAGATAGCATTTATGTGGGCAATATGAATAGTATGTAGTTGAAAATAGATATATCTAGACAAATGACTATGGTTTATCTAAATGTGTGATAAACTTAAACACTGTATTGCACGAAGTTTATAAAAAAACCAATAACAGACATATTCACAGACTGCTGTCTTTTTTTATTGAAATGAGACAGACTTTTCTCGTGATGCAGTGACTAATCAAAGAAGTTTTTAAGATGGGGAACTGGGTAAACTTAAAATAAAAGATGGGAGGTTTTAATATACAAAATGTGCAGATCATTAAAATATTTCAAAATATTATAAAAACAGAAAAAGTTCTGAGTTCCTTCTTTTTGTGAATCCTGTTTTCAAAAGATTTGGAAAAAGGTGCCAGCTTTTCTGGGCCCGAGCTCATTAAAAAAAAGCAGTCCTGTTGTTTTGGAATGGAGATTGTGCAATTTTGTGAAGAACTTAGACATACAGCAGTAGTTCAGACTGTAGTCAAACTACTCTCAGTTTGGAAAATCTGAAACGTATCCATTGAGATTTGTTAAAAAAATACTCAAATTGAAGAATGATCAAAAATATCAAAGTAGTTTGAGCTACGTTATGTCGTTTTCTTTGTCAATACAATATCTCCATATCTATGAAGCAACCCATTATGAGGTTCTTTTCCACACAGTCTGGATCGTGATTCCAAAGACCTGTTCTGTGTATCTGTCTGAGCTTAAGTGCACCCCAAATATACCTCAAGCCGCCATGAAACTTTGAGTTTTGACTTGTTTTACTTGGAAAAATATTTGTCCCAATCTACGCACCTGCACCATCGGAAAACTCTACGACCCTTCAAACTGAGATAATTCTAACTGCTGACTACACCAGATAAGGTGTAAAGTTAATCATGACAACTACAAAGTTATATATAAATGATCCCTTCAGAACACACCAAATCTGAGGTGATGGACACCTCAGATGTTTATTGATCAGGAACATGTTTCAACCCTAACCCCCCCAAGCTGGGATCATACAATAAGTAGCAGATTCTATTAAATTTCACAGATGAATTATAACACGCACATAGTTGGCCATTTGTAAGCAAGCACTGTTGTACGTTAGCACTTATGCTCAAGGTCTCTCAGGTAATCTTTTGTGTGCTGTGATCTTAAAAAGTCTTTACCCTTCCCTGTCAAACCTGCTGCTCTTTATATTTGCAAATGTATGGGCAGCACCAGATGGGCGGCATTCGCCAAAGAGGATAATGAGAAAATGTACTGAGAGTTAATTCAGAGTACGTTCCCGTGACACCTATCTCAGCACGGCCCTCTCTTCTGCTGACAGTCCCATATCGAGCCTCATGCATGATTTTGCATGCACAATTACAAAATGCTCTCAAGGACTGCTTTGGTTTTGTTCGACCTCAGAGGGACGATCTCTGGCAGGAGGCAGAAGGCTGGCAGGTCCCTTACCCAGACATGAGACTACAGTTACATTAGGAGGGGGGCCGGATGGAGTGTCACTCCCTTTACAAGGAGCCTGAGATTCCAGAGAGTTCTACTGGACTTTGGGGATTAGTTGCAGAGTTCTTCTCTCTGCTATTATCATACCTATTCCAATCTAGTTACAGTCCCAGTGAATCTGCAATGAGAGATCCAATTAGTGAGGCTGCCAAAGCAAACCTACGCCAGATTTAGCCCACGGGCACCACTCCTTGTCCTATAACACCCATTTGTTTTTCTAGGAAAAGATCAATACTGATAACAGTTAATTATCATAAACTATTTGATCTCCTCCTTTAATCTACAGGGTCTCCATCAGAAAATCTGTGGAAAGAACAGTAGAACATGGCTTGCTTGAGAAGTAATTGTGTTTTTTCTTCAAACAGGCACATGGATGAATGATGTTTAATGGACGTATTGATGACTTTAGCCGGATGATAGGGTATCTTGTGTACAGTTTTGGTTCAGTGGTAGAAGTTTCCCAACACCTTATTCTTCATGCACATATGCACATTATAAGAATATTACACAAAAAGAAGAACAAGAAAAGAAAATATGCAGAAAGTATTCATGTATTGCTGCATAAGTAATTCATTCATCATCTAAGTATGCTTTCTTATGCAGAGGTGATGATGTCAGATGTGCAATCATCAACATAACCATCAGTTGGTATATCAGTGTCTTTCATCTTTCTATGAGTCCCCCAACACCTGATAAGCAGCATTAGAAAGGAAAAACGCAGCAACTGTGAAAAAGACTAGAAAAGAATAAATGAACCTGTTTCATCTTCTCCAAACAAAGTTTCCATCATTTTAGCCAATCAGGTGTCCACATCTGAGTTTCCAGCCAGTTCATTTTGGAGTGTTCTAAGATAAATTTCTTGATTGGCTGGAGTGATAATCTCCAACAGGAGCTCTTTAGCATAAAGTTGCAGAATGTCTCCAAACATTTTTGCAAACACCCCATGCTTCAGCTCAGGTCCAGTCACAAGGAAAAAAAGGATCTGAGTGTCTTACCCCCCCAAAACTACCAGACATCATCGCAAGGACTTGTGTTGGAGGCAGTTGTGCTGACTGCCTGTGCTCTCAGCTGTTAGGCTGACATTGCACCACGGCGGCTGCCCCACTTCCTGCCCTAGTCCCTTTTACTTAGTGCAAGTATGATCACCTGTATACGTGCTGAAACAGGGAGGTCGGGTTATTGCTGCTGGAGGGAGCAGATAGTGCGAGGTGATGCAATTCACTGGAGGCTTTTGAATGCTAAACAGTTACAGAACACACTGGAAGCCGTCTGAATCAGACCGCTGATAGCCCAAAACTGGTTTGGTCATCGCACATCAGCTTTTAGTCCACTATTTTGAACAGTTAGTTGTTATCTTTTCCAGCATCGTGACATTGTTCACATCTATAAAAAAAAAAAATTAAAAAGTAATTATAAAGCCCTTTTGTAGTGCTCCTATTGTGACATTTTCCTATTTTTCAAATTGACTTGTATAATAAACCGGCCATGTGAATCTAAGTCTGGTTTATAGACGTCTAACACAGATACTTAGTGTTTGTTTTGTAGAGACAAAGTTTTATTAGAGGAAAACAAATCTATGGGTGGGAAAATATGGGGCTGAAGAGCATCACAAAACATTTTCTTCACTGATATTCTTATTATTATTTCAAAATGCATGAAGCACCTGTGGAGACAGGAAAAGTATCGGAATAAACCCTCCTCTCTCTTGGCGATGTCCCTTTGAAAGGCCATGGAATATGTCTGCCTGCAGGCACTAGATGGTGTGATGGGCTTTGTTTGGTGAGAAGAACCCCACTTTGAGCTGGACCTCAAGCGTTTCTGCCATGAATGTTCTTAGATTTTCCCCACAGAAAACTACGTGAATTTAAGAAAATTGATCTCAGTGACAAACTTAGGCCTTCTAACTTTTCTTTAAGCTTATTAATGGGAAACTGTTTCAAGCAGCAGTGCTGTGTTTTCAATCCCCATCAGGTAGGCTCATTCAGTGTTTAAATCACGTGCTGTCTGAATATGACAGCCCATGTATGGCCTAAAAGTGACTTTATTCATTTCCTGGAAAAGACTGTGTGTAAGAGTTGAGTTGTAAGTTAGTTGTGTGAGAGGGTTTGGTGGTGTGTGTTAGTTTGATATTATATACGGGAGCAAGTTTGAATTATGGCTCAGGGGGCCTCTCACAGGATAGTGTGTCATGTGGATTTGGTTTCTGTCCACTGGGAGTTAAAATCATGTGAGTATGTGTGTGTGTGTGTGCAGGTGAGCATGCGTCTGTCTGGATGCCATGTCCTCATCAGCGAGCTTCCTGTGGCTCGTTATTGGGGTATATCTGAGTTGGTCAGTCAGTTGTTTGTGTGTGTGGGACGGGGGAGTTGAGGTCAATGTGGAGGAGTGGTGTGGCAGTGACCTGCTGGCCTCCCCTGGAGACAGCAGGGAAAGTGACGCAGGGAGGTCAGGGTTGGAGAGGGTGCTGAGTTATGAAGATGGGGGGTACATTGTTGAAATTCAAGGATAAGGTTTCCTAACCTCTGCAGCTAAATGCTTTGCGATGAGCTCTGGCCTAATTATAGAAGGGTTGTTTTGGGGGATGGGGATGTTTGACTGAGAGGTAAGAAGTCACACAGTGTGAAAGGGTGAAAATGGGTGAATGTCAGAATGTAAGAGTGAAAGATTGCCATCCCAACACACCAAAGGTAGTTCTTTACGTCATGTCAAACCAGTTTAATTATGAGTGAAAGAGGTGCCACAAAATGCATACATGTGAGTGGAACAGGGCAGTGTATATTTTCAAAAATAGCTTGTACTGTTACAACACTATGTGAGCATCTCACGATAGAGACATTTAGACGTGTAGCAAATATCATCCCTTTCAGTCAATCCCAAAAAGAGTGAAGAGTTCTAAAGCAAAAGCATACATGTAGTATGTACAGAGCTGAGCTACAAAGTCAGCTGATGCAGTTCTCTGAAGTGCCGATAGTATTTAAACCTGTTCACGCAGTTCATTTCATTCATCTGACATTCATCCAGTGCACTACGGCAGCAGCCACCCAACCAATGCAAAAAGCATTAAGCATGTCGGCGAGTGTTTTAAATAAGACACTCCACCCCCCCCCCCCCCCCCCCCCCCCCCCCCCATGCAGACTACTGGGACTAAGGAGAAAGCCAAGAGAAATCTTTCTGGAGCATCAGAGCCTATATAGGGATGAGGTTGACAGATGGACAACAAAACACTGGAATTGATCCATTTTTACTATTGTAAACACTGAACAAAGTCTACCCATAACAAACATGAAGTTATTGTAGCCTTAGACAAAAAGATTTGAAGTACCTTACTACAATCACCATCATTGATTGATCATTGAGAGGGTGTTTATCGTCATTATTATTCTCCACATCATAAAACATATCTATTTTGCAGAGCACAAATATTGTCCTGCAAACATTCCGAACCCCCCCCCCCCAATTGACAAATGAAATCCTGACTAATATTACTGACTAATCTGATTTTTCTGGACTTGCTTCATCCCTGGTCTAGCGACATAGTTTGTTAACATATAATAAAAGCCCAGAACCTACTAAAGCTGCACTGATTCATGTATTTCTACGCACTATTTCTAAGAAATTGTGGCTCGTTTGAGACTTGGTCTCAACTCATGGTCTCTTAAAGTATTTCCAGATTGTTCATCTGCTCTAAGGAAACCCTGATTTTTATCTGACAAAGCCACCATTTAAGTAACTTAAATAAACACACACCAAGGTAGAGCCTTAAGTGTTGGATCTGAACTCCCCTGGTAAACATGGTGAAACAATGTACTTTTGTGCCATCATACAAACGCAACAGAGTGTGTTGTTGAAGCAGTGTATTTCACCAACCGAACCAAATATATTTCCTCCCTGAGTATTCTCACATTTTAGTTGCCTAGGGAGGCATTACGGGGTCTCTCTAGTTGACAACTATTGGCATGATGCAGGCTGAGCAGCACATGGTGCGTTTGAAAGATGGCAAACAAAGCTGCTGATTAAATATGTGTATTTTTTAAGTATCCATAAAAGCTATATACAGAGTAGCAGTGTAAATTCACCAACTGGATCAGCATGCACATACACCATTAGTGAAATCTCAGAGATTCCCACGTGGGCTCGAACATTACGCAAACTTTCTGCACAATGTTCTTTAAGACTGATTTGAACCTTTCCCTGCAGCCGCTCCACATATCCAGAGGGCAGCAGTGCTCTAAAAAAAATGGTCATTGTTTCATCCTGAATGGTATGGCCACCTCATATTATCATTCAATTGAAGGTGTTTCGTCTTGTTTTTCATATGAAACAGGTTACCAAAAGAATTATATACAAAATGTGCCGCTACAAGGTTTCAAATCTATATGGAGTTGTACAGCTGCTGGCATGCAGACAAACTTTTTGCGGCACTTGCTCTAGGAAACGCACACCATTCATTTCAAAAGAGTCAGCTAAGTCCTTCCTTCTACCCTCTACGAATGATAAGAAAAGATAATGCAAAATCTACCTCTAGAGGCCTTTTCGGGGCCTTGTACAAACTGTTGACTCCTCTTCAGAAGTTTGATTAAGACCAAAAACTACTGCCAGTATGAATTAAATGCCAAGAGCAAGTTCAAAGTCACTGCGGCTGGAAGCTCGTTTTGACTTGCCCTCAGACTTTAAGAATACTGCGCTCATTTTTCTGCACTCATGGGCTAGGTGGTGCTGTTCTTGTGTGGCAGGCATTTCTGCCATGGGCTAAAGGGGAGAGAGAGGAGGATGAAGAGGATGCCTCCAAAGATGAGGATGACCCCCGCTGAGCCCACGCAGGCCACGGACCAGGAGAGCTCGTGGTGGAGAGGTATGGTGTGGTCGCTGGACAGCAGGTGCAGCACAGACTGGTGGAAGATCAGGACAGACAGAAGGACCAGAACTCCTGTGGAAGAACAGAAATGGGACAGAAGGTAATTGGAGGGAGGTTAAAGTTTCTGTCTAGAACCAAGTCAACTTTAGGGACAAAATCAGAAACATGGATGTGTAGAAAGAGACACGCTAGCTTTCAAAGGTCCAAACGGTTATAAAACATGAAGATTGTGCAGAAATGTGTGTAACGAAATGTTGTGTCTAACCTGATAGAATAAAACAGAAGGAGGCTGGTTTAAGGAAGAAGGGAACTCCTTTGCTGAGGGACATGACGATACAAATGGAGCCCATCGCCATCATGGTCAGACTTAAAAGAGCCAGGACAGCAGCAGCGAGGTTTAGATCTGTGTGGGCGAAAATCAATTAAATCAATTAAGGTAAAACAGTGGGAGGGAGAAAATGCAGTAAACGACCAACAGAAGAGATAGAAGAGGTCCTTTGAGGATCCGAGCAGAAACTGTTTGGTTTGGCAGCCAAATCTTTACAATTTAATGAGTTTTCACATTTTGAAAAATAACAAGATGTACATCTGATCAACATTTTTATACAGTCCAAGCCACAGAGCTCAATGATTTTATTTTTTAACCTCTCCACCTCATGGTTATTTAGAAATACTGAAAATTAGGTTTTAACTTTTTTTAAAAATCCATTCCTATTTACATTCAGTTTTGCTTTAATTTCTGTACCCACTGTGGAGGCAAATGTATTCTGGCCAGATTGTTTTAAAAACACAAATCTTGGCATACTACCAGCCTGTTTCCATTTTGTAAGTCCGACTTCACTGCATTCTGTCAAATAGATGACACAATCATCAGCAGGGCTTTGAAATGAAAAATATCAAAAGAATTTATGATTTTAAAATGTGTATATTTTCCAGCTCTGTCTTCTTATCTGAAGCTGCTGCACAATGGAGCTGCAGGAATTTACAGAAACAGGACAGGGGGTCATTTGTGGACCTGCCAGGGTTCAGGGTTAAGATGGGTGCTCTGACTTGACACAGAAAAGTTTACTCTCTCTATGTCGGTTTTGTAAGGTTTTTATTTCTTCACATTGAGTAAAATGGAAATAGATTTAATACTCGTAATTTAGGCAGTTACATTTAGTGAGCATGGGGAATACCTCTACATACAAAATACCAACTTTTGGCTAAAAGATACAGATGATTTCAGGTCAGTGTGACATGGGTATCAAGGCCCAGCCAGCCATCTGAAAACTGCTTTGAAACAAGTGGCTCTGCCGCAAACACATTAATCAATGTGACGGCTCATGGCTTGCTTTGGAAAATGGGTGGTAGTGGAAGTTAATGGACTAAAACATGCAAAAACCACTGGCACGGCCCTGTGAGCACAACGGAGAGCATCTTTATTGATAGTAGCTGCTGGTGTAACTGTGTCTGCTGTACAGCAAAGGGTGTTGGGATGAGTATGATATCTCACTCCTGTTAGTTGTCTTCTTGAATATGACTGCATTCTCCCCAGAGGTGAAGAATTTGAAGTAGGTGCAGTTGGAATCTGTGGGTGAGAAGAAAAAAGAGAAGAAAAAACCACACTCAAACACTCCCTCCTATGGATAGCTGCTGGTCCTCTCTGCTGTGCCTACTATGCATCCATGCACCCTGTCCTTCCAGGCATCATTCCTATTTATATCCAAGAGCTGAGCTTAAGCTTGAATTCTTCGAGACACTCACCTCCCAACACACACACACACACACACACACATCTCCCAGCGCTGCACATATGGTGCCGCCAGTGAGGGTGAGATCTACAAAGGCCTATGGGTTGATGACAGAGGGTAGAGAGAGAGAGACGTACAGGAGGAAACACAGGTGGATTATACTTGGTTACGGAAAAAGGTGAGGGGAGGTGTGGGGTGAGTATGAGAGGAAGAGGAAGACAAGATGGATCTGAGGATGAGAGGAAGGGAATAGGGCGAGTGGGTTGCGGGCAGATGGAGGGGTGGTGAGCGAGGGGAAGGGGAGAGGAGCCACAGATGGAGAAGGAGGTGAGGGGAGCAGAGGATGTCAACAAGGGGAGGAATCACAGAGGGGTTAGTGAATACTGCATTAGACATACACGCTCCCTGAGTCTGTGTCTGTCCCTCTTCCTCATTTCCCCCTCTCTATATTTAGACAAAAACTGTGAAGTAGTCAGATTCCACTCGGCTTCACATTCGCATAGTGATGACTTTCGCCAACTGAAATGATCTGGTCCAAGATGACCACATGCACGTCCGCACACACACTCTCACATTCCTCCGCCCCACGCAAATATGCTCGAGCTCATTTTCAAACATTTTCTAATGAAGCAGATCGGCCATTTATCAGGCTACCGATTTTCTAGCACATGGGACCACGGCCGTCGACCGATTTTCCCTCGCTACGCCTACTGAGATTATGATCATTGAGCCATCCCGTTCCTCTCCAGCAGGCAGCAAAGATGGATCGCTGGTCTGACAGACACAGCATCAGCAGGCCTCGCTTTGCTTGGGACGGCAGCCAGAGGCATGTAAACGTGGATGTGAGAGGGCGGATCAGGGATCACAAAAAAAACAGTGTTTTTTTTTCCTACGAGCACGAAGAGCTCTCAGCCATCTGCGACAGGCGGCGTGGGCCGACTGTGGTGGGACGCACGCGACAGACCCTCCGAAACACACCGGTTTCTCTCACACACCAACAAACCATTTTGGAGTCAGATCCGGTCGTCAGAAGGAGTGAAGAAGTCTGTGAAAACTGCATGCCAAACTGACAGGCAAAATAAAGTTGTGACGCGTCAATAAAGGTGATGAACGCAAATAGGCACACATGTGATCCAGGTGTGTCCTTTTCGTTTCCTGGTGGCAAACTCCCTATGACAGGCTGGTATTCCAGGTCCCTCTCCGAATACCTGCCTCTTCTTCCCAGGCCTCCCTTTTCAGACAGAAGTAGGTCACTGTGCAGTTAATCGACTCTCTAACAAGAATCAAAGCATGGTCACATTGAATTAAGGGCTTATAGGAGAGAAATGTCACCAACTTAAACACAGATGTCCGTCAGCACATTAAAACTGTGCTTTCACATGTATGACCGGAGATAATAAGGTATCCAGTCAAGACAAAACTTTAACATTCAGGCATGTTGATGCATTAAAAAAATCCTTCTTCACTTCAGCTGCAGTAACTAACGGTACAGGAAGCCATTCATTTAAAAGCAAAAACTCTAAACAGTCTGTACATTATCTATAGGAAAGACCTGCATATATATGTTTGAAGGCAGCTTCAGATGCCGGGCCATAGTCTTCAGCTCCCTATTTTTGAATTTACAGTGAGTGCACAAATTCATGGGGAAAAAAATCAAATAAAATTATGCTCAGCAATCTAAAGATGTTGGGAACAACATGAAAAGAAATCTTGTTCTCAGCCTCTGTGTTAAGATATACAGACTTCAGTATGTGAGTAAATTCCCAGTAGATAAAGTCCACTATTTGTAACCTCTCGAAAGCATACTTTGACTGCTCTACATGAATCGTCTTTCAGACTGATGTGCACAACATAGAGGCAACCTCACAGCAGACGTGCATTCCGAGGGTCTACAGACCATCAGAGAAGCGAGACAGACAAGCCATTCCCTCCCGCTCACCCCACAGACGACGTCCACAAACACGCACACGGCAGCCAGAGATCTCACCTCCAGGAAGCTCAGCGGGGCCGCAGCTCGTCCTCTCCGGGTCTATGTCAGCCACCCACAGCGTGCGGACGCAGCCCTTCCAAAGGCCGTAGTGGGCCATCTGGCACGTCTGGTTGTTGCTGAAATTCTTTGGTTGGGCCAGCTCCACCCAAAATTCTGTCCCCATGCCCAAGACCGTCAGGGTCACCCCAACGATAGACACAAAGAAAGCCAGCTTGATCTTCCCCTCCTGGCTGTCACTCATCTTGTTGGTCCGCCTCTGTCCTCTGACGCCTTTCATTCCCCCTAAACCCCCGCTCTGCCCGGCCCCTGCCACCCCGATACGGCCCTCGTCCTCCTGCTGCACAAAGTAGTTGGACCACATACTGGCAAGAGCTCAGGGAGGCCAAACTATGGCCCTCGGAGCAAAGATAAGACGGTGACAAACAAACCCCCCCCAAAAAATACTAATTTTAAAGAAAAAATCTGGGTGGATGGGGCGCCAGATGGGAAGCGCTCTGTCAAAACTCGAGAGACACAGCTGGGCTGTGCTGAATAAAGCAAGTCGTCAGAGGACTCAGTAAAAAATAAGTGGGCTGGACGATGAAATTAGACAAAAAGGAGCTATGAATAGATCAGCGGGGATGTTGTGGGCGGATGAAGTAAGGTAATAAAAAGATGGGATGAGGCGGAGGCACGAACCAGGAGAGCCGGGCTGTTTTCTGTCCAATCCTCTGAAACAGTGAGATGAAACAGGAAGATGAAAGAAGCAGCCAGCATATGCTTCATCAGAGCAAAATCCTTTCATCGCCAGTGTAATATTTCATTTTCAACAGCTTTGTAAGCAGCCACCCTATTCCCTCCATAAAAGCCACGTGACGTGCTCTTAGCCAAAAGATATGCTATATGGCATATCCTTGGAGAGAAGATTCGGTGTCATATAAAGTAATATTTGGTCTCGTATCTGATGGAGTGGTTTGATTTAGGGTCAAAGTGAATGAAAATAACCCAGTGCCGGACCGGACCACCCATCTTTTGTTAACATACAGGCGCTAACAACAGAGCTTCTCCCTCAGCAGGTACACTCTCTGCAGCTTTGACACAGATCCCCTTTGATCTGAGGGGATGATGGTCTGCCACAAGCGCCTCCCGTCCTGCATTACATCTTCTGTCAAACACGGAGAGTCTGCAAGCCCCACTGCATGTTTTACAAGTGCGCCGAGGTCCGGTTCTAGCTGGTGGTGTTATTCTGAAACGCGAATGAGGGGCCCTTTTGAAATCTGTAACAATGCGAGCGTCGGGACTCAGTGGTGCCGCCACCCTTTGCGGGGCGCATTAGAGGTGATAATTCAAAGCTGAACCCTCTGACAGAGTCGGGGCTGCAGTCCAACAGGTCACAGAGAGGAGGCAGGAAGCCAGGCCAGCTCAGACAGAGCAGGGAGAGGCCACACACAGTTGGTGGATCGCTTAATTCAGAGCTTTGCACTGGCAGCATCACAGGTTTTAAATAGTATAAATAACCCTCCTAGTAAAAGCCCACTGCTCCGTCTTTTGCAATATAACCACGACCGTGTAAACATAACAGTTTAAAAAATGTAACTTCAGAGATTTGAAGTATCCATTGTCTTAACGCCATTCACATGGCAAATTTCGCTACCACAGAAAATGAAACAACCATTATTGAACATTAAACATTTCACAGTTTGGGCATAAGAAGTTAGTTGATGATATTTTTCTGATCTACTTAGATACGATTATTATATCATTAAAATATTCAATCACCAGGCATTAACAGAACAACTCCATACAAATACAACCATTGAAAATTTTGATTTGACACAGTTAATTTATTAAGCCTTTATAATCATTGAGGCTCCAGAAAAGAAACCAACTCGGAGGTTTTAGAAGTAAAAAAAATCATACACTGTGGTCTGTTTTGTGTTACTTGAATAGATCGATCACCCTTTAGGGTTACTGTGATAAACCCATTATGTGAGTCTGAATGAAGCTGTTTTAGAGAAAAAGTAAAAAGGCAACATTAAAAAGTAAATCCAAACACACCATGTTAATTCTCATATTGGACACAGAACTAGTAAAAAAATGTAATACCACTACTGACAATAATTGTTTCTAATGCTAAATATGTGATTGGGTATTAAAGAAAAACCTTATGAATGTTTATGTTTTATAAAAACACACCTGCTGGAAAATCTCACAACTACATGGAGTAACTGGCAACAGGTCAGATCATGGGTGCTCAACAAGTAAAAAATAAATAAATAATTAAAAGTTGTGGAAGGTTTTACAACTCTGCTGCAAGAAAAGTTTAGTAAAAAGCCAATGAAAACCAGATGTATTCATGTAATAAACCTAAGATCCAGACAAGCAGGCCCGTATTAGAGTGCACGTAGCATCAACTGTAATAAAGAATATTAAGCATGCAGCTGCTGACAGCCAAGTTAGTAGTCATAGGATTACAAACCTTGATCACATTACGTCCATACTAACTCCCCAGTGATCATAAGGGGTACGAGACCCCAGTTTGAATACCGCCTACAAATGCAATCTATATCATCAACAACCACCTACAGTCATCCATCCACATTCATCTGTCTGATTTCACAATGATAAAAAGCACACAACCTCGACCACTGAGGGCTGAGCAGGCGACAAACTTGTGTACACGAGGGCATTTCATGTTGAGAAAATCAGGATTTCTCTCTACCCTTATGCAGCCACGACAGCCACCGTCACCCGGGTGACGCGGGGGCGAAAGAGAGCAACAGCAGGCTTAGGCACCTGGGCGAAAAGAAGAATAAGTCTGACCTGTTTGGTGCGTGTTGTTCAGTTCAGGAGGAAGAGACGCTTGTAACTTAATAGAGGGGCTGAGTGGTGATGGGAGAGTTAGTGCAAGGGAAAAGGGGTGGGAGGGAGCTATGTGAGAGTTATGGAAAGTGAGTGTAAAAGGGTTGGGGTTGTTGGTGAGGGGGCTGTGCTGTGGCCTGGTTGGTTAACACTGTGGATGATTAAATGTGAGTGCGTCCCCCCCCCCCAACCTTTCTTCACAACTCAGTCCCAGCAGCACGCTGATCAGACCCCGTAAACTGCATGTTGGAAATGTTCAAATCAGTGAGCGTGGAGGCTGCCGGGTGGTCTGCTCCCATGATGACAGTCCTGCCAGCACAGTTGAAAACATGTCGGTGCTGGCCTTGCTGTTTGTGTGCGTCTATTTTAGACAGCCACCTGTTAATGACATTAAGTAAGAGGGAGGGAGGGAGGGGCCTGTGTTTATGTGCGAGGGGACAGGATAGCGTTTTACAGCAATACAGTCTGGGGAAAGTGAAATTCTGACGTGGAGACAGGGGGTGAAACTGAAACGGGGGTTTGGAAAAAGCGAGCCCGGGGAGAGAAAATGAAAAGGGGAATACAACATGAAGGGAAAGTCTGAGGCTCATTAAAGCTGCACGATGGAATGAAGCTGTTTAGGCAGGGAAATGGGAGCCTTTTTTTTCCACATTCCTCACTAAACAGAGTCCAATGAGACTCTGATCTGATCTTGTGGAAAGCTTTTCTAATGGTCCAGTCCAGCTTGGCTGTTCCACAGTTTAGGTTACATACGTGGCACAGTGAGAGAGGCCAGCAGGAGCAGGGGGGGGGGGGGTGTGTGTGTGTGGAGGGTGGATGCAAATTGAGAGTGAGTCGAGTGAGTACAGGACATAATCAGAGAAAAGGGACAAAACAGGCTGGAGGCTGTGACAAGAAAAAAAAAAACACCTGTTCAAAACTGCCCGGCCCTTTTTCTCTTTCCTCCTGAGACGGTGGGAGGACGGACATCCCACTGATGAAGAGGCTGCAGAGATTCCCCGATCCAAGCAGGGGACAGCAGTCTGTTCCCGTGCACGTACGTGTGTCTGTTCTTTAGAGTGACTTTACCTCTAATTGCGCGGCCCCCTTCATCATCCCAGATAGAAAGTGTCCACAGACGGTCAGAGGCCATCAATAATCCACAGTATGCTGATGTGAACAATCTTGTCTCCACATCACTCTCGTGCTGCTGTCAGCAGCACTGATTTATGCTTGAACACTCCGAGCGGCTCACACGCGTGCTCATGTATTCACTCATGCGCACGGCCGCTGCGTTTGTGCACATTTCTGTTCAGCTGCATCCACTTATGACTTTGCTGTTGGTGAACAACATCAGTTTAAAGCAAATGCCGCTCAAAACCGAAGGTCAAAACCTCCCAACAGATGTATGTAACTATTAAAGTGTCCGCCTTTCAGGCCTGGTGTTGCCCTGGAAACTCTTTTGTGACTGTAGTGTCTGAAGCAGAGACACAGACTGACTTTAAGAAAACATAGATAAAAGAATTGGTTACGCAGAGATTCTCCCACTTTCAGCCTGTCCAGATCTGATAAATCGATCTGTATTCCTGATACGGGTCCGGTTGAAAATAAACTCCTTCTTTGTTGATTGAAGTTTGAGTCTGAGTTTGAGTTTGAGTTTCTTGCAGCATCATTGCCACACACACCCCCCCACACACACACACCTCATGCACGTTTTAGTGCCACGCTACACTTTCATATACGAGAAATGTGAGCCTGAAACTTTGCACACTTACGGTATACTTGCAATGTTAGATAATTTACCTCAATGATAAAAGGATCTGGTGCATGCTTCTTTTTTTATTTAAATAAATCCATTCATGCAAGGTAGTAGAAATTTGTAACTGTCCCCTGAAAAAACAGAGATGATCTGTGTCATTTCCTTTCCGCACTTTAATAAAGAACAAACACTAAACACGGCAGTTCCTCCGGTAATGGCCGTCCCGCTCTGTGTAACGGTAAATGACCAGTATGACGGTGAGGCATGGGGATGACCTTGAAGCTGAAGTGGCTTAATGGAAATCAATGGTTTCCCCTTTTTTATTTTTATTTTTTTCACCGCATTTAAGTTTCGTCGCATGTCGAAACGCCAAATTTCACCTGAAGCCGTTTGGAGGGGGTTTATGTACCGTGGGGTCAGATGAGCTGAGCTGAGCCGGGACGTTGCTGCTCAGACGCTGCTCTCCCTCTGCTGCAGTGCTCTGATCAATGGGGAGGCTTTGCCCAGAATGACAACGACCATCACCACACTCCCGTTCACCACAAGAGGGCAATGACGCACCCCCACTCCCCACTGCTGCTGCACGCCGGGGGGGGGGGGGGGGGCGCTAAGATCACATAACGGCTCTTAATGATGGGCAGCTGGGGCTTACTGATCTTCAAGAGAGGCCGGGACGGTTTTGCGTGTGTGCGCTGTGGATGTGGCTTCAGCTGCATGAGAAGAGCTTACGTTTTATAACCATCCTCAGGGACTGTGGGGCAGAGTGCTGCATCACAGGGCAGCCGTGCAGATGGAGGTGTGCAGCTCGGCGCTGAGCTGGGCCCGGTCCAGCACGTCGCAGCGCTGCCGCCCGGCTGCTGGACCTCACACCGGCCCCTGAAGAGGTCAGGAGGTCAACGCGGCCCACGTGACATGAAAAGAACTGCCCTGTTCCTAAAACCAGAGAAAGGCCCGCGAAACAGGAGGTTTACCTCCATCGGCAAAGACGGAAACCTCAGAAACAATAAGGTGTGAGCTGGAGAAAAGGAAACGTTAAGATAACTTCCATACAAGTTATAGCAAATCTGACATGACAAAACACATTGTGGAATTTAAACGCCAAAGAAAGCCTGAACCGGACTGACTGAGTTCAGCTTAAGAAAAATCTGTCAGTGTATTAAAATAGAAAAGATGATACTGTAAAATCTGATCGTTTAAATATATAAGTAATTTGTCCAATTTTATCAAGACCTGAAAACACAGCAGGTAACGGTCCATTTTCTTCTATGTATGCGTGCGTGTATATATATATATATATATATATATATATATATATATATATATAAATAAAACATTCACATTAATTCAAGGGTTCTTTATGATTATAAAATGGCTCCATCATTTGGACATTACGATTCACTACAGGGTTTGATAGATGAAAGGCTCACAGGAGGTGGATGGAGGCCGTCTACACTGCTGCAGAGTGCTGAGTGGATGTGGGCGTGCATCAGACAGAAAGGACAAAGAAAAAAAGCTGTCATGTAAATTGAGATTTTAATCAACATTTGAAAACAAGTTGGACAAATGAAAGACTGCTTCTGCTTTTATAAACTAGTTGTGGCTTTTAGGTTGAATCAATTTAAGAAATCACATTGTTTTCCAGAAAAGAAAAATATTCAGAAAGTAACATTTTAACATTGCAAAAGTGTTATTACTGACAAACTCTCTCTTGGGCGCTGTCGTCAGCAACCTTAAGTATCAAAGGAAAGCGCGGTCTCAGGCCCGAGCAGTGTGAATGTGTGGTCCTCAGAGGATAGAGGGAGGACTGGGGGAGATGACCAAATGCAGGTTTTTCTCTTTGTAACATCCTGATAGAAAAGCCCCCAAACAGGTGTGGGTGGAGCAGAGAAATGCTAAATATTTAGCCTTTGATGTCCAACTCCTTGGGGCCTAAATGTGTGGACCGCCAATACAAGGCTCAGAGTTTACTTTTAGACTTTTTTTTTTTAAGTGTTGGCTTCAGTCTGCAGTAGGACAGGAGTCTTGGGTATTAGTCACGTGTTTATTTGGTCTGTCAAAGAGGTTGCACAAAAAAAAAAGTGGGATCCAACACACGTTTGGTCCCAGATCTACTGGGAAACGCGGACAACTCGGAGCCGGCGGTAGTACAACATCGTGATACGTATGAACATACAGACAGCACTGGAAGAGGGGCAAGCCAATTTCCTTTCCAAAGCAAATGAACAAGTAGCAACATTAAGGCTTGTTGGTAAGGAAGAGAAACCCTCACACTGAATACCAAATGTTTTCCTCTCCCAATCCCTCTGCGTTTATTTCCTTTTGTATTGAATCAGGGCTGAGACTGCATAAAATACTCCAATCTTTAAAGAGCAGATCACAACAAAAAGGACATGAAAATACAGAAAAAAAGAAAAGAAAACAGGACTAATCGAAAATGTTTCTGCAGTTCATGTTATTTTGCGGTTTGAATACAGGGTGATATTACGGTTCACATCGGTGAAGCTACACACAGTATCAGAACAATTACAGCTCACATTCAGATCGAGTCCAATCGAACAACAACCGTGCCGAAGGGGGCGGCAGTCTGATGAAAAGAGAAGGTCCGAAAAGTAAAGATGGTGACAAAACCAAGGTGATGGTTACAGCTACTTAATATCTACATTAGATCGAAATAAAATGCCCTTCGTCTCCCAAACACAAGCTCCTGTTTCCCCCCCTATTTTTGTCCCCACTGCAGATCCTTTCTATGGTACTTAAAACAGGCTACTTCCACTTAAATACAAACCTTAGAGTGTGACATCCCCCCTCCCACCGAAAAAATGACATCCCCGTCTCACATTGTATAAAAAAAAAAGAAATTCTGACCCGACCCTGACCACACATTTCTCAAAAGCCTGCCCCTCCCACCAGCTACTGAATTAACCCCACCTACCCCCTCCCCCCCCGCTGCGGTGTATTCATATAAACCCCAACCACTCTTCCTTTTTCCAATTACAAATATCGTTTTAAACTGCGGGACATGTCGAGTAGATCTCAAATAATAAACTGGATATCACCAAAGCCATTTGTGAAATGATTAATATTCCAAGATCTACCTGAATGTTGCCTCTCCAAATCGCTCATGGCGCCGATTTGGAATGGGGCAGCACACATTACACTCCCCTCCCCCCTCCCCGCCCTCCCGCCCGCTTTTCTTGACGCCCACCCTCTACCAGAAGTCCCGGCGGTGATAAGCGTCTGGATCGCAGTATTTGGTCACCACCACTCTGTTAGCAAACTTCCTCCCCGTCAGCCCCTGCATGGCCTTCTGGGCATCGAAAACTGAGGTGAACTCCACAAAGATCTGCAGAGGGGTGGGGAAAAAAGAAGGTATTAGAGCGGTGACATCTTCCTGACAGTAGCATAGTTTGTCCTAACAGGCGCATCAGGACATATCCACACTTTGGGGGGGGGCCGCCTACCTTGCCGGTTCCGGGAATTTCCAGGCCGTCCACAGGGCGGGGGATCTCGATGCTCTTCACCTGGCCGTACTTGCTGCACTCATCCCTGACATCTTCCACAATCTCCTCGTATTCTTCATCATCCAGGAGCTCCTCGGGGGCCACCATGTTCATGAGGCACAGCACCTCGGTGGGCAGACCCCCCATCTGGGTCACGGAGCTGTTCAGGCCGGGTACCTGCAGCGTCACCGGGGTCTGGTTTATGGTCGTCTGGAGGAAACACACACCAGGATTACAAAGAGCCCGATCGGCTTTTAGATCACAGACAAAATTTTTCGGAAACTTGTGGAGAGAAAGAGGCGCCAGCGTTCTCCCACATTGGGGGCACTTCACAAAGTCTGAGGAGCACCCGCCTGCTGGACACTTACCAGGGTGGCGTTCTTGGAACCCACGCTGGCTCTCTGCACCAGGAGCTTCTTGTCTCCCAGCTGCATGCCGTTGAGTCCAGCGATGGCCTGAAAGAGACGGCCAGTGTTCACATCGGCGGCTGCGTGGGCGTGACCCGCTGGCACACGCTGCTCACACGGGGCGCCTTACCTGATCGTTCAAGTTGACGTCGACGTATTCGCAAAAAGCGTAACCTTTAGATAGGCCTGTGGCACTGTCTTTCACCAGGTTAAAGGCCTTCAGGGGGCCAAATGACGTCAAAAGCTCCTTCACCTAAAGCACAGATCAGAGTCACGGTGAGTTCACTTTTCCATCACGTGGGCCAGAACTCAAACTGTCCCCGGGCCGCGCCAGCGTGGCGACAGCTTAATAAAGAACAGAGTTATTTAACAAACGGAGGAGGAGGTCCATCAGGCAGAAACACACACCTGATCATCGTTCAGGTAGTTGGGCAAACCGCCAATGAAGAGCTTGTGAGCAGAGTCTGGAACCACTGTGGAAACAACACCTGCAAGACCAGTGGGGACAAACGGGGGAAACATCAGGAGAAGCAGGGAAAGCTACACTCGAGAGTTATTTAGTGAATGCTTTGGAATTGTGCAACAAGTACTTAGGGTTAAAAACCATTAATGGCTTGTGTACCAGGCACATAGACACTGGGGTTCTCGCTCATGCCAGGTAGTGGCTGGTAATCATGTGGACGACGAATTTTCAGACTCTGGCCTTGAAAGATGATTCCATCAAAGGCCATTGCCTGTGTCGTTTCGTCCACTGAACGGAACTGATTAGATATAAATACAAGTCATTAATTACGGACTCAGAAATGTACACGGCGATGGCGAATACTAATACCAGCCTGGCTGTCACCTAACCTCAAGGAAGGCAAAGTTCTTATCCTGGTTGATCTGGACTGCCAGCACAGGGTTTCCAGGGGCCTGAGTCAGACCCCCCAAACGCATCTGTGCGTTAAAGAAGTCCATCATTGACTCCTACACAGAAGAGAGGGATGAGTGGAAAAAAGTCAATTCACCCTGAAACTCAGAAAAATAAAAACAATCGGCGAGTTGGTCAGAGTGCTCACCTCTGTTATCCCAAAGGGGATGTTGCCAACGTAGAGCCGACGGGCCTGTCGGGTCATCTGACTGCCCACCACAGGAACGGGGGTGGGAGTCACAGCCAGGCCATCTGGCGTCATGGTGGGCAGGAGGGCTGTGGCGGGGATCTGACCTGCCGCTGCACAGCAAACCCAAAAGACAGTTCAGGTTGGAACATACCACAAATACGATTTTTTGCCACACCATCTGAACGAAGACAGAATCAGCCCGGAGCTCATAGACAGAGACAAAGTAAAGAGGCACCTTGCATGGCTTTGTACTGCATGGGCGTGATGTGCTCGAAACCCGGCGGAGGGACATCCCAGTACTTCTTCACCTTCTTCTTCTTCTCGCGGTGGGGAGAGCGGCTGTTTGGGGAACAGAGGGAAAAGGATGAGAAATGAGGAGAGGGCTGTGAAGCGGCCATTTCTTATGAACTCATTCAGCAATGAAACACCGGGGCAGACGGTGGTCATGTTTTCAATGAACTACCAGTGAATTATGTAACTTCTTTGGAGGCTTTTGCATCAAGACTTCCAAACCGATGATTAAGAGAAAAAGGAGGGATACAAAACCCTCATCCAGAGTATTACTTGAAGGATAATCAAACACTACATAGGGTCAGACACAGGCAGTGTTGTACAAGCCGGCTTTGTGTTATTTTGCTGTATTACCTTCCAGCTTTGTCCGGGGGGAAGCTGGTTGGTGAGCTGAAATGACATTGGAAGGATTTCAAATTTCTTTCAAACAAATCACATCAACCAACAATTTCCACATCAGGATTAGGCTCTCCAAAGAAAGAAAACTATCAGCGGGTCTCTCTAGTTCCACTGAGCGCGGGTGTCGGGGCTGAAATGCGGGCGTCTGGCATCATTTTTAAAGAATCCCAAACAACTGGTCTCTTAAACATTTGGGAAACTTCTGCACTTATCCAGGGAAACATGCGGCGGCAGATTCGAGACATTTAGCCGACACCGTGGGAGGCTGAGGAATGACAGAAACCCTGCGTGGCAGATGAGGTGGCGTCAGCCCTCAATGTGAGGCTATGAGCCCTCGTTTTCGCAGCATCTCTCAGAAACACATTGACAGTTAACACTGACTTGAGAGCGCGATTAGAAGTTGGTTTTACGAGGCTGCAGCTCCTTGGAGAGCTTGTTCTCTTCAATCTGCTTTGAAGCAATCGGCAAACGTGCCACTACAGACTGCCTCCAGCTGACCGGCTGTTATTTTGCACACAGTCACAGAAAGAGCCCACAGTGGGGGTCACTGTTGGCCCACAGGGGTTGTTCATCTGCGTCTTAGATACCAAAGCAAAAAATAAAAAAACATACAAAAATGAGGATACAAGAAGACAAGGTGTCTCTTGTTGCTGTGGCAACAACAGCAACACAAGAGTTCCCCTAAATGAACAAGCTCAGGTTTACGAAGCAGAACATTTTTCTTTGCTAGTTGGTTAAGATGTGTGGCTTTTGACCATTTCTGTCACACTGCCCACCACTTATTACATTAGACTGATAATTTGAAAGTGGAGTCAATGAACAGACATGCGTACAATGTGCCCAAAAAAACAAACAAAAAAACTCTGAAAATGCTAAAAAAAAAAGTGGTCAGAGCCCCCAAGTTAGGAAAAACAAATTAAGCTAGAAACCAAAACATTTATGAAAATAAATTACATTGTTTCACGTAGTTTAGAAAATTACATAAATTGATGCAGTTGGCCAGGAAAAAAAATATATAAAGCGTAATTTACATACTAGTTCCCAAGTGGAGCAATACCAATACCAGTTCCTCAAGTGGAACATTTAAAATAAATAAATATATAAAAATGGACACTAATAATGAACGATTATTATATTATATGATAATATTATTATATATATGTTCCCGCTGTGTCTGAATCAGAGGCCAAAAGAGCCCTTATCAAATACCGTGAAGTACAAAATAAAGGATTTACGAGCGTTCTGTCAAAATACATCTGATTTTAGGATCATCTGAAATGATTCAGAGATTTATCCACAATCTCCCTTAAATGATGAAGGAAAATCTGCAGCTGTTCCTCAGTGTGTTTAAAAGCCGTCCCCGAGCTAAAGGAGAAATTCACACTGTAATTAGCACCCGGGACAGATGGTTTGATGTGGGTTCAGATAAACCATCAAAATGGTGCAAAAAAAACGTGCATTTAATATTGAATCAACAAGCTAGATAATGTTTTAGTGCTGATAATACAAGTCATACGATAAGCTGCTTGAATAAGAAAGCCTATTTTTTATTTTGTTGACCCAATAACACCTAGAAATATCCTGTGAGATTAACAAGATAAATTAAAGCGTCATTTTGGTGACAGAAAAGAATGATAAAACTTTCCAAATTTGATCTGCATTAATTCATTAATACAAATGAAAGGAGCAGACAGAGATGCCAGTGCAGACAGACAGTTGATTGGGGGGGGGTTAGACAGCCTGGCGTTCCAGGTGTCGCTGTGCGGGGGAACTCACCTGCGCCGGTGTCTGCGCTCTTTGCTTTCGGCACGGCGATCCCTGCTGCGTCTGTCCCGGTCTCTGCTCCTCCTTTTCCTGTCTCTGCTGCGGCTGCGGGACGAGGACCGGCGGTGATGGCGGTTCTCTTTGTCCCTTTCTGTCAAGAAAGCAGATTGCTCGTAAACATGTCCAACGGCCATGTACGTAAAAACATTAGATGACTCGCATCCCGGTCTCTTAAATTGCTTCAAATGGATATTTGGCTAAACATAAAGAAAAAAAAAACATTTTCCTCATCTTTGAATTGGAAATCAACAGTTAAGGTTAACGACTGAGGTGTAGAAAATACCTTCAATCAAATAACAATTATTCAAGTCCACAAATTAGTTGGCTAGGTTTAGTTTAAATGAAATAGTATACAAGATGATCAACTTTAAGTGGATCCAGAAAAAGACTAAAGTGGCCTAAACAATTAACCACACCCTGGGCAGATAAACGTGTACTGAAAATGTAAAAGTACAACCCTTAGTGGGTAGAGGTGCTTTTTTAATAGAACCAATAGGGAAGCTGGTGGAATGCAATTAACTGTTTGGGCCGTGTTTCTACTTATTGTGTGAAGTTGAACGGCAAAAAGGGCTTTTTTAAATTTAATTTTTTTTTTTTTTAACTCATTTAATTTATAAGCAAGATTGTTTGTTTTGGTTGCATAGGCGTGGTTGCTTGTTTCTCCAATGAGTTGTAGCTACGTTTGTAAATGGCCATAAAACAGTTCACCCGACATCTTTGCTGCTCCAAACAGATGCTAGGGCCTCTGAAAGATTACTATATTAAAAACCGTTCAAGTTTTAGGAAACATTTTCACTTTTATTAATTCTAGCTCTCGGCAAACGAGCATTATTCAATCTTGAATAAGTCGTGTTGTACGCATATACGGACAACAGCTACATCGAAGCTCAGAGGCTTTGCTACTGTAAGCTAACGGTGAGCTTAAGCGTCCCAGTAAATAGACGCATCCGCGGTAGGTCAAAACTGATCAGAGCGGTCAAAATAAGCAGCAGCAAAATTGTTTTCAAATTCCGATATGCAACTTGGTTATTTACCTTGGTGGTTTTCAGAAAGTTGCCTTTCGAATTCGTCGAAGTCCGACATGTCTGGGTCAAAGCCTAGTGCGCTCTCGAGGACTGCGTTGTTCAGTTGGATGTGGCTAGCTTAAGCTAGCAACAAAGTGATCCACACTTTTTATTACCAGCGCTTCGCAGATGTAAATCGGGCAAGTTAGCTTCGGTCAGGCGTCTTCTTAGAATACAAAATTAACTAATCTTAATCACTGCCACACACCTTGGCGCCGTGGTAATCACTCACCAACCTACAAGGATACACTGAGAAAGGAAAACGTGTTCGCGCAGGCTAGCCTGCTAATGATAGCTAACTAGCTTGTAGCAAAGTCCAGAAGAAAAGGCCCGCTGCTGCTCACACTGCCGTGGGGGCTGGTTAGCTAGCTGGCTAAGTCGCGACAACGGCCACCGAATGAATGAGACTCCTGTCCAAGCTAGATGCAAAGCCCAGCGGGTCACAGGCCCACAAGATGCATTTGTTTGACTCCGTGAGCCAAGTTTCTGCGCTTTTAAAAAATTCGAGGCAAAAGAAAACAATTAAGATTTCGGTATGTATGCCCGCTTTTTCTGCTCTGCCTTCCAGGTACCCCGTGACACCGGAAGTTGATCGATGTCAAGTTTCCGGCCACAGAACAAAATGAACGCGTTATCAGTGCCATGGTCACACTGAAATAGTGTTCTTCAGTATTTTTCTGTTGTTGTATATCTGTAGATAATGTGATAGCTGTCAATTAGACCTTTCCCAACTAAATCTATCTGTAATGTTGTGAAGATACACGCTGGCTGACGCTGAAGCAGCTAATTTAGTTATTTAGTTACATTGTCACATTAAGACCAAACATTTCAATTTTTTTGTTTTTTTGTGCTTGTTTTACAGCTTTAGAAAAAGAAGGTGACGTGAACAGCCCCCCCCCCCTTGAATGCAACGGTAAATTGGGAAATATTCCTTATTATTTATGCAGTTATGTTTTCAAATATAACAAATCTGTGGTATAAAGTAAACTAAACCACTAAAAACTGTTTGATCATATCAAACATCCCGAAGACCAAACAGCATAAAAGATCAGCTTTATTTGTAGGAAATCGAGCATTTTATTGCACTTGTCTTAACAGTACTTCTCATGAAAACACTTTTTCAGCAAAGAGCGCCGTTGGATTTTACACATTACAGAAAGAAATTTCATTTTTGTATGACTAAAAATGCTTTGATGATACGTCATTAATACTTTCAGAAAATTTTCAGTCATGTTTCTGTGAGCACTTCGATCTGGTGATCATTTTAAGCCTGCATTGCAACTGCTTTTAAAACTAAAGCTAATAAATGCATTGTTCCTCTGCAGCTGGGTTTGATTTATTCTAAGAAATCTGAAGTTTTCTCCTCACGGATACACACACCACACTTGACGGTACAATGTTGTCTGCATCTTTGAAAGCCACATCATTTAACAAGTTTCTTGCAGGCGGCAGATCACCACGGCTCTTTTCACATGCTTGTGGAGTGGAGCACGGGTGTGTTACAACAGATCCACCAACAGCTTTTTCTGATCTGTTAAAATATTTGCATGATAGGCACGACATTTACAAGGAACTGAAAGTTGCACAACCTTACAAATAGTATAACAGTATAGAAGTAGTGTAAATGCTCAGAAACATTTTTAATACAACTTGAAGTCGCTTTGCTTTACAAGATTCTTGATGTGAGAAGATTAAAAGGCAACACTTACAATAATTTAGGTGAGAAATGTACAAACATGATGGGTGCAACCCTTAGCTGGACCATATGGTTATTAAATCCAAACATTAAAATGTCACTAACATCTTTGTGTTTGAATTCGTTTTATGACAAAAAAAAACGTGAAGTTGAAGCATCTGTACCTCTCAGTGTCTGACTTTTCTTTACAAAAGTCAGTTAGTTATTGTATCCATTTCTTTTATGAGCTCTTCTCACCTTAGAACCTGAAGAAACGGTGTGAAAAAACAGGGAAATGCATTTCTTGTTATGGAGGGAACTTTAAAATATGACATTAAAGGAAGTTAAAATATTGACAAATGTAACGTCAGAAAAGAACACTTTGAGAAATTTAACACAATGAAATGTCTTATTAGTATAACATTATTTGAGAACAATATAAAACAAAAAGACTGATTCAAAGTTTATAGACCGCAAGATTGTGCCCAAATGCATTCAAAAAGTTATTAAAAAGGCAAATCTGATTAGTTAGGCTTTCCGAAACTATACCAATAATAATAATATTAAGATATGAAACCCTCAGTCAGTGATCCTCTGGCCTCAAGCTGATCCAAATGTAGAGTATAAAATAATAAACTGCATATCTGCTAAATAAAGAAAGAACATAAATGATCCTTGGGGCAAAGACACATTCACCCATTCTGAATCCCACAGATTTGTCTTTACACTAAGCACAGAGACACCAAAATCCTCACTAAAGTGAAGATTTGTCATATAAAGTCGCGCATCTGAATAGTTCTGAAGTAGTAGTGAGGGAATAAGAGTTCATCTACACAGAAAAGTGTCTCAGACAGTTTTCATGGTCATCTGCAGAGAGCTGGTCAGCTGCAGAGGAACCCAACTGATTGTCCTCTTGTCACTGACCTCCACTAAACTGTTTCCTAAAACATTTTCACACACATCACTGGAGGGGTTCAGGACAATGTGCGGACAGTTTGGCTCACACTTTCCGACCAGGAGAGGCCTCGGGCTGTCCAGAGTGAGCGGGACGCAGCATGTGATGCAGAGTTAACGCTGTGGAAATGTTTTTCTAACATGTTGAGAATAGCAGACGAGGCTCCTTCTTGTGTTGACGTGCCTACTGCAAACAGGGCTGGGTAAACACAACCAAGCCTTCGGGGATCTGGGAATATCGCTACAACACTTTGGGACCCGAGTGGCTGCAGAGACACTTCCCCAAGTGCAGCGTTTCTGTCCTCAGTGTCTGAACCTGTAGGAGATGGGCAGGAGGAGGTTGTTCTTCTTTAATGCCTGCACTCTGTTGAGAGTCTCTTCATCCAGAGCTATATAGCAGCGCCGGGCATAGTCCAGAAGCTTTTCCTTGGATGGGTCAAACTCTCCCACCTCAGCCACTTTCTCTGGGGCCACCAGCAGCAGCTCGGCGATGGGCGTGGTCGAAGCCACCGTGTTTCGGTCAACACCGTGGATTTGGAAGGCCTTGGACATGTTTTTCAGTCGCTGATACGTGAGCAGGATCTTCTTGTAGCGGAAAAGAACTCCGGCAGCATCTTTCACTGAAGAAGAGAAAATGGTCAGGACAGTTAGCTATATAGCAGTACCACGACCACCGACCAGAATTGTGAGCTGTGTGGCAGGACCGTTTTTCCCTCTCTCACCTCTCTGCCGCTCTCTGGGAGCTCGGAAGACTCGCCTTCTCTTTAACTGCTGCCTGTTGTTGCTCATTGCATCTGACATCACATCTTCCCCTGACAACATTTCCTCCTCGATGAAGCCATTGTGCTCCAAGTACTCATCGGATTCTCCCAGAAGTGACAGGGAATCTGTCAAAGTAAAATTGACCTATTTAATAAACCCAGCAGGTAAAACACACGTCCAGACAGGCGATGCCCTTAAAGCACTGTGCGTGTCATTTTCCTATAATCTGATCTGTATTACCTGGTCCACTCATTTCATTAATGGTTGGTCGTGCGGCCACGCCAGCATTCCCACTGCTGCCACTGGTGGTTGTACTGGGAGGGCCGTGGCTATGGGCTTGCAAAAGGGACTGTGATTGTGTGGAGTTGAACAAAGCATTCATAGAGGCGAGCTGAGAGGTTAACGGACTGGAGACTCCTCTTTTGGATGAAACCATGGTGGGAGGACCAGGCCTTCGCTGGACAAACTGCCGTGGAGAAAAACGCTGCGAGTCTGTCTTTTGCTGTTCTATGAGGAGAAAACGGAAAACTTCAAGACTGAGACCCTGTCATTTGAGATGCAACACACATATAGAAAACCGTTAATTATGAACTTTTTCCTCAAAACAAAGCAGGCTTTGTTTTTTACCGGCAGGATGATCTTCCTCTCGTCTTGCTCTCCAGTTGAATCGCCTTGATTCGTACCCTTGTGGGAGGGAAACAGTAAAAGATAAGACTATGTTTTGCATCTTTAAAGTCCCTGCTTTGCCAGAGTTTATAATTGAACCATTACTCAAACAGTTGGACAGCTTATTGGCTGGCACCTGCCCTCACCATTACTGTATTGGCTCTGACTCTGCTCCTGTCCCTGGCTCTTCGTGGAAAAGATGAAGCGGTCCAGCTGGCATCGGAGAAAATCCCTCTCCTCCTCTAAGTCCTCGATTCTTTTCTGCAGCCAAGAGTTTTTCTCCAGAGAGATCTGAAGCTGGGTCCGCAGGTTGGTTATCACCATGTACGAGTTGTTAACGGGTGATGGACCAGCAGTTGAAGGCGGTTCTGGGGACAACAAGCAGGACGCAGCATGAGGTTGCACGAGCTGTACAAAAGGAGAGTGATCAGATTCGTGCAGCATCGAACACTTACCATCAAAATTCTGATCACTTTGGTTGAAAAATCCTTGCTGTTCAAAGTTAGTTTCCTCATAGGGGATGGAAATTTCATATGCATCCTCATTTTTTGGAGCTGAAAAAACAGACACCGCATCAACTAACTGTGTCTTATTCAATAGCTTTTTAGCGAGAGCAACTGAGAACTTACACTGCAGGTGGAGTGAACCTGCGTGGCTTTTGGATGTGGAGGCTGCATCACTCCTGTTTCCGTCCTCCATCTATTACCAAACAAAAACATTTATTTCATTTTGAAAAAAATGCCATCAAGCCATGAATGTGATTTGACACAGTATAAGTGATTTGCTACAAACAGTTTTTATTGCATCCATTAGTTACAAATATGCTGACGTGGGAAAGCTTTTACTGCGCGTGTGTACCTACTTTAAACACACAGACAGAAATCCAAGCAAATTTCATTGCATGACTCCAAAAAATGCAAATATAAGTCAGATCAGTTCAACTGGTTGTGTTTGTCAAGTGTAAGTTTGAAGCGTCCTGATAGCGCTCACATGGAGGAGAAAATTAGCTGAACACCACGTTAGCTTTGTGTTAATGTTAGCAAACATGTAGCCAGAATATATAATTACAATCCTCTTATTTCTATGCACTAAGTTGTTTCATCCGGTCATTTTGACATTAATAAAAATATCCGCGATGTAAATATTTCCTGCAAAAATGGGTACATACCAGTTCACGTTCGTAATAACTTAATCGTGCACGTGTAATAAGACGTTATTACTCTGTCATATCTCCATTTCACGAGTTCAGCTGCTAGCTAACAAGCTAACAATAACAATTACAGCTGTTTTATTTTTTCAACGAACCCTGACGTCATTTCCGGTTGTAATGAGACAAATGACCGTTCAACCGACTCTAAAAAACAGAGGACCAATTAATGGCCTTTGTTTTTAAATCCCTCAACAGATTTCATTTTAAGCAGACTTAGTGAAAATGTATAAAGTTTATGCAATTATAAATATAAAAATACTATAAATCTTGCGTACAGAAAACATCTATATAATTTATTCTGCTACATCCTGCAGAAATGTGATATATTTATTTATAGCTCTGGTTTAGCTAATTCAATATGATATTGTGTGTACTCACACTTTTTTCAAAATAGTGGCTGAAGTTTTAACAAAACAAATAAAATGTAACTGGGCTGCTGGGGACGAAACTGTAGGACAGGTTGAACAGGTGAAGGGGTGTCATGTTTCAAAAGGTGGCGTCTGCTGGAGTCGATCCGGAAATGCACAGAAGAGCACGATTTCAATCCTAAATACAACTCAAATTTTAAATCTCTCAGGCTTCACGAAAGGGTAAGTGTTTTCTGGAGTTAAAAGACGCTCGTTACATGTAGATTTGATTGCGCTTTAAACTTTTCTCATAGAGGAATTTTAAAAAGAAAGAAAAAAAAGCTCAGAACAGGTGTGGCACCTGTTTTGGTTTGCTTGCGGGTGCAGAGAAAAAACACGTTACAAATCTAAAGCAGGAATATATTAATATGGGATTTTAAAGTTAAAGGTAAACCATGTCGAGCTTTTTCTTTTCTGTTTTTCTTCTGTGAGCAGAGATAGTTATCTTAATCTTGGTTGTTTTATACCCTCAGTGGTCATCTTCTAACTCATCACTACATGCTTTGTTTGTATCTCATTTTTAAGTTCAATGCACAACTCGTAGTAGTCCATTTTATCTCTGGATTGACATATATAACTTTTTTAAATTAATTAATTTAGCTATTTAATGTTTCTTTGTTGCCCTCTTGGCTTTTTGCTTTTGTGTCTCATCTTGTTTTGTTAACAAGCCATATTTCTACAATTCCCCCTTCTCTTCCAGCGTAACCATGGCACACAAGTATGATGGTCTTTCCCACTGTAAGCTGGCGCTGGTGTTTGCCGTGGTGATGGATCTGTTGGGTGTCGTATCCCTTCTATTGGGCGTCTTCGCTCCACTGGAAATCCAAGGTCAAGACTTTGGGGATTTGCTGGTGTACTCGGGAGCCCTTTTAGTGTTGTTTTCCTTGGCAGGCTGGGTCATGTGGTACAGTGGCAACATTGAGGGTCTGACCTCCAAGAAAGAGCTTAGTGGGGCTATGGTTGGAGCTATGGACCGACTGGCCCGTTCCCTGAGCCGCAAGATACGGATCCCCAGGACTCACAGCAGTCCATCATAGAAGGTGGAGCCATCCACGGCAAAGACTAGATGACCTGTTTCGGTTTTCGTTGCAGGAGGCAATAAGTAGGCAGCAGGACAAAACTGCCCAAGAAAATGAGTCATTCAGACGCTTTCTCACCGATTCAAAACTGTTTTTATTATCTGTCTTTGTTTGTATAAAAAACAAACCAGGAGAGCATGTTTCCTCTGTTTTGGTTGCTTTGTGTTGTGTATTAAAGACTGTTTGAAGAATAAAACTTTCTGTTCCAGCTCATGGCAGAATATTGTAAAATCTCTCAAACTGTAAGGTACTAATGTAACAGAAAGCATTTTAATCCATTTCTACCTGTGCAGATTTTTATTCAGAATGCATAATCAAGAACTTTCAAAAGATGACATCAAAAAGGGTGCACAATCTAACTGCACACAAATACTGCATAGGATACTTGTGAGAGCATCTCTCCCTTATTTCACATGTAGTCAAATTTAAATTTGAAACACACCCAAGTGTTTCATAAAAGCCAAAGACATCAAATGACTAAACGAGAAAATAAATACATTTCAAAGGCATCTAGTTTTCATTTAAGAGATGGGATATGAGACATGTCTTTACACAAGACATACTTATAATGTATTGAGATTTGTAATCACTCTAGTTTACAACAAATACTAGAATTTGAGTTAATACTCATGGCAAAAATGCAAACCACAAGAGAAGGTTTCACCAGACATGCAGCATCATTGGTAATAAAGTGTCTGATTGTCTTTATGCATAAAAAAACAAAAAAACAAAATCTCTAGTTCAGTTAACCAAAAACTGAAAAAAAAACAGTTTGCACACACTTCTGTGAGCAGAGACCTTAGCCTTAAGTTCAGCAAAGATTTGATTTTCTCAGGAAGGAAAATAAATCTATTGGAGATTTTTAAGTCTGGGAAACTGAATCAACGATTATTGCAGATTTCTTTCAGGCAGCTAAATCACTGACCAAATATACAGCGATGATGAAAACATCGATCAAGGCACACATGGAGGCATCATCATCCATCACGATAATCCAGTCAAAAGACAGGCACACAAACAAATGAGGTAAACGAGTTCAAAATAGCAGAGGTCAGCTACTTCTCAGTGATGCTTCGATTGCTGCCACATTGAGATGCTGGTTTAGTTCATTTCACGAAAGCACCACTTTCCATATGCAGTTGTGTACATCTGCTTTATCCTGTAAGCTCGGTCAGGAGCTGAACGACATCAGAGTGCAGGGCTGGGCACAGAGGGAGCGGGGTTCTGCCAGATTATCATGTGACTGCGTTCTGAGCGCTGTGGTGTGGCCTGGGGCACCTCGGTCGAGTCGTCACTCGCATCATCTCCTGGAAAAGTTGGAGAACGAGTTAGACATTGAATAATCACAGCTCAGACCACACCGTTCGTCAAAGATTTGTCCGATTTGACATTACGGGACACTATTTTTCCTTAAACCCACCAATGCGGAAATTGATGTAGCCCTCTCCTCCACTGATAATAAGCTGAGCAGGAGTGACTTGGCTGCTTCCAGGGGGGGTGATTAAACAACCTGTGGGGTGACCATAACCATTATATCCCCACGATACAAAGATCTCATCAAACTGTTGTAAAAGTGAAAATGTTGAAGCAGTTAAAGAGCAGTTCTTACCAGGTGCAGCAATAATGTATCTGACTGCTTGTCTGTGTCCATGGTAGGACAGCTGGGCTGATGCAGTTAAACTGTACGGGATGGAGGCGTCTTCTGAAGCTGCAGATGGTTGTCACGATTAATACTAGACAGCATGTTTATGATTATATAGGTTTTAAAGAATAAAACATACTTATGGATAAAGGGATGGAGAAAATGGCACCACCTCCTGTGCCCACCCACAGACGTCCAGAGATGACAGTCAGAGCAGAGATCTGGAGTGGTGAAAGCGTCAGGTACGGCTGGCCTGGAGAGACAAGAAAAGTGTAAGATGTGCAGAGAGCCTAAATGGACAGCAGGTGGTATCGAAGGCATCGGTAATGTGGGCAAGGAGGGGTTTGGACACCTAATGTTTTTGTGACCAAAGCAGCAAAGTCGACTTCCTGCAGTGGGCGTCCAGTTGTCCAATCGAACAGCCTGAGGACTGGGTCCAGTCGACAGGACGCCCAGACGCCACTTCCTCCAGCACACAGGAAGCGGACCTGCTGCTCACTGCGCTCGGACACTGAAAATGTTTGCTGAAGAGCCACACAAGACATGATGAGGGCATGTTTGAAGGCGGTACGCTCACCGACATTTACGCCGGATGGATCGCCGGCCTCTTACCTCCACCTTCTTGCTGTCTGTGTCGACCACGTGTACTTTGTTCCAGTATCCCACCCAAAGACGGCCACCTTTAGCGAGGCAACAGCGAATGGGCTGCAGAGGGTTTGATCCAAGCGACATCACAGAGTGGGACTGCAGATTCCAGCCATCTGTACATCCCAGCAGTACATTTCACTTAGCATCACTTTTTGAAACATGCAAACTGAAGCTGTGACTGACAGAAAACTGACAGTCATTCATACCTGAATTGTGTGAAAAAAATGCCAATGCCCCGTCGCCTAAACCAGCTACAACCTGACTGTTGGAGTACCTGCAAGATTGAACGGACACAAAGTAGATCCTGTCATCGGTGGAAAACTACATGCTGGAAACTACTTGAATCTGTTAAACATTAATTCTTGGACTCACGTGAGTGAATGAACTCCTTCTGAGAGACACGCAGACTGCAGACAGCACCTCCTGTCACTAGAGGCTCGGTGCAACAGAATACTGACAAAGGAAGTCAATAGGATTAAAAAGGGGTTGTCTGTAAGGTAACATCGCATGAAAAAAAAAAAAGATCTTATTCTGCGAAATGAGCTACTTATTCAGCTGACGCTACCTTCCTTCCTGAGTTCCAATCCATACGCTTCCGGCAGATTTACCTAAAGAGCAAATACTGTGTCAGAGGAAATGCTGACTAATCAGTGTTGATTTCCAAGTGTTTTTCAGTAAGGCTGTGAGCAGCAGCTGTGGTAACACATGAGATGAGTTGTCTTCAGGTGGCTGTGGACGAGCCTCTGGCCAGCACTGACCTATGGGAGGCACAGCACAGATGCAGAGGGCAGGGGCTGTGGGAGGGAGGCTGAACTGATCCAGTACTGTGTTGGGCCGTGCCGGATCAATCACTGTAATATCACTGCAGGAGGCAGGGCCAGAAACCACCCACACAGAACACTGGCAGAATGAGAGGTTTGGAAAGATGAGAGGCACGAAACAACTTGTGCCTATGAGATGTTAGTCATAGCTGGATGGTCATGTTTAAAATTGGACTGAGGCTGAATTTGACCGGGATAATGATAGACTTACTGTGGCCTCTCCTGAGATCTCAGGTGAGACTGCAACCGCACAGTTCAGCTGAGGAAAAAAAACACAAGAGTTACAATCTTTATTTAATCCTTAAAGAATTTTTTAAAAAGATCATAGACATCATTTACCTTGGCAGTGGAGTCTCTTTGATCCAGCAGTCTAAGCTGGACCAGGACAGGCACATCTTTAGGCTCAGGTCCAGGTTCCTGGGACTCATACAAGGACATTTAATAAACAGTTAATTTAATATTATGCTTGTGTACTTCCCTGACAAATAATAACAACAGGAAGGCTGCTAATATGCTAAAACAAACAAAGCATAAAACAGACATGTTTCCTTCTACCTGTGTGTTTGACAGCAGTGTGCTCCAACCATGTATCTGTCGCTTTCCCAGAGTCCGCCAAATGTAGGAGCGTATTTCTCTATAGAGTTCCTTCCTCCTGACACGCGGAGAAACAACAGAAGGAGAAGCAGACCTAGACAAAATGAAGCTCGTAATTAACTGAAAAGAAATTAATGAATAACTGCAGATTCTGCCAAAGGTTGGTCACTATAGAGCAAAGTATTTTGTAGTTTCCTCAAAGATTTCAAGAGTAAGTAGTAGTAGAGTAGTAGTCTGTTCACTAAGGTGACTGAATTGACTTCTTTTAAAATTAAACAACCAACAAAGAAAAAGGAGGGAAATGGTAGGGACATTTGCTCCCAATTCCATGCGAACCATTGACAAAGTAAAACAGCCACTTACTCATTCTGGGTTTGAATGGGAGAGGAGAGTTGTATAGACCCCAAAGAAGAGCGGCTGAGTGAAGGTGAAGATGAGAGGAACGCTGCAGATGTAGAAGGTGGTACCAGTGGCCCCTTGGTGAGGCCAAACAGGCGGTTGAATCTTATTTTAAAAAGGAAAGGATTATATCAAGTCGTTGATGTTTTAAATTTAATTCTATATTTTTCTTACAATACATCATCTTCATAAGGCAGCTTTGCTGCCTGCTTTATCTATGAGCACACACAGCACCAGCATGGCAATCCTACTCTGCTGCTTTCAGGAGCGATGGACCTGCACTAAAACCTCACCTCTTTAATGGGTCTGTAAAATGAGAGAAGTTTAACTTACTTTCTCCAAACACCTGACCTCCTTTCCTCTGTGTACTTCTCCTCCTTTGTTGCTCTATAAAGGAAGTCAAAAAGCTAAATTGGATTATAACCTTAAACATACTTGAGTTATTGGAGTATCTCTGAGGAAAATCACATCAAATCAAAGCATGATACATAAACACACCAAGACTTGTTATTGATAGCCGGCGTTACCTGAGAGACTGACTGTGTCTCATGGCCTCCTGCAGCTCAAACAGACGCTGCTTGTACTGGTTCTTCTCCATGACCACACGGGCCATTTCGGAGCGGGAGAAGTGACGCATGGACATTGCCTGTATGCGATACAGCCCAATTAAAACAATGTCCCCCCCAAAAGTATTTGATTTCCAGCGTGCGGTGGCTTACATCTGGATCCTGAGACTGGCACGACTCCAGCTCTCTCCGTAGTCTGTGGAAAAATGTGAGCGCATTTAATTTCACAAATTACTGTCACTAATGCACATGTTACACATCGATATTCAAAATTATTCTCCACACCTCTTCACTTCCTCCTCCTTCTCCTTCAACCGCCCCTCTAATCTTGACACAGTTTCCTGAAGAGAGGCAACTTCCAGGATGAGAGCTGAGCGGTCATCAGTCAGCTCAACTACACGAGATATCAGAGCCTTTCGGGCAGCTTCGACTAACTCACTGAAGAGAAGACACAACCAACATATAAAATCATTTTAAAATGAGGTGTCTATTAGTTTCTACTGAAGCAAAATCCCCCAAAGAGATAATCAGCGTAGAACTCACTGTGTGACTTTCAGTTCCTCAAACTGAGCGAGAACATCTTCAAACTGGTCTGTGCTGCCTAAACAGAAAAAAAGTGACTAAATGAAATCTGACATAAATGCGTTTTAGTAACTCTAATCTGTGTTAATCTTTCATGTCCAAAAGCAATGAATACAAGTTGAAAGAAAAAAAACAGGAAGTATGGCTTTTTCTGTGTTATAAAGGATATTATATAGAATATGACAGTATGTCACAACACGTGAACATTTGAGTATCTGGTTTACCTCTAATACTGGCTCCTCTGTCTACACTCTCTACATAGTCTCGACTCAGCTCTGACAGTTCAGAGAATACAGAGTCTGTGTTACGGAGTTCCCACTCCATGCTGTCGTCTTCATCCTCCTCATCCTCCTGGTCATTTGTCTGCACCTCTACTCCCTTCTCTTCCACTTTAATCTCCTCGGATTCCCTCATCTGGTCCTCTAAACTAGCCTGTAACTCATCTTTTAGGGGCTCCTCGGGGTCAGACCTATTTGGGGTGCTGAAATACAGAGAAATAAAGATGTGTGAGATGTTAAGTTAATTTAGGTTTAGAAATTACTTCAGCCACAAGTCCATCCAAATCTCCAGTTCTGGGTTATTACCTCGCCTTCATACAGTCGTGAAACTGTGTAAGCTCAGGGGTGGAGCTAATGATGTCAGTGAGAATCTGATCTCCAGAAGGCTTTGCAGCTAAAGCCACTGGTTTTTCATTCTTGGTCAAGAGATTTTCATCCAAATTTGGGGGACCAGAGTTTGAATGTGGTCTTTGAATAATCTATGAAAAACAAAAAGCAGGAGAAAATCATTCAAACTATCCTGGATAGAAACTTTGATAAACCCGCTGGGAGTAAATCTCCTCACCTTTTCATTAACGATGGATTCAGACAAGACCTGGTGGGAGGAAAAGTCGGCATTCTTGGGACGCACATGATTCCTAAATAAACACAAAGTAGAGGTCTTGAAAGGTTTGGCCTCCTGATAAAATAAAAGACAGCCAGCATCAGCATAACAATACTGTTATCAAATGAAGCACATTTCGAAAATGTCTCCACGTGTTTGCTGGCACAAACTTATTCAACAACATCCGTGGTAGCTCATTATGTTTTCTACAGGGGAGCTGACACTTTGGAGTACTTTTAGTCCATCTGTATGACACCCTGAATGCATAATATGGAACAGAGTGGAGAACAACCTTAAAGGAGAATCCCTTTCAGAATCCTTCCTCTTTTCCAGAAGTTCCCGATATGTGTGAGTCAACTAGAGGAGGAAGATCAGTAACATGTCAGAAACCAGGCAGGAAAATGAAGCCCTATGCTGGTAATGAATATCATGGAAACAAGAAGAATGTGTTGCCCAAACTTTTGTTGTTTTAGGTGGTCAGAAATATCCATATAATATAGAAAATGTCATACTACTTAGCACGTGAGTTTAACATGATCTGTTTGTTTATTTGTTTTAGGTTCTGTTGGATTCTTGACCAAAAGGTCAGGCTTGTAAAGGACAATCTTTAAGTTTAATGTTAGATTAATTCATCCACCCAACAAGCAGATCGGGTGTGTTTTGGGATTCACTGCCTTTACTGATTACATCATAAACCCCAGTTTACTATTTCTGACCTTTTGTTCTTCTTTTAACAAGTACAGAGGCACTTTTGGTTAGCCTCCCCATAAAAGGATGTGGGTGGCGACTTGGATAGTATGATGAGCACCGGTCCTTAAATGCCTGACAGGTAGGTTCCATGCAAGGGCCAAGGAAGGGAATTAGGATTAGACCTAAAGCTCAGTTTTGACTCTGGGGCTGCTCTAATGTTAGCGTCTACCCTTTTGGCTATTAGATGTGGTACACCACCAGTTTACTCTTCATGGAAGGTCTGTGGTTCCTGGGCTGCTTCAGACCATGTAAATCACTTTAGTCTCATCTGAAGGGATCAGTTTGCCCCCTTTTTACAGACCATGGCAAAGTGGATGTGACTTGATATAATCTGTTACAGAACAAATTATCTTGAAATATGCATTAGCCCAGAGATGGCTGTAGGACACATTCCTGATCTGTGTCACTTCAAAACTGTCTGTCAGATTTGTAATGCGCTACCTAAATTTCCCAGTCACACACAATTTTGGCCAATCCAGTGAGAGTTGTCAAACGGACTCTTTTAATGTTGGCACAAAAAGCTGGGTCCAGTGTTTGCTAATACTCAATTCTTTCAGCACCACAGGCCACTTTCAGAAAACCTAAAATAACTCAAAACTTGAGCAACAAATTCTGATAACATTTTCTATTATCTTCCAAATGAAGAACAGTTTAGATAGACCATTAAAACCAAAGCCTCCCATTACATTTATGTCCTTGATGAGAATGGGAATATTTGGGATACACCAACCTTGTTGTGAGTATGTCTCAGTGTACTCAGCTCTCTACTAAGATTCGCCTTCTGCTCCTCCAAGGCCACCACTGCAAGAAAAGAGAATATGTGTGGAATCGGCAGATTGAATCCAGCTCTAGCACAATAAGGGAGAGAGGCACAATTTAGAAATTTGGCAGGTATCCGATTGTATGACCAGTGGCTGCTACTGAATATCTCCTCATGATATTTGCGTAAGACAAAAAAAAAAGATAAGACCAACTCCAGGCTTCATGTGGAAATGCTCACACTGATCGGCTTGTTCTCGTGCTTTCTTCTCGAGATCTCGCTCTCGTTGTTCTCGCTCCTTTTCCCTCCCCCTGACGGCTCTCCTCTCCTGCTCGATTTGGTCATCCAGCTCCAGATACCTCTGGAATATAACACAGATTAAAGAAAAACCCTGATTTTTCACAGCACACCTGGTCGCTCAAACATACACTGTAAACCCTCCCACCTCTTGACTCTCTTTCCTCAGGGCTCTCTCTGCTTGGTATCTCTCCAGCAGCTCCTCTCTCTCAGTTTTCTCCCTCTCCACTTCCTCCTCCCGCTCTCTGAGCTGGGCTTTGCAGGAGGCCAGTCCCTCCAGGACCCACACAAATATGGGAACTAGGGACTCCACCACACTTTCACCATGAGTCTCAATAACAGTCTGTGGCAGGGTACAACATCAGGGCGAGAAGGCAGAAACATTAGTTTCATGCTGTTTGTCTGGGAACTGCTCAGAAAGTGAGAACACCTCACCTGTAGCTCTGAATACAGTTTTCCAGCCTCTTCACTCACGATGTTGGGGTCCAGCTCCACCTCCCCCGTCCCACACAGCACTCTCTCACTGTACTCCATCCGCAGATTGGCTTGTATTCCTTTTATTTATGTCAAAAGTTCAACTACATGCAAAACCATCAAAGCAAACACTCAAACGTGTAAGCCAATTTTATGACTATACTTCCTCAACACCTAACATAACAAGTTTAGCCAACATTTCTGCCAACTCCAGCACCACCCATCCGAAACAGCATCATGTTTCTGTTGTTGTGGACAAGCACAGCATCTTCTTGGAGGGCACTTAGCCAGCCATTTCTGTAGTCCTGAGTTTAGATGACATCTGGAGGTGTGCCAGAGCCCATCCTGAAAAAGTGGTAAAGAATAACATCATGACAATCCCCTTCTCTGTGGTGCATCTTGGAGTAACTGCAACAAACAGAATTGAAGACTTTCTGAAATATATAAACATAGCCAAGTACACAAGCAAAAACTTCTGAAAGGGAGGGCCAATGTTGAATGAGCACGAAGGTGTGAACACAGAGAGAATATGAAATGAAAGATCAGCATTCAGGCATACAAAAGAACACAGAAGCCCGAAGGGGTGCCTTTGTGAATTCCATTTTAAACCACATTTTAGTCAGAAACAAAGCTGTTATCATACAAGTATGGTGGCAATTTAAGTTAGTTTTAACATCCCTTTTGCTTCGAATGTACAATCCTTATTCAACTACTTCTTTTTCTTCAAGGATTCTGGGTAAATACACTGATGAAGGACAAGATCCAACCACTGGTATACTTTCTGTCATGATTCTAATGCCAAAAAAAGGTGTTGATAAAAGGTTCTTTGGCCCAACACAATACATTTTCTACAGTGTCTGAAAACGACAGAAAAACACCATTTATAACATATGGACTATCTAGTTTTGTTCGGTATTTGGGGGATATTATTACTCGGGAAATAAACACAGGAGGTTAAAGGATGATACTAATGTATTCAGCAGCTCCTTTGACTCTCTGGCTTTAATCACGTTGCCGGGATGGGAACCGGTGTTGTAAATATTAATATGATACACTAATTATTGATGAGGCACGGACACACAAAGCCCCGAGCCGCTCAGCACGCGCCGCAGACAGACACAAGGAGAACACAACCACTCCAGATCCCGGTCAAACACAAACATGACAGCCCCTGTCACAGCTCGGGGAGTGGGATTATCGGTCCACCTTGTGAGCGAAGTAAAGACTCCAGCGAGGAGTCACACTTGCTGGCATACTGTATGAATAAATAACGTGACTGACAGTGGACACCTTGAGAGACTGTTGACCGCAACTTCACAAACTTCTGACTTGGCCAAAAAAAAAAAATTCAAGCTGACACGACGCGCTAAGCGGCCGCCACTCAACACACTCACCTTCGTGACTATGTCCCGCTGACTTTCATTTGACTGCTCCAAAACACTTCAATTCAGACGTATTTTCTCCCGCCGACGATATCAATTATACTGGGAGCAGTTTAAAGAAGGGTTTATTGTTTCATTTTGACGTGCACAGACATGTCTCCGGTCTGTCCAATCGGAGCGCAGAGGTCGTGCCTCCAACCAATAATTTACGAGAGGGGGCGGGATTTGAGTAGTTTTGTTTTCAGAAGTCGAAAAAAAAGGTTTCCTGAAACTTGAACGATGACACGTGACTAAGGAGGTTACAGTGGGTTGTCAGGTGATCCCAGTAAAGCCTTTCCAAGGCCGATACCTGTCGAAATGCCTCACATGCCTGAGAACTCGCCTTATTCTCCACGCCAAGTGATTAGAGCGGGATCTTAAAGCTGACTTTGTATGCACAGTGAACAGTGTGAAGCTCTTCAGGTGGACAGTGAGAAGCAAAGTCAAAAATATCTGCTGGGGCAAAGGTTTTGACGCATCTCTGCAGACGTTTGCATTACACTGTCATGTGATCGGGAAAATCAGTGTGATATAGATCATTAAAAGGAATGTCACTGTGCAAGGAGACGAGAGGAAATCCGGGCAAAGAAATATCATGGTGTGGAGTTTGTGTTTCTTCCAGCAGATGGAGATACAAACGCACACATTCCTCTTTTTAGTCTACCTTTTCACACTTCAAGTCTCTGTGACTGTGAGATGTGACTCTTGCTTTTCTCGTTCTATGTCTTTATCTTTCTGAAAATTAAAACCAAGAGAGGGTTTTATATGACACTTCCTTCATTAAACTAATTACATCATTGGCTCATCGACAAAAATCATTACAAATTTCTTCAGATTTCTTCATCCATTTAAAACCCCAAATGTCATCGAGGCTGTGACTGTAACTTATCAATTTATGTCATAATGAGATATAAGTGAAGCACATAATTAACTATGTGTGGCAAAGAAAATACTAGAATGCTGTTTTATCCACCTATGTGTAAGATTTCTAAACAAGAACATCTCAGTGAACTTTGTCTCTTTCCTCTCCTTTGAGCAAAGACACACTAAAATAATTTATTTCCTTGTATTCTCTTTGTTTTTATTCACATATTAATTTGGATGTTTTCAGCTTCACAACCAAGTTTAAAAATATCTCTTTATACTTGAAAAACAAAAAAGGGGGAAACAGGATGGTGAAGGGGACCTTAATTCCTCCATTTAGAAACAAGTCAAAATGCTGTGATGTTCGGTTAGCTACTCTCAACCTACTGAAAATAACAAGGATCATTTTCAACACAGTTGAAAAGCAGGAATTTCCTGGCATAAAAGTGCATTTGAAGAAATTATAAATATAATGATAATTTTATGTTTTATCACAAAAAATACATTTCTTTATACATTGTTGGCTGAAAACCAATACAACACACATGTTTGGTAATCTAATAGTTGATGGTAACAATAAAGATTCTATTAAGACTTAATAATGGGATGATTGTCCTGCTTTGTTACAGCTGACTGTTGGGCTCAGTGCTCTCTCAACAGGGAAATACTTAAAAGAAAGACAGAACATTGTTAATCTGCATAAAAAGAAAGCCATGCTTTATTTGTTGACAATCGTAAAAAAACATAAAAAGTGCACAAATGTTACCTGTACAGTATTATGGGCACAGTTGGCTGCAATATGACAAATCACCATTTAATACATGAATTACTCATAATTTGTGTGTGAAACAGTTGTTATTAAAGTGATAATAGCTAAAGTGTAGTTTAGAAAGAATATACAAAACCTCTTTTCTCCGTAGAGAACCTGACCATTTTCAGTATATTTAGATATCAGCACAGCATTACACAACAGGTTAGAATACTTTATTCTTTTCCCTATAAAGAAAGAAAAACAGGAACTACCTTTGTGTATAGTTCAGCTTAAAAGATAAAGCAAGCAACAGGAGGTCTGTAGAGCTGCTGATATGGAGTGAAAATGTTTAGATTTGTTCAGAGGTCAAGAGGAGTTAAGGACTTTTGTATACATTACCCTTATGGCAGATTTTTTATCACTTACTTCAAAATTCTGCCACTGAAGCCTTTTTACACAGTGACTTTTTTGATCATACTCCCACTCTCTACAAGAACTTGTTTTCCATCCTCTCTCTCCTCTCGGGTCAACTCTCTCTTCTTCTTGGTCAGGAGGTAAAAGGCTGCCACCCCGGCCGTCACCACAAAACTGAGAGCCAGAATCACGAACCCAAGTCCCAGCAAGTGAGAGGTTCCCTCCCTAAGATGGGTCAGTTGGTCCCACAACCCCACAGCCACACAGCTGAGGCCAATGAGGGTTCCCCAAAAGCCAAAGGCCAGTATGCAGGATCCACAGGACAGCTCGACGCCCCCGGTCACCACGGTTACGCCTGCCACCGACACAACGCCACCTGGTAAAGTCACTGTCTCAGGTTTACAGTTGAAGGAGACCGCGGAGGGGACATCCGTCAAAGCAGAAGGATCAAGGGTTTCCATCTTGGCTGTCATGTTTGTTTTTTGTCCCTTGTTTGGTTGTCAACAAAGATGTCACGTGGACTTCTTCTGTCTTAGACCTACAACATAATACACAGTTGAATAGAAAAGTCAAATAAACCTGCTGCCACCCACCTTTCTATTCTTATTTGGAATCACTTTTTCCCAAGACTGGCGAAATCAACATAAGTCTCATTATCTGATAGTATCCGTGTGTGTTTACAATATGTGTTAGGCTAATATAGCTTATAGGTAAAAGAGAAATAAATTGAATAACCAACGGGCAGATATTTGTTAAGATGAAATTTCAATTAATGAAATGCCAGTGTGCACCTTTGATACTGTTTAAAGCTTTGAGATACGTGCTGAATTGGACAGTAAGTTGCAACATTTAACCACACATCTGAATTTTGCCATAAAAATGAAAACAGTCATTTGATCATAAATGACAACAGAAATTATTTGAATACATTTTGAAAGACATACCGAACAAAAATTACAGCTTTTAACCTCAGAACTTTTCAAAAAGTTCATGCAAGTGGTGACAAAGTGTCCCTGCATGTTTTTGCTGTTGAATAAGGCCTGATAGAACTGAATGGGAGACAAACACTTGCCTGAGAGTATCACATAGATTAGTTAATAACTGCAGAATTCAGAAACTAAATAAATATGTACCATTTCACAGAAAAAAACTATCTGTATACTCCCAAAATGCAGCTACTCACCTCTGTTGACCAGGAGCTTCGGTCTCTGCTTCGATTGTCATACAAAAAGTCCCATGATTTCATACAAATAAAAAATGAAAAATATATTTTGGTTATAAACTTTTTTTTTTCTAACTGAAAGTCCTAATTTGCTCCCTCTCTCTGGTCTCTGGGAGTAGAAATGGGAGAAGACGCCCAAGTCCTCACATATTTCGCCTACTTGAGGTCTCACAAAATGGTGGATGCAGTCATCAAGATTGTTGCCATAGTTTGTTTGTTCCCCTCTTTCCTTGTGTTTAGAAGGAAGCTCTTGTCTGTCATTACGCGTCATTATGACCCATTAACAGATATTTATCTGGAAACAACTCCCTTCCTCTTTTCCTTTTGCTTTCAGCCTTAAAATCACAGTTTAGGCATTGTTTGGGTTGAGAACCTATTTTTCCTTTTTTTCTCTATAAGTATGGTCCTGTTCAGGTTCCACATTCCTCATGTCTCATGTCACTTCCATGTGCAAGATATGCTCTCAGTGCTAATATGCTTCAAACTTTAAGTTGTGCAGCTTCAGAACAACTTTGAAATACTGTTATTATTTTTTAGAAAGTATGGATATTCATATAAATGACATAGCTGATTTTTTCACAGTCGACACTAGCACAGGTGAAGCCCGACACAGTCCATTACTAAGGTATAATCCTGCCCCGCAAAGAGTGTTGTTTCCACCGGCCTAATTAGGTGTTCTTAGACTGACGTCTACTCCTGTTGACCTTTGACCACCATGGTTTAACATTATTTGCCAGCAGCTGAAGCCAAATTTCATGCTCGATAGCAACGTCACGAAAAACGAACTGTCCTTTATACGTCATCCAGTTTCAAACATTTATTCATGGTGACTGCATGTTGACTCCAGACGTGAGACAGTTTTCTCATTTAATAAAACATTTCAAAAGTCACCACAAATCCTAACCCATACAGCCACCAGCAGTTAGTCCAGCCAAGGCTGCAAGTCACATGTTAGGGATTGTTTGGTGGAGAGGGGGAGGTAATTCTTTTGGCCTTCACACTTACAGGATGAAGATGCCTGTAATTGGCTAAGTGCATATATGAGGCATAGCAGGAGTAATCCAACAGATGGACTCTGAGCATATCTTAAGAAGAAAAGATAATGTAACATGGTAAAAACAAACAAAAAAACAGTAAAAATATGGTATGGGCATGTTGCTGTGCTTTAATTTGAACTATTTGAAGTATCTCTCCTTTTCTTGAAGGAGTAAAGAGTGGCACTCGCTTCCATTCTATTTCAGCTTGTACAGGATAATTAAGGTAACAGTTTTAGGCAAAGCAGAGATAAATAAAACAGACTGGTAGAGGATATGTGTTTGACACAGGCTGTCTTTAATATAATTTGCCTTGCTGATTGCTATCACGACCTTTCAAGTATGGTTATAGTTGTTGGCAAATAAAATGGAGATCATGGAGATGGATGGAAGAAAACCTGTAACTCATAAAATAAAGGTGAAATCATCAATACGCTGGACAAAATGTGGACCAAGCAAAAAACAAACAAACAACGTTTTGGCTCACGTCTCCAAATCCATGTTGGAATGAAAATTCAATGAAATGGGACACACAGCTCTTGTATGACTGGAAGGAGGTCATGTCCGGGAACGAGGCGGCTGACAGTGTAGAAGATGTGAGGGGTGCTGGTGGGATTGGAGTTAGAGGTGAGCTTGAGTGAGTTAAACTGCCTGGACAGATGGTGGTCTGAACTTAGATGTCAATTGTCACATAAATAGCAGATGTAATGCTGAAGAACTTAAAGCTAGCTTTTAAATCTCTTGTGTCCACTGAGCCTCCCAGAAAACATCTACGATTAGCCACCTGACACACTGTCCAGTTTGTGATTTGTTGATAATGAGAGCCCACAACTGAGGACAAGGGAGAAACGGTTGGACAACCATCTAGTATTTCAGATATTCATTGTTTCTGGTCTCTGTTTTTTATTTGTTCCTATAACATCTTAAATGTTCATTACGTCTCCAATGTGAAGGTTAGTGTTGCACCTCAACTTGTATTACTTATCAATGATTAAGTTCTATAACACTACATATACAACCTTTCCAGATAGGTACTGATAGATAGTCGCATTGGTTTCTTACTTATCAATATCAAATTTGGAAGATTTGGGTCTAATTTATTAATGGAAGTCAAAATAATGACCCCTCAGACCACAAGGCCTTTTCCACATCATCTCTGTCCATCTTAGTGTTCACAAATCTTATTTATAAATTTTTTTTTTTTTTTCAGCACATGCCATTATTGAGCAGTGATGGTTTCCATACTTTCAGTGCAGACATCACCTCAAAGCCATCCACTCAAAAGTCTGCATGAGTTTCATCCGATTCTCTGAAGAAATGTATGACCATAGTTTTATAATGACACCCCCATGGCATTTCAGCTTTAATAATGAAGAAATATTACATAATGGCACAGTTACTACAGATGATGAATAATCTTACAGGTCACTTAAATTTTGGATCCTTCCAGGACTCCAGAGCTAAACATAGAAAATAGGAATAGCAGGTTCATTTTAGTCAATGTCTTATCCACCTTAAATCCCGCATTAACAGAATTAACCCTGTCACCTCCCATAACAGAGTTTCCCACTGTGCTCTTTTATCTCTCACTGGCTGAGACAGACGCTCAGTTCTCCAGCCTTCATCCGCACACACAGCTCACAGGTAAGATTTCCTGTTATAACATTTAACGTTGTGTAGTTTGCTGAGTAACCAACAGTGTTTTCAGGCTTCATGAGTTAATTAGTTAAATAAGTTAATTATCTAAATCGGGCTTCTTTTGCAGAGTCTTGCAAGATTCAGTTTGTCTCCTTACATTTCAGGAAAAATAAAATAAACATTTGGATACAGACAAGACTCATTTGATACAGGAGAAGAAGACATCTGGAGGAACTGAGGTGGCAAATACTTGCCATTGAGTCTGACAACTGAGACACTAAGAGCCACTGCCATGGGAAATGCCACCAGCAGCGCGATATCAAAGGAGATCCTGGAGGACCTGAAGCTCAGCACCAAGTTTACTGAGACAGAAATCTGCCAGTGGTACGAGAACTTCCAGAAGCAGTGTCCCACGGGTCGCATCACACCAGAAGAGTTTGAGGAGATCTACACCCGCTTCTTCCCAGAAGCTGATGCCAAGAGCTATGCCAGGCATGTGTTTCGCTCCTTCGACACCAACGATGACGGCACCTTGGACTTCAAGGAGTACATCATCGCACTGCACATGACCTCCACTGGGAAGACCACCCGGAAACTGGAGTGGGCCTTCTCGCTGTTTGATGTGGACAAGAATGGATACATCAACAAGACAGAAGTAAAGGAGATATGTCAGGTAAGGGTGATACAGTGGTGATCCAGGGGGAAAATTAGGTCTATCAAAACCAGTCAGACAGAAATCATAGTGAGTGGACAATAGTTTATTTTGTCTTTTTATCATCAATCCGTCACTGTGTTGGGTTTCATAAGTAAAGCAGAATATTCTCCTGCGCATGTCGTCAGATGAAGATTTCAGGACTGACTGCAGGAAAATAAGAATAAGGATTAACCATCAGATGTGATGAATATAATGTAATCCCACAAAACAGATTTACATTGGTATTAAACTAAAGAGGTTGTGAGCGTTTGTTTTGTTGAAGTTTCTCTGCTGATTCAGCTGGACAGCTTTAAATGCTTGTTTTTCTCCTGTTATTTTCTTGGTCTTCTGTTTGGTCCACCTTAACAGTGTTGCTGTTATGCAGAAACGTGCAATCCCTCTCATAGTATGTAGGTCTCAGCCATGATTGCCTCTCCAATTAACCTGTCTTTTTGACCTCTTGATAATCTCTGTGATTATGGGTTAAGCACTCAGACAATATAGGCAGTGCAATTCTTTAGCAAGTCCGCACTTAACCTCTTCCTCTAATAGAGTCTATCTATGATCCTCTTTCTAATCCATGTCTTTTTTTATTCCTGGGTATGCAGTGACTCTGATACATGTTACCCATTGTTTTCATACAGTCAGTTCAGTGGAGGTAGGAAAGGACTCTATATTCAGTTTTAAGACAAATGAAAAAGATTTGTAAGAGGTTTAGGAAGATCAGCCGAGAATCCAGCTTGAATCATAATTGGATTTATTTCCTGGCCAACTGGCCCGAACCCAAAAGCGTTCTGTTTACACTCACTGTATGAAGTAGCTGAATTTTAATGCTTCAACAGCTATGACCTTAGCACAGCTTTACATATAAACAAAACGAGACTTTTATTTGTTGGATGGTGAGGTTCTTAGTGTCTGTAAAACAGCAGCATAAACTAAATACTTTTTTATTTTACCAGAACTGAAACAGAACATTTCTAATTCTGTATCTGCGGATTTGAGGAAGTAAATAAAAGAGAATAAAGCACTGATGGGATGGACTGATTCAGGGTCTCACGGATAAGCAACTGCTTGACCCTGCTCGATTTTTATCTCTTTAATTCCAACCTATATATTGATATGGATGACATATTTGGATAACTGGGATATTTCTATGTCAGAATCTGATGCATACAGATCAGAGGGGAAAAACTGAAGGCATGACCAGGGAGAGACGACATGACATCCCAGCGCTTGGCCTGTGGCCTGAGTCTTGGCTCTAATCCATGTTAATCTAGGTGTCTTAAATGTGGGAGATGACTGCTTCCTTTCTAAATGGGACACACTCTTAAAACGTCTGAACTCTAGTGTACAGACATTTAGTCTTTTATATCCTGCTGGATTTTAAGTAGCCCATTTCAGATGGACTGGTTCTTAAAAAAAACATAATGGTGGCTGAATGTGTTGTGGGGGCGAGCCTGATAAGTTATTTTGGCATATACAGTAAATTTACAAATTTCAACAAACCACCGGAGGCATGAAGTTTTCTGAGGAACTCACTTCTTGCACACCTTTTTTTCCTGTGTTTTGTTGATGTTCAGGAAAAATGATGCCGTACTGTCATTCTTATGACCCCTCTCCTCCCCTCAGGCTATATTTAAGCTCATCCCAGAGGAGGAGCAGAAGAAGCTACCAGAGGATGAGAACACCCCTGAGAAGAGAGCCAACAAGCTGTGGGCTTACTTCGATAAGAAAGATAACGGTATGTGCATTTATGCAGGATGCTATGAAAAGACACAACGGGTCGCTCTCAGTCAAGCTTTCCAATTAAGGTTTTTCTGTATCAAAACATTTGGGAAATTCTATTTTTAAATATGCAAATGATAAAAGGAGTTTTTGAATATGTGCTGATTCGTCTAAACTTCCCAAATAGAGGACAGTGATTACCTTTATTCGTAGGTTTTGTTTAAAAAAATATCAATGAAAGCTGTTTTTATCCTTGCAGAAATTAAAATGGAAATGTAGTCACATTTTGAAATGTCCGGTAAATTACTGTCAATTGCTTATATTTGTTTAAATTTAAACTTTGCTAGCGAGACATCTCTAATTCACGCAATGACCAATCAAAGAAAAACTCTTGATTTACGCATCTTAAAATGAATACACTGCCATTTTTCTTTTGCTCAATGAAAAAGTAAAACAAGAACACGATTTTCTATCTAGGAAAATTTTCCCACAATTTAGATTTTAAACTTGTGGTTGATATACAACCAAAAGAGCCAAAAGTGAAAAAGTATGGAAACGTTTGACTGGGAAGGGATTTAAAAACTATGTTCTCTCTTTCAAGTATTCTTCAGCAGATGTTTTAACATCTTGAAAGAAAATCTGCGTTTAATAGGCATTTGTTTGACTTAACAAGAATAGAAGAAATAAATCCAACTGCGAACCATCTGCACATATAATGCAGCTTGTATTATGCAATCTTTATTATGTATGTACCAAACATTTGTCATGAAACCTTAACAGACAGTTGCAGGCCCGTGTCCTACGCGCACGTGTGTGTGCAGATACACAAAGGGGATAAGAGCAGATTTAGAGTCCTTATTTAACCCGTATCTACCAACTCTGTGTTTTGTTTTTCTTGTCCATCTTTTTAACACAACTAAATCTTTTCTTTGCATTCTTTCTGCTCACAGAACGACTGGCTGAAGGTGAATTCATCAAAGGAGTGATTGAAAATGAGAATGCGATGCGTCTGATCCACTATGAACCGATGAAGCAGTGAAGGCATTCATGTTCATACTTTCTCCCTTTGTACATCCTTTTTTAATCTTCCCCACTTTCCTTCAGACGTTCCCTCGGTTCTTGTTTTAACCCTTCTGGCCCTGTGTGTAAATATTCTCTGCTTGCAGTATTTTGGTTGCAACTAACTTTTCAGTAAGTTTTCAATTTTGTTCCATTGTCAGTGAATATATATTAGAGGCTCTTATATACAAAGCATCAGTGTTTTAAGATGTGTACAACCAAAAGGGCGATTTAGAGCAAAAGCATATGCACATATAAAGCTAAAATAAATGCATTGTTAGGTATAACGGATGCTGTGTCCCAGTAAAATTTTAAACAAGTTAAAAAAAATTGATTCTGGAGAAATTGTTCAAGGAAATTATCAAAGTATCATAGCACACTGTTAGCTTGTTCTAGCTTTTTTACAGACTATGAAAAATACTGATTGAAGTTGTAGCTCTCGAGTGTTGCTCTTTATTCACTGGACAATGAATTAAAGGTTTTCTCATACATCTGTTGTTCGGAAATCGATTTATTTATCCGTCCGATAAATTCCACTCTGACCCAGAAACACACTTTAGACTGTAATGATTGGGGCTGACAAAAAATGGTGCTTAAGGCTTCAAGTAGTATTCAATTGTATTAATCTGTGACAGAAAATCCAGGATTATCTCAAAAGTGTAACCTACAGATATTAAAGGTAAATGTATCTATGCTGAAATCGCTTTATAAAGGATGGCTGCGATGATTGTGCGTTACACACAGGGACTATTTGATTGTCTCTCCTAAAACCATTGTTTTCCAGATGTTTTCATGCTGCAGATGTTAAAGTGTGTATGTCAGTAACTGTGCGTGCCAGTATCTCTTTCCAACTTTCATTCTGTCCCCTCACAACCCGCTCCTCTCTCCGTCCCTTCACATCTCTCCTCTCTTTTCCGCCTTCGTTCCATCCAACTCGGGATTACTGGTTTACACATAATCTTCTGTTCAACATGAGAGAGCAGACTTTTCAAAATCTCTGTAATCTTTTTATCTCTACGGGTTTGTCTGTCCCTCTCCACTGAGAAACCGTGTTTGCCTGAGCTGCTGGTGTGAACACGTTGCATTACATGACACCATGCACCTATGAGTGCATGGTGTCAGAAAAAAGGAACGTGATGACAAAGGAAACATACCGGCTGTCAAAGTCAGACATGTGAGAATGTTATTGTACATTGATTTGACAGAATTTGAACATGAGCCGACCAAATACAAGACAGCTGCATTCAGGTTGTTAAATAAGCAATAAAGCAAGACAAACATACATATTATATTTTGGATTGTACATTTGCTTCCCATCAATTAGGCACAGAGAAACATAAATTCATCATAGTCTTACATTTTAAATGTGTGCTGTTTTGATTTAAGCACGTTCAAAGTTCAGAGAAGGTGGATGACAACACAAATCAGGGTTTGTTTTCAGCTCACGATTCAGCCCTTGAAGTTGAATGTGCCTTACTGATCCTCTAGCAAGGCGAATCAACTCGTTCCAAGGCTTCTTCCATCTCATCCCTCTCCCTCTCACAGTCCTCACAGCCTTCTGGGCCACAGCCTCCCACCAAAACCAGAGTCGGTACGTCCCCATTTCCCACTCCAGTCATGCTGTTGTTTGGGGGCCAAGCCACGTCAATCATTCCGTCCGGGCAGTGTAAGAGCCCACTGACGGAATAGAGTCCGCCCCCTGGGACTACCTCATCGTAGGACGGGGCGTGAGTGGCGGCCCGTGCCTCGTCCAGGCGGATTCTCTGCTTGCGCCGTAGCTCGATGATGGTCTTTGTGTAGGAGTTGAGGGTGACCACAGCCGCCCCCATGCAGCAACTGAAGGACACCCAGGCAAGGCTGAGAAAAAGAGAAGGGAAAAGAGTTTTGGGTCAAGAGAAATTATGCAGCATGTCAAGAACCAGCGTTTTCTGCAGATGCTCGAGTGACACAGACTTTAAATCCTTCTATGAAGAGCAGTTACTTACGCAAATGACCAGCCATAGTCCCAGGACTGAGGCCTCCAGTCTTTGGGACCCACAATGACTGTCATCTGGAACACTGTAGTGAACATCATGTGTGCTACCATCCCAAGAAGACCTGCACAGGAAAACAAAATCCTGGAAACTCAATATTGGAGTAGAGCTGCATTTTAAGGGATGACGTTTGTAAAAACGAAACAAAATTAAGTCAAACTTAGTGATGCCCTTACCTGATAGGACGGTACAAATAGCAGCGTAGGCATTTATTTTCAGTGCATGCATCTCTTTGTGGGAGCACAGGACTTCAAGCCACATCAGTAAGAAGCCCATCCCCAGCAGGCCAATATATGTAAACTCAGAAATAACCGACAGCCAGAGCACACCTGCAGCACACAAAAACATATGTACGCATATCAGTACCTTTCCTCTCAACTTTCAATGAAACCATGTAGATTTTTGAAGGGGGTGAGCTGCTCATCGGCACACAGCTCACCTTGTGTCTCCCCTGGAGTTAGGTCTATGAAGCTGCGACACACCTCTCCCGCTAACAGGAAATGAAGATTTTACAGATGTGATTAATATGAGTTTATAAAGATGATAACCCAGACAGCTTCAAAAGGAAGTACATAGGCTCTCAGTTCCCCATGATTGAACAGACAATAGAAAAACATTAATAGCAAAAACTTAAAATCGTTTCTTTTTTTCTGCAGAGTTTTTAACCATACATTTCCATTGTCTTTCCTTCTAGATATTGGATTTTCACACACCTGCATGTTCAAGATCAGCAAGGTGTGAAAATGAATTATCAAACCAATAATCAGAGTAAAACAATGTGTGTTTGACTCGAGGTACCTGGGTTTTAAGCAGTCCTCACGCACTTAATTTTTCACACAGCATCAGATTATTTACATTATCTTTCGATACTTTAAACCCTCATGATAGAAATTCTCACCATCATTCTGTTTCTCACAGCTTTCCCAAAAGCCAGTGTGGAAGTATCTGAAGGCGAACTTGTCCTCCCCTGTCTCCCAGATGTAGTGAACTGCATTGGCCAGCTGCCTTTGTCTGATCTTGGCCAGCTCGTCCCTCCTGGCCGGGGACAGTGTGCGGTTGTAGGGGCTCTGGGTGGGACTCTCTGTATGACACAACAGAAGGAAACACTTTTTCAGGCTCCTGTTTGCACCTTTTCACTGTGGTTCTCCTGATGTGGCTCCCAACCAAGGCATTACACTCTGCATCAAGATACTTTTGGTGGTTTGATACTAACTGACTGTCTCTAGGCATAAAACAGATTTATACATGTGTTGGTAAGCATGAGCACAAAAATAGATTTCATTGTCAAAAAGTTAACACAAACATATGCAGAGGGCTACTTTAAGTAAACATGGGTGAAGATCCAAGTAAAAATTCAATGTTTGCTTAAACAAGCAAGACGAAAACACTAGAATTCACCTTTCACCCAACCCTAAAATTAGTTTGCAGGTGAGTGGAGCTGCTTTTACCCCTTAATGTCCTTCCATAGCTTTGGTTGAGCACATCTTTTAGAAAAACCATCATTTATTTATTTGGACATTTCACTTGTGGCACGTTATATGATGCAGTCTCGTGCAGCCCTGTCAGTGTGCTCCTTGTTACAGCATGTGCGATTTGGGAATCAGGTGTACATCAATGTGACTGATGTGACCTTCTAATGTCCAAGCACACACAAAGAAGTGATTAGAAATCGCACTTTGGATAAAGTGGATTAAGGATGATGCACACACTGGAGAGCAGGTACTGTCTCTGCCTCCAATATTGTTGAATAAACCTTTGGGAGCCACAATCACACTCCAAAGATTATCACTAAGCCATAATTATGTGCATCCTAGCATTGAGGTTGTGACAAAAAGGGATTAAAACTGGAATAATCTCAATCTATCCTGTCAGATTAGGTCCAGGTATTTCTTGTTTTGAAGAGAATGTGTAAAAATTGAGTAAATCAACACTTGTGTAACCAGATTTGATCATTCAGTGGCAGTTATTTTAAAACAAGTTTGCAGACACCCAAACACACCTGTGATATGATTTACAATTGTGCAATCCAACATTACATCATGAGGAAGTTTGACTTGTCGTGGCATTCATTTAACATTTAACAGGAATATTTTTTCTGCAGTTTTCCAATAAGCATTCCAGTCATTGACTCCGCAGAAGTCTGTTGCAATACCCAACATTATCTTGGACCACACAAAGGCAGAATGCCAAGGAAACATTAGGCCCTGCTGATTAATGGTAATCCAAACCAAAAAAGCTAAATGATACCTGTGTGAACATGTTGCAACGGAAAGTGTGATTAGTCACAAAGGAGAATGTCCCACTTTCTACTGCACATCATTTTCTACTCAGGTGAGCTATACGGTTCAGGACTTATTTAATTTCACCCTGATAGAAGTTTAAAAGACTTGAATTTTACGGTGCTTCCTTCAATAAGTTCCATATGGAGCCAGCTCACATTTGAATGCATTTGTCTTTTAACAAACTTTGTTGTCATAAACTGACAGAGGAGGATAATATGTTTGCAGGCATGCATGTGTCAAAATAAAGAGAGCAACAACAATTTACTCAGTCAGTTTTGCAAAGGAAATGGCTGGCTTTCCTCCTACAGGAAAAAACGGGGACTACAGCCTCTCTTTCACCAGACACGGTAATGTCTAGCAGCACAAAATCCATCTTAGTAGCTGAGCTTATGTTGCACTTGGAGCTCTATCTCTCACTAACAAAAGAAAGCCAAGTACCAGAATCTTTTTGAGGAGGGCCTGGCCAAAGGAAGGCCCTATTTCCTAATGAAGTTGGCTGCAGTTGTTTCCCCAGCAACATCAGAGCGCTATTCCTTACAGTAGATGGATTTGGAGCCGAAACAGCGGGAAAGAGCCGTTCGGGGGATAGCTGCTGCAGCTGAGACCAGTTCTCTGCCCAGCTTGGGTGATGCATACAGGGGGAAAAAAAGGTGAACAGTTCTGACCATGAGGTTTTTGCTAAGGAAGCAGAGGGGTTTAAGAAAAAGGTAGCATAAAAAAGGATGAAGATGCAGAAATTCCCACGTAGCCCTATCAGTATATGCTTGTGGCAGAGCATCTTGGGAGTGTATCTCACTCATCAAATGGGAAAAAAACATTAGACATATTTACTGCTTGGTTAAGGGAGAAAGAAGGTTCAACTGTAAGACATTTGGTTTGAAGGTTTTGTGCTAAAACTTAAGCAGCTGAGGTTTTCAGGGATTTTTCTTATAACGTTTATCCAAATAGAATCTGGAGTTCTGCACCGTTATGTGAAGATGTTAATTTAGTCGTTGATGGGCACAAATCTGTGCTTAAAAGGCCGTAACAAAGCTATCCAATCATGCGTGGCACCATCGGAAGATTGAAGAGAAGCAGTGTGAGACACGACGATGGACAGGGCCCTTTCTGACGCGCAGTGTTTCCGTACCTGTGGTGTAAGGCTCGCTGTTGTTCTGACCACAGTTCTTCATTTTGACAGGCGACAGGCAGAGGGGCTTCACCACCTTGTGCGTGCCCTCGCACCAGTAGGAGGTGCAGAGCGCCAGGATGGAGAGGGTCAGAGCCAGAGTGGTGAGGGTCAGGGAGAGCAGGGAGCGGGAGCGGCGGGACATGCGCTCCAGCATGGCCACGGGGAGGAGGAGGAGGAGGAGGACACCGGAAAGAGAGCGAGCAGGGGAGCGGGAACACAGGAGGAGGACGGGGGCGGGAGGCAGAGGGACAGAAGACCAACAGGACACGGTGTGTGTGTGTGTGTGTGTGGGCGCCCACAGATGTAGCTGACAAGCTGGGGCAGATGCTTTTGTTGTGGTTTTAAGAACCGATGAGCTGCCAGCTTTAAACGGGAAGCACAGATAAAGGTGATGTAACAGAACACAGAGAAAGATAACAAAACGCAGCAGACAAAGTGACACTGCGAGATCAATGTGATTAAAAGAGAGGAAGATAAAGAGAATTAGAAGTGAGGAAGCAGGATAAGAAGCTCTGGTGCCAGAAGCACAGATGGAGTGAAAAAATGAACAAGGGATTTGGTGGGATAAAGTGGGCACAGTGGGAAAGAAGAATGGGGCGTGGGTGTGTAACACTTAAGTGAGATGTTGTATTGATCCTCGTGGGAACTGATATGTCCACAAATCCTCTGACCTCAAGACTTTTGACCCTTTTTTTCTGGGTAAATCAAATCAGCTTCTGTGCAAAAGCCAAAATTGTGATTTGGTAATGCACGATAAAGGTTTTATAGCTGAAGGGAACGTAAAGAACTCGTTTAGACGTGGTTCTTTACATAGTGAGAAAAACGCAGACAGGAGCACAAAAGAGGCCATGTGGTCACATCTATCTTAGTGGAACGCTCGTTCAGTCACTGCTCCAGTCAAATAAGTCCTCCAGCTGTTTGTGGGGAGGGTTTATGAAAGGCTGAGTAATGTGACCCAGGCCAATATCCTCGTGCACCCTGACTATGGCCCTCAGCAATGACTCCTCTTCCCGCTATAGCCCCCCCACCCCCCCAGGGCTGTCAGTGCTAAACCAGAGAGCCTCAAAACAAACATTTGTTTTGCTGATGACGTCGGGCTTGAGCCACAGATTTGAATGGAAAATATTGACAGATGATCCTAAAAAAAATCTGCCTTAATCTTTGTGTGTTGGATGTGTTTTACTGTGAAGTACAATCTGACCATTCTGCCTCTCAGACCATAACCCCCCCAGCAGCCCCTGAAAGACAATAAAAAACAAACAGCATTTAAATCAGTCAGATTTAGTACAGTTACTCCATTCTGATCCAAGAGGTAGTTGATTTAAAATCTGCTTCTAAATAATGATAATAATGTTAATTGAACAAAACAGGAGGTTAATCGTGAAAGCCATTTTCAGTAATGAATAAAAGTAGCAAGAATGGGACCTCTTCAATTTATGTTGGTTGAAGGTGTAATGTTGAGCTTTTGTCTGTTTAATTTAAAATAAGTTTGAAAGCCCCGACTTCCAGAGACCTTCTGCAGGCTGTGTGCAGGTGAGTGGAGCTGCTTTAACCCCTCGATGTCCTGCTATAGCTTTGGCTGAGCACACCTTTTGGAAACCATCATTTGACCATCGAAATTTGAGTAACAAAAATATTACTTTTTAAAAATACTGATACTTTTGTAATGAATGTGTTTCCCCATGACAATGTGAACGAACGGTTTTCTGGATGCAGACGTTAAAGGTTCTTGTAAATAAATATTGATTTGACTTAGTTCTCCAACCTCCAACGATTTGTTCTCTCCTCTTTTTGCTTTTTATTGTACATATTAAAAAAAAAAAACATTTGCATATTCTCAGATATTACTAAAGTCATAATTTGGGACCCATTCATTTTTCAGGTGCGCATTTGAGCTATCAGAATTCACAGTGTAGTCAAGATTTTTCTAACATTACGAACACTTAAAGCATAATCAAATAAAGATTATTATTCTTCCTCAACTGTAACCGAATTATAGTTGATTTCAACAAAAGGAAAAATCTGTCAGATCTTATCCTAAATCACCTTTTGTAAACATTACTTTCCTCAGCTAAAACACATTCACTGCTGGAGTGATTGAAAGGTTTATGGATTTAACATGTTTGTTCTAGCATCTAAGAAAAAAATAATGAAGGAGCAATACTTGGTGTGGTGAGCATCACCAAGAAACCCAGTTTTAGATAAAAAATAATGTTCATAGCTGGAAACAGAGAAATGGCACAATCTCTAGAGAAATATTCGGGGACATGTACTTGATTATTCTTCCGTTGTCTGACAAGCATCCTAATCTCCCTTGATTTAAGGATAAGGGACGTGCACGTTCTACTGTAAAAATGAATGTAAAAATGTCGGAAAGCCTGACCATCGCCTATCATTTCCTGTAGTTTTCTGAACCCAAAATCTTCAGTTTTTTTAAGAGTCTTTACTCCAAAAGCTTCTTAAGAACTTACATGTAGTTGCTCCATCTTGAACAGACTTTGTGTCACTGCAGTCCTCCTCTGTTTTCTGCCTCTGAAGAGCTGTCATCATTCAGGGTGTGCAGCACTGGTCCTCACCTCTCCAGCCACACTCTCCCCTCTAATCCGCTCCGTCAATAGCTGGATGGAGATGTCAAATGATGGAGCGAGCGGGCGCCTGCCTCCACGCCAATCTACTGTTTTCTGTCTTTCTTGGGAATTTATGTCACATACCCATCCTGAATCATGTAATCCCTCTAAGCCCATCTGTTACTATAGTGCCCCCCTCTTCCTTTCTGCCCACTTTCAGAGGTGGCTTCCTCTAAAACCTCCCGACTGCTTTCGTCATCAGTTTAAGTTCCACAATCAACATTTTAAACTTTACTTTTAATAAAATGGTGGACCGCTCATGTTTGGATTTTGGCTTCCAATCAAAACATCCTAATCAATAAAATCCAACCAAGAGAGTTTCTCTATGTATATAAAATGTTAGACCAATTATAAGAAAGAAAAGAACAAAGTAAAAAAAATCTTTTTACATGTCACAATCATTTATTTATAATGTATGTACATAAAACGCAAACACCAAACATAAAACAATACCAAAAGGAGAAATTCCAGGTGAATTTGGGGGGATTCATCACGCATCAAATTGTTAACAGCAGTTAACCCCAGGCTTGAGATTTACAATAATGTAGGACCAGCTTCCCATCACTGCCAAAACACTGGAAAATGGACAAAGAGGGAGAGGGAATGACAGAAAAACAAATGTTAAAGAAAACACAACGTCATAAGGTCTATAAATGAATATCAACTGGTGGCGCCCCAAAAAAAAAAAAAAAAAAAGATAATGCTCAAGGATAAGAACTTATTTCAACTACAGTTTGAGGTCTTGACTGTTACTCATCAGGGGGGATAGGTCAGCGGTCAACAATTTGGGGCTTTTCTCATATGAAACATTCCTGTTATTGCTCCCTCTGCTGGTCAAATCAGGCAGGTCAGCATACAGGTGGACGATGCCTGTCATGGAGCTGATTTTATCATTCATGAGACCATATAAATACATTAAAGGTGGTAATAATATGTTTTTTTTCTCTAAATCAATTCTTAATTTTTGCTGCTCTTGTTTTTCCTCCATATGTCCTAAAACGTTCAAGGAAACAACTAATTAAAAATAGGGTAAATGGTCCTACATTGATTTTTGTTTTAACTTACGTCAAACAGGACTCCTACTTCTTGGTCTGGTGATGGTGCGAACGATTGGTTAACATAGATGAACTGAAAACAAAGAGAAAGAGATGGAAACGTTTTTTTCCCTCCCCCCTCAATTTATATTCTGAGAAGCTATCACATCAGACTCCAGTCTCACTCTTACCAGTTGTTCACTAGCATCAAACTTGAGGAAACGAGAAATGAACTGAGCGAGGGACTGCACCGTCCTCCCTCTGTCCACAGCCCACTTCTTTGTTTTCATTATAGGAGTGTCTCCAACCGCCTTCAGCAACACGTCAACTGTGAAGACAGAGAGAATAAAGGTGAAAGCTTCCGCAGCACACAGCCGTCCAGACAGATCTGAACCTGAACTGCTCAGTGGATTTCTGACTGTGTGCCTATGAGAGGCAGTCACGTGTGACTTCAACACCACGGCAGCAAAACAAACAGAGTAATGGTGTTCCTCATCTAACTGTGGAATTATTACAGCGGGAATGAGTGCTTCAAAAGCAGTAGAAATGACATGCCTATAACTGTTATTTCAATCACTTAAACTTTCAGGTTGGGTTGTTTATTGAATTTTTAAAAGCTGTTTCTTATTGGGGGCTGGTGTACTGACGTGGCTGTTTCTGAATGCTATTCCTGCTGGTAACTTTTGATGTAAAGTTTTCCCTGAGTATGCGTGGGTATTTCCAGTTACTTCAGCTTCCTGTCAAAAGTCCCAAAATGTATCTGTTATATTGAAACTACTATTGAAAAAACGTAAAGAAAGAAAAAAGGATGCCTTTATCAGAGTGTCATGTGAGGTATCAAGGGCTGCACAGTTACAACCATCTAGGACTAAATGTATATCAAGAGGTAACTGAAAATCAAATGGAGGAAATTATTAGTTTATTAGCTTTAGATGTCCAATGGCATGCCCAAGAGACAAAGATGATTTGTAGGTATACATACTTGATGATTTGTTACAATAATACAGATGTTAAATATGTGAAGTTTATATGGTGAAACATGTTTACGAGTTTATTTTTTATGAGCATATTGACTTAACATGCTTTAAGCATTTTTTTCTATCAACAATACTAACAATGGCCTCTTATATTGTATTATATTTAACTGATAGCAAAAGTAACAAAAACAAACAAAGCTTGGATCCTTCTCCAATATTTGAAACAGGATTCTTTCTTTCTGAGCGTTTTACTCTTATAGCTCGTTATTATTTCGCTCATTCATAGGAGATATACATTTAACTTTAACATAGCAGCAAAATATATCGTATCTAGTACCACAGTAAATATAATTTAAAAAAGAACAACAACACAGTTTCTAAGACAGCGTTTGTTGTCTTTGTAATTACTAGCAATAGCTTTAGCTGTTTTCTAAAACTTGTGCTACCACATGTGTTAAAAGGCTTCTTGTTTATTGGCTAAAAAAAAAAAACGTGTCCATCCTATTGGCCAAAATTGCTATCAGTCATCTTTACCGTCACACACCCGGAAACGTCTCCTTTAAGCACTAGCAAAATTACAAAAAAACAAGAACTATTAATGTTCTTTTTTCACTTAAATGATATTTGGCTAATCTTCTTACTTTTTTTCTTCTCTTCGCTAGTTGTGGAATCATCTGACGGTGGTTGGGGCTCCTCTTTTGGCGTTTCTGTTGGGGATTCAGCATTGTCAGACATCTTCAGATGTGAACCCTGACTTCCTCTATGCTTGACACCCACCAAGCTAGCATGATGGTTCGTGAAAAGAAGCAACTGTCATTGGCTAAAAAACACATCAGTCCCAAGAACACGTAATCCTATTGGTCAATGGGCTCCTGGGGAGGCAGTACTTAGATCCTTTTGCAGTTAAACTTCTGACTCGATTCTTGTCACTTGCAAGGTTAGTTTTATATTAATTTCCGATTATTTTTGCAAATACGTTCTTTGTTTTATAACTTATCCTGAAGTTGATTGATTATTTACAGAACGATTTTATTTAGCGTTTTTGTGATACGTTAAACGCTGTCTTTCTGTCTCTGTCGTACGTAAGAAGGTAAACGTTCTGCTTGTTTCCAGTAACAAAGAAATGTAACACGGGAAAAATAATTTAACCTACCTGTTAATCTTTCTACAGTGTCCTCGAACCTGTCATCCATTTATCCTGCTTGCTTTGGGAGTATTCGCACAACAACAGTAAGTCACATTTCGTTTCCTTCTTTAATGTTTTGCACAGATTCGAATAGTTTTTATTTTGAAGAAGACACGGCCACAGCTTTTAAGTGCACAGTCATGCAGACTTTTATTAGAATAAATGTTCGTTTTCTAATGTCTGATCTTAAAGGATAATGCCAATAAATAGCAACTTGTGGCTACACTGCAAACTTTCAAAGCTTAAACAAAAGTTGACCTTGAGTTTCTCCAAAAATCTGAGCTGAATTTGTTATATTTTGTGTTGCTTTCACAGTGGCAAAAGTTGGCAGGCTCTCCACCAAGGATGCTGTACTCTTCCTGTGTGACATGCAGGAGAAGTTCAGACCCAACATCTTCCAGTTTCCCAACATTGTCAGCAACGCGGCCCGGCTTCTCCAGGTCGGCCGTGCTCCCAGTATGGATCACTGGGTTGGAATTTTTTGGGACAGTTTCAATCAAACCCCACTGTCGTCCCTTCCCCGTTGCAGGCTAGTCGGGTCCTGGGCATCCCCCCCATTCTGACAGAACAGTACCCTAAAGGTTTAGGACCCACTGTACCGGAGCTGGGGGCCGAGGACCTGAAGGCATATCCCAAGACCTCCTTCACCATGATTATCGAGGAGGTGGAGAAAGAGCTGCAGGCCCTGGGGAATCGCAAACAAGCTATTCTGTGTGGAATTGAGGCCCACGCTTGTATCGCAGTAAGACCATGTGATTAATGTTACCTTATATTTCATGTGCTGTTAAACTATTAAAGGTGGAAATATAGAAAATAGTTTGAGGATTATACTGATGTCACTTTTGATAATGATTATGTTATTAATAGTTTAGATACAACTCTGCATTTTCCTTTTTAAAAGAGCCAATTGGAAACGTTCCCCTCTTTCTGATGTGTGCTTCTTATCCTAAGTGTACAACATTCGATCTGCTTGAGAAGGGAATAGAGGTCCACATTGTGGCTGACGCCGTCTCATCCAGAAGGTATCTGTTTATTGTACAATGGGCTTTCTGACACAGTAGGGTATCAACAGTGGGGAAACTCTGTGTGTATTATTTTCTAAGAATGTGCTTTCCTCAGCCAGACGGACCGGCTGTTTGCTCTGTCCCGACTGAAGCAGAGTGGAGCTTTCCTGACCACAACAGAGGCCGTCCTGCTGCAGCTGGTTCAAGACGCCAGGCACCCCAACTTCAAGGAGGTGCTTACTGTGAATGCCTTTTTGCAGTGTGTAATATAGATGTGTGCGTTTTTCCCTGAAGAAAATCAGTTCTACGCTGAGTGGACCACATGCATAATCAGAGCGCACACACAAAAAACACAAATACACCTTTTTCTTCACACTAACTGATGTTTAGAAAGGTAAAATATGGACAGGGCTCACACCCTTCAGGCCATGGCTGAACACACTCACAGAAGCATTTCACACTCATATTGAGGAGTGGGAATTGGGGGAAAAATGGAAGTACATTTTCTTTAAAGCTAAATGAGACATTTTTAGTGGTAGTGTGTCGAATTTGGGGTTTATAGCATCGCTGTTCTTTGTTGAACTCCCAGCTGGGGCATTTCTGTGTGGAGCCTGATCTCCCCGTGTGTCACAGTTGTGTGTAATGGCTGTGAAATAACTTTCTTATGAAGCTTTACATGCCCAAAAAACTTGTTTTCTATCTGGAAAAAAGCAGTTCTCATTGGTTGTTTGTTTTTTAAAGGGATGAGTATGAACACAGACGGCACACTGTGTGCCATCTCCGAACCAGACTGAACGCTAAATGTGTTCATTCGTTCCCCTGGCGCTCGGTTTTGAGCCCTTGTTTGTAAGGTTTAATGAACCAAAAGTTTCTGTAAATTTTTTCCATCCCACAGTTGTTTGGTCTGTTGAAAAAGACAGACTCTGAGTACACACACTTTTATGCCCCAGCTGGTGGATCGCCAAAGATGCACAGCTTTCCACTGGGTGACTTTGTACATTACAGCTCAGTTAATTTCATGCACGCTTTCCACTAACTACAATCAGGAATAGTTCAGCTTTCAGCCAAATCTCCTGGGTATGTGTTTGTCTCACCTCGAGAAACTCAATTGAACACAATTCCAGTCAAATGTTTCCTAACTTTTTACAGTTTTTTCTCTGAGCATGAATTTTTTTTAAATAGTGAGGTGATCAACACTGGCTGTGGCCTCCCTCAGTGGCAGGCCTGCCAGTTCCTGCATGAAAATATCCGTCTTGATTTATTGTACTTTGTTGTCAGATCCAGAAGCTCATGCTCCACCCGTCCCCTGACACCGGCCTCCTCTCCTACTTCAGTGCCCTGTAGAGACATCACCTCCAGCCGTCGTGCTCCAATGTACAAAACCGATAAGAAAACAAGACAATAAATCAAATCTTTTACCTTGATTTTGAACTTCTGTGCTTTTTTTTTTCTTCTTGTTCTCATGTCTGAGTAAAATATTGTGGTGCATGTTTTTGGAGTCCTTCCTTGTGGAGGCGTTTCCCTGACAGGCCGGAGCTCTGAGGAGGTGGGACCAGTTCCCAGAGGCGGGTGCACCACGTGATGTCACACAGGGGTGGAGAGAATGACGCATTTCTGGTGTCAGAAAGGGAGGGGAAGAACAGAGGGAGGGAGAGAAAAAGGAAGCTCGAGAAGTTTTTTTTTGTTTTTTTTTTTTGGTGTGTACATTTCTCTAAAGTTACACAAGCTTTCACAAACGGAGGGTGTGATCGGAGGTCTTGAGGGGATCAGCATGCCGAGGAATGAGCTCTGAAGAGGAGGACGGCCGCGGTTTGTGAGCAGTCGTGCACGTCTGATGACAGCATAAAACATTAACCACTTTCAAGGCCTTGGGCCTCGAGTGACCAGAGGGAGGTAAGCAAGTCAATCTTCCTTCTCAGAAAATGGCAGGTATAGGTGGAGGGGGGGTGACTCGCTCATATGTCGACGCACTCGCCCTGTGCGTTTGCTTAGGAAGGGAAAGTTTGTCGAGCAGCCAGCGTTTGAACACACTGTTTCCTTACTGACGCTGGCTGAACCTACAGGAACAGAGCGGTTGACTCTTCCAGACCTCTGGGGAGTGCTCCCTGTTTATGTCTCTGCTCCGGTCCATGCCAACTGAAAGCAATCGAACGCTCAAAACCACCCTTTCCAATTCTGCTCTTTCAGATCCTGGACGCAGAAAAAGAAAAAAAAAAGAAAAAAACATGTCCTCTGACTTGGACTCCAGTCTCACCAGCATTGACTGGCTGCCCAAACTGGGAATCAGTAGTCTTCGCTCGGGCAAAGAGAGAGGAGGAGGAGGAGGAGGAGAGAGGGACAAAAAGAGAGACAGGGGGAAGGAGAGAGGAGACTTCATACCCTCGGTGCCCAGCCCCTCTGCCTCCACCTGCAAAGGGAAGCCCCCCCACAGCTACGCCACTCTCATCGCCATGGCCATAGAGGCTGCTCCGGAGAGGAAGCTGAGTCTGAACGACATCTACACCTGGATCAGCGACACCTTTCCCTACTACAGCCGGGCGGGCCGCGGGTGGAAGGCAAGCATCGCTGGGGCACGGCAGTCCCTAAATCTGAAAACCTCTAAACTGTGTCGTTTCTTCCCTGACCGCCACAGAACTGAGTCTCTCTCCTCTTAACAGAACTCCATCCGCCACAATCTGTCTCTCAACAAATGCTTCAGGAAGGTTCCCCGACCCCAGAATGATCCTGGAAAGGTGAGCCGCTTTGATAAGCATCTCACTGAAACGGTCCACGTGATTTCCTCCGAATTTCGTGTGTGCGCGGGATGGGAGGTGTGAGGGGGGGGAGTGAAAGCTCTTAACCACTCCTGTGTTTTCAGGGCTCCTACTGGACGATGGACGGCCATGCAGACGTGGCTCAGGTCAGGGCACCCAAGCGTCCCCATCCGGAGGACGATGAGGGAGAAGAGAGACCGGACGTGCGTTTTGTTTTATCTTGATATTACTCACTCATTTCCTGACTTCAGTATTTATTTTTTATTCTGATATACCATCTTGGTTTGCAGTTAAAGTGTCTCTCATTCATGTAGGATTGCATGTTTTATAACTTTGAATGTTACTTTTATAGTGTGAATAAATACAGATTAGAAGGATAAAGAGGACAGCTTGGTCATAGTGACATTCTCAGAAGTTTTATATCTACTTTTTATTGACAAGGACAACCAAAAGTGACTTTTTTTCCAAATTTTAAATAAATTTCCATGTAGAAATCAGCCTTTTTGAACATTGAACCCCCTAATCAATGGAAAACATTTTCAAATTTAGTTCCTTAGACTGAGCATCCATGAAACATGGTTATAATTTACAATTCTCACAGGGCTCTATTTAGGTCCCCTGTTTTGGTTTTACCGGACAATCAAGAAGAAACACTTTGAGAGTCATATAGATCTATCTATTTTAAAGGATAAGTTTTCCCAAACAGGGCTCTATTGCTGTGGCAGAAATAGTCTTCATGAAAACAGGTTTTGAAAACAGGTCACCCCACACTTAGCAAAACTACTGAAAAGGGTGTAGCAAATCTGAGCACGCGCTCAAACTACCATTGTCGTTTAGCTTTGTTTAGCGTGGTGTTTTGACCCGACGAGTCCCTTCCCCTCAAGCGGTGCTGCTGCATTCCTGCAGGCTCTGAGCGCCTCGTCCGGCGGCCTGCTGCAGGCTCCCCCGGCGCCCGAGGCCCGTCCGGCGCGAGGACCCTCCCCTCGACAGCTGCAACCGTCCCCTCACGCAGACCTCCAGCTTCTGAACTCTGCCCCGCTCGGACCTGTCCGGCAGCAGCCTCCCCGCTCCGCCGCCTCTCTCTCTCCTCCCCCACGCAAGGTAAACGCACTTCCTCCCCTCTCATATTACAGCTGTGCTCGTTGGGTACACTCTCAGAAAAAAACACAGCCCAGTTGTACCTTTCAGGGCCTCTAAAACGTGCCTTAGGGTACATTTATTAGCCGTATAGGGTATATAAGCCCAGAAAGGACCTCAGGAGACTTGAGTGTATTCAATCATGTGTTCGTCTTCACAGCAGCCCCCCCCCTACATGCCGGCCCACGTCTCCGGTCTCCCCGCCTCTCATCAGTCCGTCTCCTCATCAGCGGAGCTCCCCATGTCCTCCATGAGCTCCTTCCCAGCTCCCCACCCGCCTGGCTCCACTTTCCCCGTCCCCACTGCCTCTCAGACACCTCTGCCCGTTCCCGCCGTCTCCACATCTCCGGCCGTCCCCTCTTTCTGCGGGGCCGTGCTCTCCTTCCCCGGCAGCGCAGAACCCCCACCCGTCTCCACTTTCTCCTGCCATGCCGACCCCACGCCGCTGCCCGTCGGGCCCGGCCAACCGCCCGCCGCCTCCTCCGTCCCCGCCCTTCCATCGCACTCCTCCGCCGACCCCCCGCTGCGCTTCTCCTTTGACGAGCTGAACATACCAGACCTGTATGCGTCTTTCAAATCGCTCTTCAAGACCATGCGGGAGAGGGGAGGGTCCCTGTGTAAGTATTACTAGTGGGGGGGGACGGTTTAGCTTTTCACATTACAAAGCTTGAGCCATGAGCTGCTCTCTTTTCTCCGTAGCCGACGTGGCTCCCCTGACCGTCCCAAACGACACTACGCCTCTCCACACTCCGACTCTCCCTCCGATGTCCCCTCACCCCGCCCCAGCAGCGGCCCAGGCCTCCCACCCGCCCGAGTCGGAGCCCGCCTCACAACACAGTGAGTCCGTCACGGCGCCGCCATCGTCCCAGACATGTTCAAGTTGCATGAAAGACAGAAAAGCTCTGTCAGAAAAGTTTATTTTGTCTGTAAAGTTGTCCTCCTCCCCCTTCCCCTCTGCAGCGGTGCCGCCCGACTGGTTCAGTAACCCAGGTTCCCTGAAGGAGAGCTTCCGCATCGCCAGCAGCCTGGACTGGGCAAACATTGACCTCTCGGGTCACCCAGGTCGGTGCCGGTCACCACGTTCGTCTTCAGAGGGCTGCTTCACCCAAAAACAAATGAACAACAAAAACACCAACCCTCCCGTTCTGGGAGTGGTGCGATAAGATAATTGCTGACGTCCTCTGCTCAGTTAGCTTTAATCAGTTTACTGGATACTTTCAGGATCATTTCAGTAGTTTTTTACAATTTTTTTAAACTGTTGAGATTTGATGGCTGATTTTTTTACCGCCCACAGGTTAACAGACTGGTGATGAAATACTGATCTGAAGACTACTCTAAGGGTTTCTTCCCCTCCCGTTCACAGACCTGCTGGAGAGCATGCGGCAGGCGGAGCTCTGCGACTGGGCCCTGGACCCCACCCTCTTCACCTCCCTCTGCGACTCCCTGAACCGTTTCTTCTCTCAGAAAGGAATGATCACCCCCGGGAACAACTCCCCGCTCGCCCACGGAGCACCCCAGGGCCTGCAAATGCTGCCATTCAACTCCAACGCGCCTCCCACCCTGGCCAGCCTCACCCAACCGTCCCCCCTCCCGTACTCCCCGATGGTTCTTCCTACCAACGGAGCACAGCCCCCCCGGAGGCCCCAGCACATGCAGGCACCAGGCCTCCAGAGACCCCAGCTAACCCAGCCTGCAAACACAGCCGGTGAGGAAAGGCACCGAGCTAAAAGTATAACGCTTTCGTCTGTTTGGGAGAGTGTCTGAGCAACAAGGAGTAGGTTTGATTAGAATGAGAAAAACAAAAAAGACTGAAGTGAGTGCAGCACTGATGTGGCTATTCGGAGCAGTTCTCTATAAAGCTGAAGAGTTGCTTCCCTAAAATCGCCACAGCCATTTTAAAGTTGTAAAAGAGAACTTCATCAAACCAATATAAAAAGAAAACATTTGAAAAAAAGATATTCTCTTCTTCCCGGTCTGTTTTGAGTTATAATGTGCTTTTTTCCCCCTTTTCTTTAACGCCTCAGCTGGGATGCAGCCTCATCCGGCGCCACCACGGCCGCGCCCCCCACTAAAGAATCTGCACAGCAACAGCGAAGAATTCCAGGATGACTTCGACTGGGATTCTCTGATCGTCTGACCTCTGTGGAGAACAGAAGAGGAAGAAAGAAAAAAAAAAAAAAAACTTCTACATAAAGTCTCCGTGGTCACTTTGATAAAAACAGTTTGTCACGTGATCGAGGGACCAGTTTTTTGCCGTGTATTGGATTGTCCTTGAATTTCCTCAAATGTTGTGTGTCTCATCTTGTGTCGGTACGCGGCAGGCTGTGACCTGCATGCTGGACTGTAAAACAATAAACCTGTCACCACAGAACTCTCAGCCTTAGACTGTCTACACAGAGAACGCTTCAAGAAAGGCTCAGCACACGTCCTGTGTTTTTCTTTTATTTCATAAATTTCTTTTGATATTTTTTTTCTCCATTTTGCTTTTCAAATGTGAATGTTCACAGTTGACACCACACAAAATTCAACCTTACCCAATAAGCGATATTTTCTTGATATAAAATAACAATAAATTCATCAAACTAAATTAAAAGAACAGCATGGAGCATGTTTCAAGTCCCAGTTTTGTCTTCTTTCATTCATTGAAATAGAATAGTCTTTTAAAGAAGCATCATTGGAGCCCCCCCCCCTCTCTCTCTCTCAAAAAAAGGGGAAAAAAGAGGGGGCTGGTGGTGAAACATGAGGACAGTGTTGCTCCAGGACACCTGTGCCAAGGATCCCGTACGAAACGTGTGAACAAGAATAATTAAAAAAATTAACTCTGATTGACAGAAGAGATCCGCAGAAAGAAAAATGTGATCATTACAACACCTCATTCCAAAGCTTTACATTTTAATACGAGTGACTATTCTTAACATAAAAATAATGGACGTCACTGCTTACTTTCTGAGATCAGACATACAGTGGTGAAAAACACACAAACCGGCCTCAGCGTACTCACAAATGAGCATTTGTGTTCTCATTCACACGTAAACGCACTCATTCAGACGGACAACCCCCCCACCATCGGATCACAGATGTCAAGCTTTCTACAAGTCAGAAAGAAAAAAAAAAGCTTTGATTTTAAGGGCATCATTTGCATGAATTTCCTTGTTTATTTGTTCCCAAGTTCTTGAAAAAATAAATTACAATTAAATTAAGAGTGAAATGGTTGAAAGTATTTGATCACATTGAGCCTGAAATGTTAATGCAGTTTTTTTTTTTTTCCAGTCTGTGTCTCAGTCTGGAGTCCATTAAAAATCATCCTTCATGCACCTATTTCAGTGATTCAGTGTTTGTCTTCGTTTTAGAGGGAGAGAAGAGGAGGAGGGGGCAGGTACAAGAGTTTCTCTGTTCAGTTTGTTAGTGGCTTTGTGACCTTTCCCTCCAGCTCTCCGTGTGCAGTAGTATTAAGAGTAGAGTGACACTACTGGAAAAAGCTACCTGCTCTCACAGACTTACCTTCATTTCATGACAGGACTGGAGAAAAAAAAGAAAAAAAGAAAAACGTAACGTACAATACAGGGGTGGATTAAAACAAAAAATAAATAGATCTCTATTTCCCATCACAAAATATCCCATTATGAAATGAAAAGAACTAATCGTGGAAAATAGTTTTGAAATGAAATAATGCTGCTGAAGAAAAAAATATAAACATAATCTTTGATTTTTTTTTTTTCTTTAAATATAGAAATGTAGACACTTCTCTTTGTGGACAGCTCCTGCTGAGGGGGAGAAGGATGGAGGGGGCAGCAGTTAGGACAGAGGAGGCAGAAAGGTGAGCGAAGAAGAGGTGACACTTCCTCAGAGAAGAAATGGATTGGTGCTGGCTCCTGTCGTTCCTGCCCCTCCCATGGACCCCCCTGCCCCCATCACTCCTCCGGCTGCTGCGGGCCCACCCAAAATCAGCTGTGGCGGGGGCGCGCCCCCCGCCCCGAACGGAACGGCGCCCGGCGGGGCCATGGGGGAGAGCGCGCCGAAGGGCATGCCCATGGGGCTGGCCTGCATCACTCCGGGGCCCATTCCCGGAGCGCCCGCGCCCACACCCAGTGGCCCCAGACCCATGGCTGGCGGCATCATGCCCAGCATGGGATTGGGGGGCACGGGACTGGTGCGCAGGCTACTCAGGCCCAGTGACAACGGCCCGGGTGAGATGGAGGTCATGGCGGGGGCCACACCGAAAGGGTTGGAGGTGGCGGGTGTTGGGGACACTCCTCGACTGGAGATGGTGCTGCCGGGAGTCACTGCCATGCCGGGAGCAGATGAGCCTGTGAAACACACACACACACACACAAAAAAGCATTATTGTATTAGTGTAGATCAGAAGCTACTCAATATAGATGATTTACATCAATATGGGGTTTTTAACAAACCCCCAAAATCTGTATCTAACCTGTGTTCTGAAGGAAGGGGTTGTGTGCCGAGGAGGACGAGATGGAAGGAGGCGGGGGCTGTTTGGGCTTGGGTTTAGATGACACCAGCGAGTCGAGGTCAACCAGCGCTGCGTTGGGGCCGAGGAAGGACTCGGGAGTCTTGCGAACGGGAAGTGAAGAACCGAGAGAGGACAGGTCAAAGGGCACCGGCGAGCCCGTGCTGTCACAGCCTGTTGTTGAAGACCCTCGCCTCTCTGGATCTCCTGTGAGTGGAAAGACAGGGGGGGGGGACCGGGACAACGTCAGTGAGGATGACGGCAAAGAAGGAGGAGGCAGAATTCCTGCTGAGCTCCATACTCACGCAAATCGCTGAGGGGGGGGTGTGTGAAACATAAGATAAGCGTTTTGTTCATTTTGCAGCGTTAAGTGTGAATGTACCTGTGCCGTTAGTTTGTTTGGCGGTGCCACTCCAGATGTCGGAGGTGATAGGGTCAGAGGCAGGGATAGACCCGTCCCTTGCCCAGGGGTCTACTGGCCCCCCAGATGAGGATGTGCTGGGTGGCACTGGGGAGCCCCAGGGGTCAGCACTGGGGGGGGTCACAGCTACAGGGTATGGGAGGAGATGCAGGGGAGGGGAGGGTTAACACAACACTTTACAAGTACAACGCACACTCAGGGGGGAGCAGGAAGCTGGGCTGGGTTCCACCAGTGGCGTTTCTCTCTCCTTAACCTCAACAGTACAAGCGGCCCGGGGCAGAAACTCACTGGAGTTTGTGCCTGTCCACCAGCCTACTTTAACTACTTAAACGTTTGAAGCCCAGTTGGGTTAAGGAGAGACGATAAGAAGCAACCTTTTATGGACTTTAAAAACAAAAAGGCATAAAAGGGCAAGAGAAGAGACAACTCTGGTTGAGACACAGCCAGTCCTGATGGAAACAAGAGGATAAAAATCCCTGGTTTAGACACAGAGGGAGGATGGATTGAGCATGCTTGCTTTCCTCATTACAAACTGAAAGCACGTAGGTGGACGACGAAACCAAAGACAACGGCATGGTGACATGAATGAAAATGAATCTAGACTGTTCTGAAGACGGAAAACAGAACCGTGGAACGGTGTGGAGCCGAGCCTACGGCGTCCGCATCCTGTTTCAGCAGACGGAGCCGGTTCTGTTCTGACGCCCACCTGAGCGCATTCTGGGGCTACACGTGAGCGTGTGCGGCGGCTGCCTACCTGAGCTGCCCCAGGGGTCCACGTTGTTGACCCTGTTGGATGTTTCTCCCCAGGGGTCGGGGGGAGGGGCTATGGTGGGCGGCGCTCCCCCGCCCCACGGGTCGGAGCTGGTGGGGGACGTGGGTGAGGCTACTCCCCATGGATCTGCGGGGGCCGCGCCCCAGGGGCCGGGGGCGGCCGGGCCAGAAACCGTGGGAGGAGGTGAGGGGCCGGCTGAGCCCACAGTGGCAGCGGGAGCGGCCCCCCAGGGGTCCACAGCAGTCAGCTCCATCAGAGCACCCTGAAAGAAAAGAAAATAGGTTAGATAGTTTGGGAAATTGAACTTTATTCATAAACTCGGCGGGTTAAAAACACGTAAGTAAGTGAGAGCTTTGGGCTTTTTTCATATGAAAACAAAAAAAAAATGACCTAAACAATTCTGATTAGCAGGTCAGGCGCACTGTGTTTGTGTTGGAGGGTTAGGGTTAAGTATCACTTTGTTGTTATAAAAAATAAAGTAAACTCTAACTGGGTGCCTGGTAGTGACAGTTTTACTGGGCTATAAAGGCAATCACAGCCTCTTATCAGCCTCACAAAAACCTAAGTCTCCGTCAACATGGCTGAGAGTGAGAGGACAATCTGCAGCACGACGCCAGCTTGCAGTACTAATACTACAGATGCAACGTTGCTAACAAAGGTAAAGAAATGCTAAAACACAACCATGGACAGCGGAACTGCACCTGTTCATCTCAGGGAGAACAGAGGAGTTGGAACGTTAGGCCATTAAGTTATTGATTTACAAATGATGTAACTTGGACGGCTACTCTGAAACGTGGCACATTGGTCAAACCAGGACTCAAAGGGGAAGTGCGTACCCGTCTGTGAATGCGACTGCTCGCAGTTCACACTTCCACTAAGCTAAAAAAATTATGTAAATGATAAGGGCTGTTGACTTTGAGGCCCCAAACTGTTGCTCCCTTTATCCCTCTCTTTCTTTATCAAGTCACACAAAAGACTGGCACAGAGAAAGAGACACAGCTTGACAGGTAAAGCCATAAAAGCGGGACATTTACGATCAATGGCACACACACCTCCTCTGCTTTAGGTTTCTCCCTCTTGCTCTCCTCGATGGCCATCTGGAGCCTCAGGTCGTCGCCTCGGCGCAGCCGCTCCTCCTGCCGACCACACACACCGCGTCAGACAGACCGCCACAGACAGATTTTCAGTGGTTTACACCTCAACTGCTGAAAATGTGAAAGGGGAACTCAACCTTTAATCATTATGACGAACTATCAGCAGAATACTGTTTGATTTAGCAGAAGACTGATTGACTGCCCTCTGAAGCAAACACATTTTCACCTGATCAGATACAAACTCCTGTATTCAAATGCAGTTTTATGGAGAAAATGAGCCAAATCTAAACAGCCATCACATGACTTCTTAAAATAAATCTGAGAGCTGTAGTCTGTTGCAGTTAAAAGTCCTGTGAATGGGTTTAAAGCAGCATTACTCCAAATGCTAGCTGGCTCTGCTTGAGCCACTGCTGCTTTGTACCATTTAGTCTGCCTGAAATGTGCCAGTCAATATGATATCACTGAGCATACGATCAGCACAAGAAATCCATCTGTATTCCACCAACACAGTGTTAAAGACAGATGATACAAGAAATAAAAAATTGCATCTGACTGTTTTATCGTTGTTTTAACCCTTTCAATGTTTACAGAAGTACAGTTGATGAAGAACTGTCGTCACCTGAATAAATTAGGCAAAAACAAGTCATCACAATAAAGTCATAATAAGGGAAAGGAGGAGCAGGTGAGGAAGAGAGTGATTTAAATCGGGACTTTAGCTGGATGCATGCTATCAGAGAGCAACGGGACTCAAATTACTATCGATACTTACAAGGCACTCGATGCGAAAACAAATCAATTATGGTAAATTCCTGCTGACGGCATGCAAATTCAACAATCAAATTATAGTCAATCAATTCTCTGGGTGTGCACTTGTGAAATGTCCCGGTAAAGATTTGAAAAGCATCTTTCAAAACATTTTAGAAGTGAAAGCTAGGAGATAAAACTAGAAATGTCCAGTTATTTCGACATAAATGCTGCTGGCTGATGTTTATCTTCAGGAAAAAGAAAAGCGTGATCAGAAATTGGTGTTCTAGATTGATCAACACTTCCGACTGAGAGAAAGAGATAGTTGAGGACTGGCCCTCCAGTCGGCTGACAACACTCTGCCCCTGACCTTTTGGTGCACTTCTTTGCTCAGAGTGAGTGCATAGCGGAGCTCTGCATCCTCCAGTGGATCCGTGCTAGTCTGGGGGAGGTCAGCGGTTAAATGGTAAGAGCAAAGCGTGGTCTACGGCAGCAGTGAATAATATCTTGAAATTTGCCTTTACACGCTAGGACTGTATTAGATTCAAAATAGCAATCACCTTATCAGGAAGCACACTAGCTCTGCCGGTCCTTAACAAGTCACTTTGTGTTACCTGCTCGGCCTCTTCTTTACTCATTGCTAAAGCCAGCTGCAGCTGCAGGTCTTCCTCTCCAGAGCTTTGAGGCCAAGCCTGCTCAGGGTCGGCTCCCCCAGAGTGGGAGCCCAGTGACAGGCTGCCCCCCAAGCTGGGCGCCGAGGGAGCCGAAGAGGCTGCAGAGAGAACAAATGTGCATGGATGACATCAATCCCCCCTTTCAAGTCAGGGAGTCTGGCTTATCTGCGTTTAAAGCAGACATCTTACCACTGGTGGTCTGTGCCATTTTCGATTTGGTTTGGAGGGCATGGATCCTCTCCTCTCTTAGTTTCTCTTCATCTTTCAACAGTGTCACCAGCTGTTTAGCTTTCTCACGCACATTCAGGCCCTGGAAAAAAAAGAGAGAAAAGCAGTTTAGGCAACACTCACTTTGGGTAACTACAGTTGACATGAAGCAGGCAGATCTAAACGCATAGTTACATTTTAAGTGCAATTACTAAGTTATTATTGTGTCCTTATCAATGGCAAACAACTGTCATTGTGAGGCCGTGAAAGACGTCAGCATTGCTTAGCAAAAGCTGCTTTGGTGAATGTTTGACAAACTGCGGCCATAGTGCACACAACTGGACTGACTAACCAAACATTTGAACTTTCTACTCGGCGTTGTGTGCTCGGGTGCGTTTGTGTACCTGGTCTTTGCCGTCCCTGTCTATGTACTGGAAATCCTTGAGGGTCTGGACTGCGTATATATTTTCTCGACACTGCTGTGCAACCCGTTCTGAGCCCGTCTTAATAAGATATTCCATAAGAGTCATCGCCTAATAAAAGCAAGTACAACAAAGATTCCCCATTAAACAAATCCTGTAAAACAGATAAGCAAACAGTGAAGCAGCTGGTGAATTTGTCTGTAATATCAAACATCTCCTGACACTCTGTAGCAAATATTGCTGAATTATCCCCATCAGGTTATTGTTGTAGGCAGTAATCTCTAAACTTATAAACAAGAAAATAATTTATATTACGACTGCAAACAGATCTAAAAACAGGACAAAGTATTTTGTTTTTATTGAGAGACCATTTAAAGAGGGTGTATAGTTAAACACATACTTTCACTTGCCAAAATGTCAAAAACTAAAAACATAAAACTGGAACGCTAAAAAGGCACAATGAACATGTATCTAAATAACTTGATAGTGATCCATTATCACCTTATATCTATATTACATACACACATTTATACCTTGTACACATGTCTCCAGTTCTTGCCGTGGTCGTTGAGGCGCTTCCACACCATGCTCATGATTTCTGAGAAGGCTACAACATTGTAGGTCAGATCTGCAATCTCTGACATTAGAGAGCTGCTGGGACCCCATGGGTCATTGGACGTGGCTTCTCTAACCTGGGCAACACCACAGGAGGGTATGAGCGTTACACGAAAGCCCTTGTTAAAGAGTCATTCTGAAACAAAGACTTAGGTTAAACGCAGGAGCCAGAGACGGGCAAAAATAATGAGAGCAAATGATTTGATTAGCGAGTAATGACTATGACAAGAGGGCAGAAATCAGATAACAGGAGGCTGTAAAATGTCCTCCGTGTTGCAGACTGGAGGAGTGGCCAAAAAGAGGAGAAGAAAAGCCAGATAAAAGAGGAGGCAAACAACCTTGATTTCAGCCTCTGAATAGTTGTGGACGATGTTCTTTACTTGTCGCCGTAGCGATGAGGTCGACATGGCAACGGTCTGGCCGCTGAGTTCTGTTGCAATCTGAACAGATGGAGAGGCAGAGTTAAAGTCAAAGTAAAGTTAAAGGTGTGGCTATTTGAGGGAAAATGTGCATTTTTCTAAAATTTATGAGTGAAAAAGAGAAGACCAACAAAAGCAAGAATTAAAACACTTATAGACAAGAGTGAAAGGTGCTGAAAGAGCAGGGACATCCTGTAGGAAAATGTCACTGAGTGTCTTAGGTGAGTAAGGTGAACCAACGGCTTACACAGACCTGTTACTCTAGAAAGATGCAGAGAAAGGGGCTCTCCTCTTATACTTTCGTCTCTCTCTCTCCGGCCCTCCACTCATTCACGGAGTGTTGCGTCTCGGCTTGTCCGTTTCTTTGCGTGGCAACATTGGGTCTGAACACCACTGACGCCGGGGGACGAAAACTGCAGAGCAAGATTGAGATTAACGATAAAAAATGAAAGCACACGATTCAACCGCAGAACAAACGGGACAAATCTTACGCTGGAACCCATTTTTAAGAAACAGCCATTATGAGATACAAAGCAGATATTCAGCATCAAATATCACATGGTCCCTGGCTGACACACACATGGTTGACACAGGCACACACCATTACTGGTGGGATTTATCTTGGTTAGCAAGGATAGATGATCAATACTCCAAGAGGCAGCCCACTGCATAAGCAGGCTATTCATTAAGCTACAAAAAGCAATTAGTTGGGCAGTTAAAACACACAAGTAATGCATCAGAGAATAATTTTACCTCACAAACAGAGCTCTACTCTTTCAGATATGTGGGATTTAATATTTCAAAAATCACACACAGGTAAATAAATAAAAGGTTTTTGGGACTGCTTCCCAGAAATCTCAGGTGTAATAAGTCTGACTTATATAGAACATTAGGTCAGACAGGTGAACTAATAAAAAAAGATTAATTCATCCAGGTACTCGAAGTTTTTGAAACCTGGATTCATAAACCAAGTCAAGAACTGCTTTTGCAGTGCTGTTCCCTTTACACCACCGTTGCTTTATGTTACAGTAAAACCTGAGCTAAAACATACTGAGGAAGGCAGCAGTGTGCATAAAGATCGACTGGACTTTGAAATCTTGTGCCAAGGACACTACTCATTTAACCAAACGCAGTATTAGCCCTTCCCACTATACTGTGTACAACAAAAAAAGAAAGGAAAAGAAAAGAAAACAGACGATCATGGTGAAGATACAGAAAAGGGGAAAAGGGACCTTCTTCAAAACTAAAATATTAATGTGGAACACAAGTAGCCTTTTAGCTACATGAACCTCAGACATGCAGTTACGAACCTGTTATAGACAACATCTTCATTCTTCTACATGCAGTAATAAAGCCAAGGAGCAGCGGGTAAACGGGAGCGAAGCGCTGTGTTTTATACAAAGCCTCTATTATGACACAGTGGGAACAGGTTCTAAAATCAACATTAACACTGGAAACTCATCCTGTCTAATATTGGTCGAACGGCATGTGAAGCATGATTATGTGTCCTCGTACTACATCCCTGAGTATGTCCGGGCATTGTCTGTAACCTATTGCTTACGCTGCAGAGTGAAGCATTGTTGCTGACCAAATGCATCCTTTCACTGCCACATCTGCATTTTCTCACCTAATAGATGTCACAAAACTATCAACGAAAGCAGCAAAATAAAAAATAAAAATACCCCCAGTCTTTTGATTTGCAAGCTCCTTCAGGACCAAACTCTAAAACTCAAAAGGAATAACAAGGAAATTATTTTAAAAAAGGGGAAAATTCACTATAAAGATGACCAATGGGCTCAATTATACTAACAATAAGTTTAATGACGGGTTTGGTTGCCAGGAACCACAATTCCTGACACCTCGACAAAAAGAATCCTTTCACCATATTTTTGAGCCTTATGAAGCGCCGCCATGCACTAACAATCACTTCACAAGTGTGATCACACTCAGACGCCTTTACAACGCCGGCACTTTGCCAGCCTCTGCTTCGCCATGAACTAAACATAAATGACCCGTTTTATAAAACTAAAATGCAGAAATCAATACATCAATGTTTACACAACAGGCGGCTACTCTAAACACACCAAGAAAAATCAATGGGCATATTGTATTCCTCAAGAGTCATTTCACTGTTGAGCAAATACAATAAGCCCAGCCGGGCTGCAATCATTCAACATCTGAGCTCAGTTTTGAACAAAGGGAGAGGTTTTTGTTTATTCGTCCTTCTTAGCGCAATGTATGAATTTTCTACAGAAGAAAATCCTAAACTGATCTTTGCCAAATCTTTCTGGCATCTATCGGAAGGCCACGACCACATTAGGTTGAACCTTTTGTGACCAACTCCAACAAACACCACTTTGAATATGCTCAGCAGGGGCTTAATTTGACGAGTGGGGTAGGGCAATTTCTAGGCCAATTACGAGGCTATTGGTGGGTACATGATGGCAAACTCCTGCATCTTTCATGATAGCAGCCCTTAGCAGGCACCAATCTTTCACCATGCTGCCACTTGACTTGATTAGTGATAGCATGCATCTATTAGCAGCCCCGGGGTCTTCCCTTCTGTCTCGCCACGTGTGATCTCAGCTCATCACTCTCTCGGACCTTTAAAAAGTCTGCATTCAGGCTTTTCTTAGTCCAGTCCTGATTTGTTGACCTATTCAGGACTGCCAGCGTGTCTGCTTTCCCTGCCTTGGCCATGTTTCTGAGCAAAGTACAAGCAAGCACACCTTCTACTTCAAATAGATCGCAGCTCTGGAGAATGGCGGCCAAAACAGCTTTTGGTTATCTTCTTGATCACTTTTGCTGCCAAAATACATTTGTTTACATCCCGTTTTACTTGGAAACGACAAAGTCTGGTGGCCATCAGCTTAGAAATTTGAGAAGTACTAAAAGTAATAAAAAACTTTGTACACAAATTTAGGTTTGTTGAGCGTCTGCTATAACTTTCATAAAATGAAACATTTTATGACTGAGATAAAGCAGGTTCCTAATAATTGTCCAGGTCTTTCTTGTAAAGGTCAATAACATTTGGCCACACCCTCCCATATCACAGGAATACACGTATGTGGTTCATATGGTACAAAGTTGACTAATGATACCGCATATGTTATTACCCCAAAAGTAAAACTTGATCAAGTCCTCTTGACATTCAAGTGCATGACGGCTAACAAGAAGTAAATGTGTGAGCATTCAACACCGTTTATATTATTTCTCCAAGCTGCATTGCTCGCACACAGTCCAATACGAACAGTCCCCCCCACCCAGTGAACCTAGCCTGAGATAAGGTTAACAACCGTTACCCAGTGAGCACTTCTCCCTGGCACACCTACCAAGTTAGCAAGCTAACGACATCTTAGCAAACAAACTGTTCACAAACGTTACGCAACAGTAAAAAATACTGAGCGATACACACAGGATAAAGTAGGGCGAGTGTTAAACGGAGTCTGCCTGGGAATTCCCAAATTTTGAGGAAGAAAGCCAACGAACGGTATCTGTCATATAGTGGCTAACGTTAGCAGCTTAGCAAGCAACTCTCACCCGGGCTAATGGAACTGTTGGAACTAATGGAAGTGTAGGTAAACTATACATTGGGGTACACAGGAGTGAAACATGGCACGAGTAAAGTGGGTAAACTGATGCCGCAAAAGGGGCTGTCCTTGCCACAACACCAAATCCTTTCTGACTGGACACAAAGATTAAGGTTACCTGCCAGTTTGATAGAGAAATCACTTGCTGCTCCTGCTGCCATCAGTGTATCTGTTAGCCTGCTAGCTGCCGATGCTAGCTCGCTACTGACAACATGACTGCTAGAATTTACGAAATCCCATTGGCAATTACATGTCCTTCTTCAGGACAGAGTTGAATACACACCCCGAGAAGACAAAATGTCAAAAAACGTTGACAATACAACACAATTAATATTCAAATGAATACTGTACTGACCCTGTTGTAGCTTGAATGTACGAGGAGATGGCCGAATTTCCGCTTCCGTTCTCGCCTACAGGAAAGACCGCGCCCCCTGTATCTGTGTTTTCCTGCAATGCAAGTGTGGCTCCTGAATAATTAATCCACTTTTCACGCCAATATTAAAGTGGCGACGAAAGACTAACAAAGAGAGCCCCCCGCCAAAAAAAAAACGAAGACATTAATTGGCCTTTAGGAGATGTTTCTTTAAAACAGTTTGATTTCCAGAGACCTTTTTACTGTTTGAAGAAAAAAAAAACGCGTCCTCGTTTTAAATAGTTGTTTTTGTTTGTTTTGAACACCTGATTTTCCACCACTTATGAGTGGGGTTTATATAAAATGATATATTATTAAGGTATTACAAGTTTGTTGTTTACTTGCCTGAATGTGAATGAAAGAAAAGAAAACTTTAATTAATAAATTCATGTTTCAGTATGTGATACACAATGTTACCACACCTCTTTTCACCTGTCCAAAGCATCCTGTGTTTACTTCTGCCTCTTAAAAGAGCCTCCAAAAAAAGCGTGCTCAGCTGTTGGTCACAAATGGTAGAGACGCAAGGAGTTATTTAGAGCCTGCAAAGTGTTTTCCATACTTGGGGTGCACTTTGCGGGCTTTCTGAAAGAGGTCAAGATGGCATTTTAAATTATTTGTCGTAGTTGGAACACAGAATTTCAAACTTTAGGCCTCAAATCATCTCTACTATCAAGCAGAAGAAAACCCTGAGTGCTGACAAGAGGATTCAAGTATTCAGAACATTGTACATGAGAGGCTAAGTCATTTTGACTTTGGACTTTGTTACTCTTAAAAATGCTGGCACAATACAGCCATCCGTTTTTTATACTAACTATTCCTACTTGGGTTGACAGGCAGGGTACAGCCTAGACAAGGCCGTCATAGTGCTGTTGGAAAAGCACACTTAGAAAAAAAAGAAACCTCCTTATTCACACGTCTTCCTTAATTTAAAATTGTATCTGCCCCAGTCAAATAGGTGCCATCATTATGATGTCCAGTGAGGGGATGTTTATGGAATAATCTAGAGCTGATAGTTAAAAATCTCTTTAGAAAACTTTAAAGTTCCAGGCTTATCTTTAAATCTTTTTTTAGCACAGTTTTGAACCTTTAGACTGTTTACGAGACTCCGTTTATGAGAAGCATTGTCCAATATTTGAGGGACATAAAAAATCTTAATCCCACCATTAACCCGTTTTTTTTTATTTGATTTTAATCACGTTATGGCTCACTGGACCTTGGTTTTTCTACAGAGATGCAATAGCACACACTGTCCACAAAGAGGCACCATTAACTAGTTACATCCTAAACTAAAACTCCAAAAGCCTGATTGGGTGTCCCTCTTCAGAGGAGCCATAATACCCATTAAGTCCTGTAGATCAGAACAGCACAGGAACAGCTGGCAAGTACGTGTGTGACATGCCTCTCATTTATCCTGTAGAGCTTTATCCTTTTATATAAATCTCTGTTTCAGGGAGGCGTGGGCTCAAGAAAAGATTTGCCATTACCCAACTAAAACTACACAAAAGTGATACACGTTAGAAACACGTTAGCATCACTGAGGGAGAGACATTTGAAAAAAAGTTGCTCTCCAGCTTTGTCAAACAAAAAATCTACTCAGCATCATCTTCACGCCTACTGTCCCACTAGTGAGAAAAGAGTCATTTCAGGAGCATAAGTTTAGTTTCAAATCTAGAAAAACTCTGTTGCCGACCTGAGAATTAAAAAGCAAAAGCTCAAACAATCACTGACACATCAGTTAGTAGCTTCATTAATGAATGCCATTTACTTTGATTTTGTTTGTCATCTGGAGCTAAATGACATCTGACAGTGTCATTTATCTAAGTGCAGGTAGAATAAAAACATAAAACATACTTTGGAATACAAATTTGGATATATGCAAATTTCTTTATATGTAGTGCTTATTTTGGTAGTGGTAAAATTGATTGATAATTTGTCTTTATCCATTACAAAGTTCTCTTTGTGCACTTGAAGATAAAGATATTTTTTAAAAACCTGCCACAATAAACTCTTAAGACACAATAAAAATGTACAAATAATGTGGCAATGATTTGGTTTTGATAGTTGATCAGTGTGAAGTAGGAATTCATTTGGAAGATGTGAGGTAGATGTGAAAAACGTATCTCAGTTTTAGTGATTGCAGTAAGGATTTTATGTAGCTTGTCATTGTGCTCTGGTGAAATTCTCATTTTGTCTTCTGAAGACAACAAAGCACAACATTTGTGCAGTGTGTTTATTTCTATAACTGGAGTCTGCTCCCATCCAAGTAAAGCCAGTCCGGCAGAGTTGCAACGGTTCCGTTGAACTGTGCATAAAAGAAAAGTATATTTTGTTTGTTCAATTGTAAAAAAATGGAAATGAACGTATTCATTCACTCAAATTGTACATCATTTACAGTTTCAATGGACCCATTTATGAATTATCAGTTCTAAAAGATTTCAATTACAAGACGTCTCGTGTGTCTCTTTTTATTATCTATATCAACAAAGTGACCTCCTTGCAGGAGGTCATGTTGTATTTCTTTTTTAAATCCTCTCATTATTTAATGAATGCATTTCAGTGTGAGAGTTGGGAGGGAACACAACATCTGGTGTGGATGGCAACACTTCCCTTTCTAAGAAGTGAAAGCCCCCGTGAATCTAAGAGTGTAACAAAAGATGTATATTATATAACTTGGCAGCAGCTGTCAGTAAAGCCGTCCCGCGTAGCATCGCCCATCTATCTACGGTGTTCACCTAGAATTACTGAAAGTGAGCGTCTCACTCTCGACGCCGGCTCGGCAGATGAGATGAGGGCTGTGTTTTGATTGGGGAGTGGAGAGGCTGGTCGTCACAACAGGGACCAAAGGACCCTAAGGTGCAAGCACAAACGTGGGAGCACCTATTGGTGATGAGCAGCTGCATCCCAGCAGTGGTGTCAGGAACCTGAGCCCGGGCAGGTCGTTGTGAAAGCAGCCCGTGTGTGCGTTACATAACGTCCAGCCGCCAATCCGGTGGCAATAATAGTTCTGTAGTATGTATGTACTAAGTGAAACCCACTGGAGCGGATGGAAAGAGGAGGAGGGCGATGAAGCCGAGCTGGAGGAGAGGCCTGAGCGGCAGCTGGTGTTAAGCTGGAAACAGAGCTGGAATGCAGTCGGGGTACAATATGAGACTGGATTTTACTCTTTCAGATGTTAGCTGCATCTTTCTGTGATGACAGGCAATGAAATGCACAGCATTTAAAAAGGTAAAAAGCAGGGTAATATGGAATTAAACAGGAGCGTAGATGTTGTAACCTGTAAATCCAGTAAGATCATTATTACATCTTGTTGGCCTATTCCAGTCATTCCAGCATAGCTGTTGATTGAAACTAGATTCCGACTCTGTGGTGAGAATTCACTGACTCAGACTGAGTGAGAGGGTGAGAAAATGACATGGAAAGCAGAGGAGGGGACGCTGTGCGTAAAGACCGAAAGTGACTGACGGCTGAGGAGAGGGGAGGAAGGAGAGTGACAGGTTAAAGTGGTCAGCTGATTGACAGTGTGGAAATGGGGGAAACATTAACAGTACTCCATGGCAGAGGAGGGAGGGGGCGGCAGGGACTGAGGGGGCAGGGTTGAGATGCCTCGTAGCTGGTTTACGCGCGTTTGCCAGCATAACAGACGAGAGGCCGTGAGAGGGAGTATTGGCACAAGAATAGGAAAAGAGAGGGAGAGAGTTCAGCGAGCCTGTCCTGGGGAGATACACACCAATAACTAGGTCTCCAGTAAACATCGCTTCTATAAAGCTGCTGTGCTACTGCATGGCACCGAGGATCCAAGTCACTTACACATAGTTTGATTGTTATCCCAGCAGCAGACGTTCAACAAAGCCTCAAACTTTAGAAGCAGTCTTCGAAGAGCATTTGATTAGATGCTGACAGGAGCCGAGACAAACTGAGCAAAGATCATCCAACTGACCTGAAAATGACAGTAAGTATTGTAGATGATTCCTGTCAGTTTGAATGTGGTTCATAACCTCACACGCACTGTTGCATGACAGTCTTTGGGTTGTCGCACAAAATGAACACGTAGTATAGAGAAGAGGAGTGGAACTCCAACAAAAGGTTGCTACAGCTGTTTCCCGTGTGTGGAGACAGTTTTATGTGTCCTATAACGCCAGGACTACTGCAACTATACGATAAGATGACATCCAGGTATTACACAAACGCCCTGATCGCTATTTATTGCAATTGCTCTGAGGCTACACATGCTTAATAAACAAGCTGCTGAGAGGATTTTCGGCTTCTGATGTCGAACTCAGCTTCAAATTTGTTAATGAGCTGTGGTTCATCAGAGCTCTGGTCAAAATCTAACAGCACTTATTGCTTTCTGACTCGTTGCTATAAACTAATAAGGCTTTGATTAATAGCGGTGACCTGGTTATGATCAGCTATTCCAGGGGTGTAATGAATGATGTGCCACTACAACCTGTGATAAAAGTTAGATGTGCTTTTAGGGAATTAATTATTCGACTTGCTGTGTGTCCCCCAAAATGTTGAATTCATAAATTCTTATATACAGGTGTCTCAATTGTAGCCAGTGTGTCACCTTTTAACAGACTAAAATGAATGAGGCGTGCCACCATTAATCCCATCTGTGCCATGCAGCAACTTCAAAATGGTTCAAACCATTTTCTTCAATCATTTGCTGTTCATTGGATCAGTTTGCTCATTTCAAAATTCAGCATCATGCAAAAGTCTTCAGTCACCACCTTAAAATCCCTCACATTTTCCCACAAGAAGGTTCATAAATGTTTTTCACTGGACATTGGCTGCTTTTTGTATTGATTTTATTCCAGTCTGTGTTCCTGGTTATTTTTCAGAGCAAATATATATTTGTTGTTTAACAATAACCTTTCATTAAGCATAAAAAAAGATCCTAGCTCAAAAAGATTGAGCTCTCTACAAAAACAGACATTAAGCAGAACCCTGTTTTCCCAACAATACTGTCTATGAACTAGCAAATGATCACTCCATACTTCTGCAGAGTATTCCATAAAGGCTTACATCAATCTGCTATCTAAAATTCTGGCATGCCATTCTTTGAGGGTCATGTAGCAACATCTGCTTTTTTGATCTGGACAGTTTCGGTGAAGATCACAACAGGCTCTTTATTCGTCATCATCCATACACACTGACTGGCATTACCACAATGAGCAGATCTTAGTGCTCACATCTTAAGTGGGACACATCGCCTGCATTTGGAAGTTCACATGGAAAGATACGTTATATTGTGATCGCTTCATCCTTTGTGTTAAGATCCAGGTTTTGGCTGTCCACACCGCTCAAAGGTTCCCGGGGTATCTGCTAGGGATCTACTTAAAAGGAAATGATTGTAGATGTGGCTTCATGAAACCGATAATGATGACAGACAGAAGCTGACTGACAGAGCCAAGTGTGCAGAAAGTCCCGATAACACATGTCTGGAATGAATCCCATCTACTGTAAACATTTGTGAGGATCAAACCAGATCAGCCGAAAATGACAATGCGGCGCAACATGTTCCACTGATTTTCTGCCAAGGGTTTGTTTGGACATCTCAAACCAAACCGCAACAGGCACATGCATGCACCAAAATTAACAAGATTAATGAGATTGATGGTATTTAGCTCTTGTCACGTTGCAGGTTCAGAATGTGCAACCTCAGATGGACACTTCATTCTTTGTAGTTATTTTTCATCACCCATTGGTCAAGCTGTAGCTCGTCTTTCTCTTGATGCCACAGAACTAATCAGGAATCATGCAGTGACACAGAATATGGAATATGACACAGAATATTTTTGTGTGTGTTTGCTTGTATCCAGGCTGCAGCAGCTCAAGAACTTGACGAGCTATGCTTCCTGTCGGCGCAGGCTATGCCCAGCCTGAAAGTATCCCAACACTTTCAGATGGTGAAGCTTTTAGGAGAGGGATCGTATGGAAAGGTCATGCTGGCTGTGCACAGAAAGAGAGGTCAGTGCTAGGTTCTAAGTTAAGGCTTTTTCAGCTTTTAACCGGCAAAGTTTTAACGGTTTCTGCAGATGAAATTTTGCATAGTTCAGTGCATCAGCTCGTCATCAACTGAGAGGGTTTACTCAATTCAAAGTGTTACTTTCAATTACTTTCAACATTTTCTCCCTGATGTCTTCTTAGCAGCCACATTTCTGTGGAGATCAATTCTTATAAGGCTTGGGCTAACAGTAGATGCACCTCTCAGGTGACATTTAAACTTTTAGACATTGTTGATCTGGTGTAGACAAACTTTTAGGCCCAGCACTTTTCCTCCATTTGTCACATGATGCACACCAGGCTGAAATATTTCACGTTTTCAGTTTATATTTCTCTTGGTTTTTGCAAAAACACCATTTTTATATCATACTCTGCATCTAGTTATTTTATGCATGCAATAAAGAAGAAAGAGTTTTCTATTTTGGGACAGGCTGCTTTTAAGAAAACATCTCAAGATACAATTTGAAGCTGGTCCTTCGCAAATTGTCTGCTATGTGTAGATAGAACACAAGACTTTTGCACCATAGCGTATTACTCAGGTCTGCGTTTAATGAAGAGGTTGTGTGTGGTCAGCACTGCTGTAACAGGAGGACAAATTGCTGTTTTGATACTGTTCACTTAACCTTTTGCGCCTCTGTCGCTGTAATGAAGTGCTTCGGTACATTCTCTGAGATAGAGTTGCGGCAGCGAGAGTGAAGCTGTGAAACACAGTCTTCCCAAAGGGGAAGTTAAATTTGTTCGCAGTGTCAGTGATGGATAACACTCACAGTCCATCGGTGATAACAGGTTTTACATTCTGTGCTATTTGGTTTTGCTTCTTTCCCTGCAGGAACGCCAATGGCTCTGAAGTTCTTCCCTCGGCGGTCCACTTCTCTCACCTCTTTCCTGCGGGAATACAATCTGTCCCTTTCTTACTGCACTCATCCTTCTCTGACGCGGGCCCTTGGCATCTTCTTCTCCACGCCGTCCTACTATGTCTTTGCCCAGCAAGCGGGTCTCTATGGCGATCTCTACAGCGTTATTGTGTCAGAGGTCAGTTTGGCATGCATCATAAATGACATTTCTGGCTGAAGTAAAGCAGAACAGAACCAATTTGGTGAATCTTACGTTGCAAAAAGAACAGAAATATTCCTTCACAAAACCACACAACACGATCCAGGCCATGGGGATGGCTTACTGACATCTGCATGATATCGGCCAAACAGCGGATCGTATCTATAGAATGACTTTTTCCAGGGGATCGAACTGCTGATCCAGATATTTTTGAGTTCTCTTTGCTGCCAGCAAAAACTTGAGACGTGCTTGATAGCAGCTCTCAGTTCACCTACTTCTGTATTGGAGTTTCTGCCAGTAACACAGCTAAGAAGTGATAAGAAGAAGTGTAAACTGCTATAACTGAATGGGGAGATAGGGAAGCAGGGATTTCCAAAAGCGTCACTATCGACTACAATGACGCAGATTCAGTTGAATCTTAGCCAGAGATAAAGTGCTCCGACCTCTCTTCATTTTCATTTATTGTAAGTCACCTCAGCCCACTTCTGAAAGTTTTTCCCCCTCAGTGTTTTTCAAATTAGGTCCATATGCACCATTTTCAGAATGTTTAAGCCACCTTACAGAGAGTGGGGGATATTTTAAGTGTTTTTCTTTCGTTTTATTAGATACAGGCAAAAAACATATACTCCCAAATTTCTTAAGTGACCTCACACTGATATTTTTAGCGGGTGCAGGTACGTGCAGAAACTCAGTTAAATGGATCAGGAATGGAAGTTTAGCACACCTTAGGGTGAAGGAGGTAAAATAAGAGAGCCTTTTAAAAAAACAGCATATTAAACTATGTTTTTGTGACTTAAATGACCTCTTTTTTATAAGAATTGCACATTTATAAATTACAATTACCGCCTTTCAGTTACTAAAAAAAATCTTGTGTGTTGCATTTTCACCAGAAAAAACAGAAGATCTGTTTGAGATTACCTGTGCCTGATTCCTCTGTCTGTTTTAGGTCGGGGTGGATGAGCACCGCGTGCAGAGAGTGATGTCCCAGCTCAGTGGCGCCGTCACACACCTGCACTCGCTGGGCTTCGTCCATCGCGACATTAAACCTGAGAACATCTTCCTGTGTGACAGCTCCTGCCGCTGGGTCAAACTGGGGGATTTTGGCCTCACCCGAGCCATCAACTCTACGGTTCGAGCTGTTTGGTATGAGTCACCTTTCTGCACACCAGAGGTGGAAGCCTCCAAGGAGGCAGAAAAAGAAATGGAGAGAAGGCAGAGTGAGGGGATTGAAGAGGAGGTGGAGGACATCTGGATAAACGTGGAGCCCTGCATTGACAGTTGGGCCCTCGGTGTGCTCATCTACTGCCTTCTAACTGGCTGCTTCCCCTGGGAGGAGAGCACTCATGATGACCGTGGCTATAAAAAATACAAGGACTGGTTTGATCGTGAGGAGGAGAAGAGAAAAGTGATGCAGAGGGATGAGGAGGACATTGATGGCTACACAATCATGGAGCAAAACCATGAAGACAACCCTCCTCCCTCACAGTTTGAGGGCCTCAGCCCACACGTGATGACTCTTTTGAAGGAACTGCTCCACCCTGAGCCCAAGCTCAGAGGAAGCCCGGAGGAGATCCTGAGCTACCTGGGAGGCCCGTGGCTCATGAGGACAGCGAGGGAGGAGGAGCAGAAAGCCCGGGACGCCGACAAGGAAGCCAGAAAAACTAGAGAAAGAGGAGGACTAGAGGAGGAGCTGCTCAGAGAGGGAAGAGGAGAAAGATGAGCTTCATCTCCAGCCTGTTTTGTTTGAATATGTTATAACATGTTGATAAGATATTGCTAAATGACTCCAGTCCAAATGTATAAGGTGCTGTGTACAAGGTTTTTCATGTGTTTGTAAGTTTCTTCAATGAAGTTACTACTTAATTATTGTATACATATTTGGGTGCCTGTGTGTGTGTGTGTGTGTGTGTGCGTGCGTGTGTCTTCGTGTCAAGACTAATTGATCAAGAAGAATTTGATGTCTGCTCAGCAAGTAGAAAAAGGTGTATATTCCATATTCAGATTGTTTTAATAAAATTATACTTTTATATTTATTCAAGGTGTTGTAATGTTGTGTACAGTCAAACATCATACCGCCATACCACCATCGAATGCATGGAAAAACAGATTGCATTTAAAAACTCCGTCCAATTGAAGACCTAGATGATGACGATGGAAATAAATTACTTCCAATGTTGAAACAGAATCATTTTGGCATAAACTTTATTTTAGAGAATATGTGCTCAATTTGAATATGATGACTACTCCAAAGTGGACAGGAAGTTTATAACTGATTATATACAGTAGGTTATTCAGGTCTTCGGAAATGCATATTGAAACATTTCATAAGTAATTAGATGAAAAAGACAAGACTTGGCATAGAAATTCGTTCCTTAGAAGGAATTATTTTCACTTTAGGATTGGATTACTTTATATCAATATGAGTTTAGAGTTTAAACTGCTGTTCGGTGAGAGAAAAGCTTTCTCTTCCCCTTTTTTTGTCATTTTAAACTCTGGTGTTTCATAAGACCTATAAACGGTAGCTTACAACCTTAGATTTGCCGACCAAATTTTTAAATGCTTACAAAAACATAAAAGAATGTTTCTTAAGAGACTCCAAAGAGTGCATCCAAGTGACATCTTGGATGGGATGCAGCAACAGGTGCTGCAGAGCAGCACGGGCACATCTAAAATTGGACTGAACAATACAACCTGATAGAATTACCAGCATGAAGTTCCAAGTCTGTGTAGTATACCATCTACAGAGGAAGAGACATGTAACAGGCTGAAGAAACAAAATGTTACTCTGTCCTTGGTCCGTGCAGGGTCCATGACTTATTGACTTGTTGACAGTAAAACAAACCCAGTGTGACAAATACATGTGTGTCACGTCCATCTCCATTTTTTTTTGTGGACATCGCTGCCCCACATCTGTCAAGGAGAACTTTTTCTGGAAGAAATATCATCTGCACCGTGTAAACTCTACCCAATTCTTATGTTAAAATCACCCCACCAAATGAGATCAATCTTTAGACAAGAGTCCATTTAGACTAAGTCAAATTACTTTTGATGATCCAATTTGCAAAGTAGGCAATTGCATAGTTTCAATTTGGAGTGTGTCCCTGTTGGTAGCAACTGCTAATGTGCAGTGTGAGAGTTTGTGTATGCCAGTAGGGCCTGTGCTAACCCCTGTGCTGAGGGCCACTCCAGATGGATTTATAAATAGAATCCAAGGCTGGCCATTTGCACAAAACGCACATCATCACCTCCCCCTGACTATCTGCACTCCACAGGCTGCCTTTGTGCCCTTAGACCTGTAACAGCACAATCTGATAAAACACTCTCATCCTCAATGCCCGTTTACTCCTTGGTCTCTGTTCTCTTTCCATCTTCATTCCTTGTGTCGAAAGCTTTTCTCATGCCATACCCCTCAGAGGTTTATCTTTTCCTTTCATCTTTCCTTTGCTCTTCAAATCTGCACTCCCTCTCATTCCTCCACGCTCCAGACCTTCCTCCTCTCGGGTTACAGCTAATGTAAATCAAGGGCTGCTGCTTTGCTTCAGGGTCAGTGTCTCCTATTGCTGCCTGTTTACATTAAAACATCTTCTTTTGTAACCGGCTGTTGAGTTTCTCAGAATCGAACGAACAAGTTTCATCTGACACTCAGGTGTAGAATGAAAGGAGAACCACAATCTGACTAATGGAAACACACGGTGCCGTCCACGGGGACATCATGGTGCCAACACAAAGATGCTGATCGAGGTGCAAATCTGGTGGAGCTTCATAAGGACAGACAGCAGGGATGATGAAAATAGGATGAACAGTAAGAGCTAAACATGCGGTTTGCCGGCCTACAATAAAAAGTTTACTAAATAAAGACTGAAGCAGGACGCTGCGGGTTGGTTTTTGATAGTCACACAAAGCGATGACTGCTCTTTGCTGCGATTGAGTTTTAAAAATTAATTGCATTACTTTTTTAAAGGCCATGGTCAGGCTTTTGAATATTTATGTGATCTTTTGACCTTTTGCGCGCCAACTCAATGCCTGAGATCTTGCAGAGAGATATTTCAGTGTTGTCCTAAATTATGAGTTGTCATACTGTGTAACTCTATGCACAATGATCTTTGACTGAAAGGGTAGAATTTTTTGAAGACGAAACCCAATCTAATGTGCAATGTCAGTAAGACTGATTTAGCACCACCAACATCAATTTAAGAACATTTCTGCACGCCATTTACACTTTCAGTGTCCGGCACAGAATGCTCTTTTCTCTTCATGTAAAAAACTCAGTAAGACAGATGACAGGGAGAAAGCAAGCTGAAAAATCTCACATGATTAAAGAAATATTGAGATGGATGTCCAATAAACAAAGTCACCTGTTGTGGGAAGGACGTGCAAAAACAGGCCCTGACACCAGAGCCGGATCAATGTGCCGGAGTGGAACAAATTAAGAATTTATAAGCCCAAATGTATGAAATCTATCTTTTCAGAGAGTCCAAACACTTGAGCCGTGAGGGCCTAAAGTTTCCTCTGCGCTGACAACTTTCTCCGCCACCTGCCTGATAGGGACGGTTCAGCTATTTTAATTGCTTAAGCAGGGCTGAAGGGGACGGTCCAGGTTTGCCAGGAGAACACTGAATCATCACATTTGCACGGTGGCGACGGATCCAGCTGGTATTATGTTGTTGACCGGGGCGTGCTGATGGAGGAACTCAAACTCTGTCCTGTCGGATTTCTGGAAACTCAGCGGTGCGTGAAAAATCGGCAATGCAGGGAGAGTAGAGGAGGGGAAGAGTCAAGAAAAAGAGTGTCGGGGTGAAAGTTAGATCGGTCGGGGTGTTTGCGGAGCTGGCATGCGTCATGCAATGCCATCCAAGTAATAAACAAGTAGACAGATTATCATGTGTTTATGATCCGGCATGCTTGCTTTAACCGTTCTGACTTCCTGGCCGTCACACACCGCCTGACCTCTTTCCTCCACTCTCTCCTCCCTTTCTTCGTCTCCACCCTTCTCAGCTCGTCTTTCTCCTCATGCAGCAGCACGAGCAGCACGAACAGCATCCCTCTTGGCTTCTCCGCGCCCCTCTTCTGCTTACGCTGCCGCCATCTGTCAGGCTGTCATCGGGCTCACCCAGTCGACCTTGTTAGGGCTCTCCCCCACGGGCTCTCTCCCCGGAGAGTGTAGCCCCGATATGTCAAGGGGATGATAAGTGTGTCCTTCTTGAGCCGACCACCCCCACTACGAGAGCCAGCGAGAGTAATGTTGTCTGTAACTTCATAGGTATGTGCGGTAATATTTATATTAGTCGAGTCCACGGAGGCCAATGGCGTGTCAGATTTCCCTTCACAGCAGCTATAACAGTCCCAATGAAAAGCGCGTTTTCAACACAAAGGGTGTCCGAGACAAAGGGTCAGGAACTGTGGCCTTGATACTCACTTTCATCTTTATCGAGATTGCCAGCTGGTTTATCTGAAGGACAGCTTATGTAAGCTGAATAGCGTGTTGGCCAGGTTAACACATGTTGACTTGCATAAACGCAGTTAAGGCTGCAAATGAAAGCTGGGCTGAGGTGTCACTTTGAAATCCAATGTTCCACATTTCGTTGTAGTACAAATTCAAATTTAAGTTGGTTATTACAGCTTATCACAGATCGGAAACTGTCTTGTGATAGGACTTCCTTTATACTTTTCTCTTCCTTTTTGAAGCACTGATCTGAGATACACATTTTCCAAAATGTAAATAGGCAGAGCAAAGTCTGTTCCTGTAGCAATAAAGTAGATTCATGTGTTATTTTCTCCACAGAATGATTTGAAATGAACTGATTGATAACACCACAACACAAAACCAATAAAACAAGTTTCCATTGTCAAAACATTAAATCATCTAAGTGGAGCTCATTAAACACAACAAGGTTTAATATGACGTAAATATTAAAGTACATTAAACAAAACGTGGAACATCAGGAGACCCTTTCTCATATATCTTACTCTATAATTGTTCATTCATGTGTAATTCACATGAATCTTGCCTGAAAGACGAACAAAGCATATTTGAATCCATCTTATTGTAATGACAGACCCTTAACAGTCACATTAGTCATGCTTCCTGTAAAAATCACACACTAAACTCATCCTAATCTGCACAAATATAAAAACAGGGATATTTCAAAGCACTGCAAATATCTGACTTATGTCTGCACACAGCATTTTGTGCCAGTGGTTCATGTCTGCGTGCACTGCTCCACCTGCTGTTTAAAGGCAAAAGTGTGGCCCTCTGGTGAAGGCTCGGCTTTCTGGAATTATTTTCAACTGTCTGACAATCATATAATTGTTTTTCTTCTTTTCGTTTGGTTTTATATTTCTTTTAACAAAGTCTGGTGTACTGATTCACTGATGTGGTTGCACTTCTTCAGTCTAACCAGGACGTTTTGGCTAATGTGTGACAGTGAAACACTCAAGAGCCTCAGCACATGACAGCAGAAGTGTACGTACCGTTCCAGAGGATGCAAAGAGCAAATGTTTGGGCATTTGTTGCCCACACATCCTGAGTTCAATTTGGAACAGGAAATTTAGCTCAAACATAAAGAAACACTTGAGGAGAAACTCTTCAGTTACATGAGTTCTGCAAACGTTGTCGCCTCCACAGAATCTTTGTGGGTTCAAATGTAAGTTTGAACAAAACAAACATGATTTAGCTTTTTCTTTTTACTAAACTTCATGAGCAGCAAACTAACGTTCGACATTATGCTTTTAAAGTATGGTTAAATAAATCGTGTGCAAGCCCCCAAAAAAGAAAAGTGAGCTGTTTCTGGGTTGAAAAGCTCCCTCAGATTGGCGCAGTTAGAACCTGGTGAAAAACATGAAAACTGTGATGGGAAGGAGGAGAGGGGGAGGAGGGGCAGGAGGAAGAGGAGGGTGCAGGAGATGGAAGGAGGGGAAAGAGGAGAAGACAAAAGATTCATAAAACTAAAGCAGTTGTGGACGACAGCAAAAGTTGTGAGTACGAGTTGATTATTTTTCACCTGATTTTTGTACATTCGGAAGGCAAGACACACAGGAACTCACACAGATAGATAGATAACTAACAGCCAGAAACGCTGCCTGAGGGATATGTCCTACTGGTTAGATGCACAATCGAGGTCTGCAAGACTGCTTGGCCGGTTAACTGATCCAATTCTGAACAAATATGTTAGTTATGTAATGTGTGGTTGGTTGCACTGTTAAGCAAGTACAAGCAGAGAAGACCAGAGCTCTCCTCACACAAATCAACACAAAGCGCAGATTTCAGATGAGTAATTGCAAATAATTGCTCTGGAATTATCGCTTAGATATACTTCATGCTCAGATTGGTTAGTGATGATTGTATAGTTGGAAAGCAGTGACATGTTCTCTGAAAAGAAAGCTGGGAAAGAATGTGCGACTGTAGGAGAGGAGGGGTGAAGGGGCGCTCAAACGGGGCACAAAAAAACAAATTCTTTGGTGAGGACTCACATTTTGGACTCCAAAGTTACTCTGACACATCACAAGAGGAATGATGCAGGGAGGGAGATGAGGGAGGGACGGGGGGACGAAGGCAGAAGGAAATCAAGGAGTGAGGCAAAGAAGAAAAACATTTCCAGAGGTGAGGTGTTTTCTTTAGTTGCTCCACTGCTACTTTATCAAGCTGTTTACAAGCTGTCCAATAAATACTAGATCAAATAAATGTAGGAAACATGACATCAGGCGCTCTTTTATAGCAATGATAACTTCCTGAAACATTGCACTCTGCGGCACATCTGTGTTCTGAGCTGAAGCAAAACTTTAAGGAAAACATTACGGTGACCGGGAATGTGGGGAGCATTTACATGCAAGGTGATTAAAGGAAACACAAACAGCTTAGTGTGGACACTGAGCAGTTCCACTCTGTGAAATCATCCTGACTCTTTTCCTCTTCCTCCAGCTCGTAAAGTTCAACTCTCACAAGTTGAAGGAATGGGCAGCCTCCTAGTGGTCCTGCTCCTCTGCAGTTTCCACGGTAACGCTGCCAAACAGAACACACAAATCATCCTGTTTAATTACGCTTGAGCCGCCGCGTGTTTGTTTTTGTGCTGCGAAACACTTCCCTCATGTGGTTTCTGTTCCACAGCGCTCACAGCTGTAGCCCGAGCCCAGCCGCCCGGTAACGCTCTCTTCCTCATAAATCCCACTTTTGATCAGGATGAGTGACATCTATCAGCCTGTGAAGCTCTGGCATGGCTCAGGAGTAGGATGTTTTCCCAGTCTGATCCTGTTTTCTTTCCTTGTTTCTAGAGAGCACCGAGGCTCCGGGAGACACTCTTTTACCAGGCAGTGAGTAATGTCATGCTGGGAGATTTCCCCTGAAGTCCCTTTTAAAGGTTTTAAATGTGCCACTATGACGTCATTTGCACGGCTCACACATTAATCTGCTGTCCTCGCAGACTGCAGGGAGGAGATGTACCCCTGCACGAGGATGTACTCAGTTCACAGGCCCATCAAGAGATGTCTAGGGAATCTGTGCCTCTACAGGTGATCTAAAACTGTTCAAGGAGGGATTTTTTTTAATGGGACACTGGTGAAGAGGTGCAATAGGTACAAGTGAATCAAACAAGTGAGATGGACCTAGCATGTGCAGGACACATGCATCAGTGTGACCCTTTGTTTCTGCAGGTCTGGCCCCTCCCTGCACCAATAACTTTGTTCCTACTAAACCCAAACCAGTTGGACTGTTATGCAAAATGCAAATGAAAATAGGATGTAATGTTTTGCCCGTCAAGAAGTGGTGGTGGTTAGCACCATCGCCTCACAGTAATAGGGTCCTGGGTTCGAGTCCTGGGGGAACCAGGACCTTTCTGTGTGGAGTTTGCTTCTTTCCAGGTTCCTCCCACAGTCCGAAAACCTGTTAGGTTGACTGGACATTCCAAATTGCCCTTAGGAGTGAAAGTGAGTGTTTGTGGTTGTTTGTCTCTGTGTGGCCCTGAGATGGACTGGCAGAACGTCAAGGGTGTACCCTGCCTCTCACCCATTGAATACTGGGATAGGCTCCAGTTCCCCCTGCGACCCCATTATGGAATAAGAGGTTACGGATGATTTGCCTGTCTCATTAGGAAATACGTTACTCACCTCATAACCAGACAGCGATTTCCGGGACAGAATACTGTCTGTTTTAATGCGTTGCTTCCTGAGGGGATAAGGATCACAGGCACCCAGTAAGGATTCACACTCTTTTTTTTTTATACACACTGCAAAAAAATGATCTCAACCATAGTTTTTGAGTTAATTATCTTTTGCAGTTGATGTGATATTCCAAGTCTGTTCGCCCATAGAAAGGTGAGACAGCTCCATCCACCCCACAATCAAGACTTACAATAAAGCTGGTGTAGAAAATGGATGGATGTCAGATGTAAAATAATCTAATTAGTTGCAACGTGTTATTCAGCTGTTCCTTTTAGAGCCACTTACTTTTCCAGCCCTCAGCTTCATGCTTGTCCCAGCTTCTTGAGAAGTTCTGCTGTCATCAAATTCAAGACGGGCAAATATTTCTAATGAAATAGAACAATTTCTCACTTGCAGAAAACCTATTATGAACAAAATTATTTTATGAGATGTACAAAATGCACACCCTATTTGGCACCGGGGTTATATTTTCAACCTTTGACCTTATCGCAAAGCATGAATGTGTCTTTTATCCATCTCTTCTCTTTAAATCTAAGACTCCAGCACACGTCAAAGCATCATTTTACATACACACGCAAATGCGTTTCCTCTTAATTTATTATGTAGGCTATAACTGAAAAATGTCATTTCATATGATTTTTCAAACATGAACAAATGAAGTGCTCTTACAGCTGTCGGGCTGAATCCCCGCAGCTCTGATGCAACCCTCTAAATGTTCACGTTTCCTCCCTTTTGCCGCAGCCTTCCTCGTGTCTACGTGATAAACAACGAGATCTGTATGAGGACGGTCTGCCCACAGGATGAGTACCTCAAAGGTGAGACTGTCCACGCACAGACAGGCCCCTCAGTGTGACGCTGACGGGCCGCCCTGTCTCTCTGCCCCCGACAGCTGAAAAGTGCAGGGAGCTGTCCGGCTGGCCCAAACGCATCGAGAGGTCGTCGACCAGGAAACGCTGTCGCAGTCGCCGCAGCAACCCCAAAACTTGGGCAAACAAGGCCTGACGTTGCTCAAGGATGGTGACGTCTCGTGTAGCGAGAACGGTGCCATAAAACCAGTGATCTGCATCAGAGGCAGAGGCTGGGGGGGGGGGGGGGTCTTTATTTCTCTTTCACTCAGACATAAGAGTGGGGAGTCATCTGTGTTCACATATTAGGCTTTTAATTATGTGTGTGTGTGAATGTCAGGCTCATTCCACCTTTGCGCTGTCGGACACATATGTCTTCCTTGGTTTACGATCCACTTTTAAGGTACTGTAGTAATGGGCTCGCAGTAGCACTGACTCAATTTATTGTAGAAAAAGAAAGACCCACACTGTTGTGGACTGTGAGGTACGCGCTGACAGCCCGGTAACATGTGCGCTATGTTAGCCATTACAATAAAAAAAAGTTTGTACAAGACTCATGTGAGGTTTCTGTTTGTTTGGGTTCATTTTTTTCTCGGTTGTTTAAAGAACAAACACAAAGTCTTTGCTTAGCCTTGTCTTTATATCTTTCTTTACACCTTAGTTTCCTTTCACATTCACAGTTTAACAACATTTGCAAGAAATGCATGTAATGCAGACAATTAAAAAACAAACACTCTCGCAATCTCTGCCCGCTCAAGCCGACATCCGTCACCACACCGCCCACCAGTGCACATCAGCCACAACAGGCGTGACATCTGTGAGCAAAACCCACCGCTAGGTACATCACAACATCACAAAAAAACACTGCAACAAACACGCGTTAGCTTGGTTCCACGTAGCATTTGTCTACATAAGAATAACGTTACATCTCGACATGGAATTGAAGTTCACAGGTAAAGTCGTTACATGGGGTAACATGCTGCGGTGGAGGTTTTTTACCTGTATTTATGGATAAGATTTGCCCTTAACAGATGGACCAGAGAAGAAACAGACCTGTTCATTTAGGAGTACGGTCATGACCTCATGATAAACAACTCACAGTTTCAACAGCTGTGCCGCAAACACATTATATAACACAAACTAAATCATCCCCATCCACTTGAGGCAAAGATAAAAGGACTTGTGGCCCCTCTTGTGTCTTGATTTACATTTAAAACAATATGCATGTCTCCCGTGACCCATCCCTGCCGGAATTTGTGTCGAACAGCTGCACAGCCACAGCCGACTGGGGACGGCCCAGGAGCCCAATCACTCTGTAAATCAGCTTTGGGCTGACAGAATTCTTTCAAGTAAAAGCATATTTGTGGTAAACTTTAAGATAATCTCAACCAAACAACAGATAATCCCTGCATTAAGTGCAGACTTTATGAATAACTAATTTCATGGACGGGCTCAACTGCCGGTCAGTGCATATAGTTTGTCCCACTGCTGGGGACTTGGAAAACAACAGGAGTAACACCAAGGTGACACCACCGATGACAATAATTACAAACCACCGACAAAATATATACACACATTTAAAATAAATCTTCTCTGTACATAGAATTAATTTATATAGTTCTTTCGATTGAATCATTAGACGTTGATAAACGATTATGTCTCCCTTTATATCTCTATTATGTATACAAGAGTAATTACAAAATAAAGTATTGGAATTAGGAAGAAGAGGAACACTGGAGGAAAATGGAGACTTGGATGGAGGGGCATTTGTGTTCCCTTTGTCCTAAATGTGTCCTGTTAAGACTGTGCAGTGTGGAGACAGATCCAAATAAAACAAGTGTTACCCTGCTTGGCAGGGAGAGATTTGGGACCCCAGAAGGGGGAAAATAAATTTTCAAAAGGTGCTGCATAATTTTATAGAGGGTGAAGTGGGAGAAAATGGCATGAATCTCTCCTCACTTCTGAGGTACAGAGTCAAAGTCTCCCCACAGGTCAGAGCTGGCTGTGGAGGAGGGGTTGGAGGGAGCCACTGAGTCTGAGTTGCTTGAGTCCAGGTCCAACAAAAAACCTGGAAGTTTAGAAACAGAAGGAGAGATTCACGACTGGAGAAAAACAACTATCAAAATGGTGTTTTTATGCTCTGTCAAAAAAGAAACTTAATGTAATCTGCAGCGATAGAAGTGAGAGAGCGTCCAATATGAACCTGGTGATGGCTGCAGATGGCTTTGGTGTCCTCAGCTTTAAAGGACTCACCAGACAAACATAATGCAGGAAGGCTGAACTTTGTCTGTCTGACTAAAAGATGGAAGAGTTCCACTGGAAACTCTTCAGCTGTAAGTCTTTGCACAAAGATCTTTTCCTGGATAAATCGCAGATGTGTCACACACCATATGTTCGACAGTCTTTCTGAGCATGACGTTGACAACACAGAATGAGTTCTGCTCAGTGTTTGAAATGTTTCTTCATCAATAACAATTGCTTTTATTTAAACTGTATCTAGAGGGCTGTACAGGCCTAAATCTACGTCATGATACCATTGATGCTAAAGAAAAATACCTGATTTTTACTATTTATCTATCGTGGGTCAGGCTGGTGCTTGTGTGGGTAAACATAACATCGTTTTAATCAAGTGCATAGCGCACACACAAGCTTTCAGCACAGAGAACTTTCCTCTGCTTCATGGGGACCGTGTTCGCATGGACTGATTTCAGGGTTCACAGTAGTAGACATCTAAACCAGGTCAGCTCCTCCCTAGGAATGAAAGCTGCTAGCTGCGTTTTACCACTGCGAGGATATGATCCCCGTTAAACTTCTGGTTAAATGTATGTGTGGTCTGACAAGACCATTTTTTGAGCATAAAAGGCTTAACCTTGTGAAAACCAGATTTTTCTTAGCGATTTGTATTTCTGACCATGCAAATGTGCCATGCCATGTTTCCCGGCGGTAGGAGGTCAGAACACCTACCAGAGTCACTTCCTCCAGCTGATGGCTGTGTGTTATTATTGGTAGATTTAGAAGGAGGTGGGGCCAACTTGCCACCAGGAGGGGGAGGAAGGAGTCCAAAGCCTCCAGAACTCTGAGGACGAGACCGATCCTTTTTCTTTGATTGCTGTAGATGAACAGACAAAAGAAATGGAACCGAGTGAGTGAGATGCATACATTATGATATTTAGCTTGGCTGATAGTCAAAGCTGTAACATAGAATTTAAAACCATAATCCAAACCCATTTGGGCGTATACTTTTTTTTTTATTAAGATGAAAGTACCCCAATATTTAGAGTAATGGTTTGCCCTTCTTTGAAGCCAAGGTCCAGTTTTGGAGTGGAGTCTGGAGCCTGAGCTTGCTTGGTGAATTCATCTTGTTGTTTTACCCACCTGGAAAAAAAGCGCAAAGTTATGTTGAGAAACACCAAAACAAACTATTCACTACTGACACGGTTACAATTTATCCCACATGGTGCGTACTTGAAGTGGTCCTGAAGTGCCACGTTGAAGTCAAAGGCATCACCTCTATCTCCGAATCCAATGCCAATGAACGCTTTACGGCCTTTTAAAAAAAGGACACAGACAATTGACTCAGTGTTCAAGGCTCAAATTTCCAGACTTTGCAGATTTTTCAAACCATGTCTGGCTTTTGGCATGAATAAATGGTCCTCCTCAGGTTTTAAGTTGTCGGATAATTCCCAGAAGATTGTTACCTCGGGACCTGCATTGCAGTTCCTATCAGGCTCTGATAAGTTCAGAGCACAACCCTTCATTCCTGCTGCGACGCTTCAGTGAGCACCAACAAAAAGCAGCAACGTGTTTGCCAAAGAGGAAGTATGCTAGCAGTCGCTATATTTAGAAGTGTTATTTTCCATTCATATGATGGCTAAATGATACTTTTTTTCAGGTGAACAGGAGCAGTTCTTGTATTTCAGTTTTTTTTTTTAACCATAAACAGATCTAATCACAACTGCTCAATGCTCCAGGTGGTTGTGATTGCTGAAATCAAAGTTATTTTAGAGCTGTGTCGTCACTCATACCTGCAGATACTGCTCAACAAATGTCAGTTCATTTGTAACGTGCTGCAGCATGACAATACAACAAACCACAGCAGTTTGAAGCCTATAATGTACAGACTTAAAGGTATAGGTGTAAAGAAGGGTCGCAAAGTGTCACTTATGCTGTTTTTTATCTTAAACATTTTAAATGTGTTGGCCCTCTACCTTGTATACAAAAACAAAACCCACAGTACTCATGTGACTAATTTATCTAGAAGCTTTTTTCCCTCAACCTCTTTTGTTTCTTTCTTACACGAATTTTCCAGAAAAACTGGGTAGGAAACCTCAAAAAATGCCTCTCGCTGCCCATTCACACGCGTCCAGTGAAAAACATGTTATCCTCCAAAATGCTCCACGGACCCAGTTGAAATATATTTATAGCTTCTAAATAAACAGTTTACTCACCGCTGTCGTCCTGAATGCGCAGCACGAAGTAGCGGCTTGAGTCACTGACTGTTTCCATTGCAATACCAGGGTACTCATCCAATGGTGCCTGGGCAAAGAGCTCCCCTGAAGATTTACAGAGAGATAAGTGATGGTGAGATCCAGATCAGGAAACTACGTCGAAGCCAACACTTTACTGAGAAACCACTGTAATTAAACAACCCACTGACACTTCCAGTGTGCATATAAGAATAGAAAGAGCTAAATGAAGAGTGTGTTTATATGAAAACACACTGGGGCAGCCTCTTCAGCAGCACAGAAACCGCTGTCTTGGACCCGGGCTGGGTCACCTTGGAACAGATGAGTAACAGAGGGCAGGAGACTACACAGTAAAATGATTAGCAGCTCCAGCTGTAAACAACGGCACTTTCCCGTCTACTTTTTTTTTCCCTTCTTCCCTCACCGGAGATCTTGTCCTCCAGCTTCACGTAGGCCACGTTGCCTCGGGCCGTCACGCGCATGCGTCCCGTCCAGTCGGGGGCATCCAGTTTCCAGTCGGCGGCCCTGAGACACAAGCAGCCGGTCAGTGTGATGCAGTTGTTGAGACTGACGTTGACCGATTAGTACGGGAGACAGACAATAAAGTCATTGTGTTTTGGGCCCGCTCGACCGCTGTCCACTCATTTCTCTGAGTGAGTAAGACATCAGCGGGGCATTTCACTGAGACATCAGGCTGAGTTCTTACTACAACATCTTATTTCTCATCTGTGGTCGACCAGTCCTGTCTCACCCGGGCCTTTGGGGTTTTGCTACTGTTTGTGACGTCCACTCTGACACGTCTGAGTGGACATTGCACCCAGCTGATAGAAATGATGGGCAATGACTAAACTCAAAGGACACAACGATGGTTTCTATGACAACGCCGTTTCCTCTGGAGCATCCCACCTTCACCTTTGTCACAAAGACCAAACACTGCTCAGGCCAGGTGTCATTGAGAGAGCCTCCAAAATGCTCTCGTTTTGAGTAACCATTCATTTATAAGAGGAAATAGAGGTATTTCTCAGAATAAATAATGATAATAACATGTATAACGTGAAGCCCTCTTAGTGGGAACGACACTAAGCGTTAGCGGCTGACCAAGGAGGGAAGGGACGTTCCGGTCACCGCCGCCTAATCCCCGTTACACGCGCTTAGCTAGCACGGCCCTTCTTGGGTGGCCGTGCTCTTCTTTTATGGCCTTGCAAACGCCAATGCATCAAAAACAACCCAAAAGGCAAACTACTGCCTCCCTGAAATGATGCTGCGCGACTGTGAGCGAGGCGAGGCGAGGTGAGGCGGCTCCCCTCGGCTCCGGCTAACGGATGCGGGCTCAGAAAAACACACCCCTCCTCCCCCACCTCCTCCCCCAGCCTCAACCCCCCCTCACCTGATAGCCCGGTTAGATGCTCGCGGTGGGATTCGGTAAACGTTAACCTCAGGTTTGACACAGAGGATCGATTCGTACTCGGCCTGACCCTCAGTCGCCATCTTGACTTTTAATAAATACGCCGCTGGCGGTGGTGACGGTGAGTGGCGCGTGGGGTCTGCGTTAACGGCTGCGTGACCGTAATGGAACGAATATCGGCGCACAATCCCGGAGCCGCCGTGACGCCGACTGAGTCACCTGAACGGACGGGAAGATACATATCATACGTGGGCTTTGACTAATTAAATAAGTTTAGGGCCACAGGCAGAATGTGGCCCAAATAAAGTGAGAAAACATGTCGAAATTATTAAAAAGACAGCGAGTGGCAACAAAAGAAATGGATCTGATCGAACTCGAAAGCTCACAGAGGTTGTGATTCACTGCTTACACAGTAAGACACAATTAAAACATAGGGAAAAAAAGACCAAATTAGAGCAGGAAAAAACGAAGAGACCCTAATCTACTGACAAAAAGGGATGAGGTGGAAGCAAAAAACTCAACAGTCTACATGGCTGCCAATAAGAAGTTCACCTAGGTGAGACTAGGAAACCTCAAAGAGCGGAAAAAAGGGGGGAGAGAAAGCATGCGAAATTAGTTCAAAGACTCACTGAAGGCAAATAAAAAACCCAATTTCTGTCTGCATGGTTTGTGGTTGTTTTGAATTTCTTTGAGTCTGGGTAATTGTGTCACTTCCATAAAGTGGAGGGCCTTTTACTTACCTGCACAGGAAACAACAACATGTCCAAAATCGGTATAAGAAATGCTTGTTTCTCAGCTCTTGGCTGCATTATGCAGAGTTTTGTATCAAGCACCTTTGTGGTTACGAACTGAAGTGCTGGATATGATATGATCTGCGTCTTGATTTGGAACATAAGTTTATCTGTCATGGCTCCTGGGTCATGGCAGTCCCTAACTATGCTAGTAATCCCCACCACCCTCAGTTGAATGAATCATCCTTCCTCAAATGATTTGTATTGGTGACACCTGCCACACTAACTATGTAAACCTAATGTACTAATTCAAATTAAGAACAGACAATAACACATTATTGGCTGTGATTTTATTTCAAGTGTCATGTTGTTACAGAGACAGCAATCAGAAGCTACCTAACATTACAAGCCTTGCTACATATCATTAAAAGCTATTTGTTTTTCTCAGTTTTTGTAATTCTCAGTCTTGCAGTTGTAGTGATGAACCAACGCTATCATGCGGTATGTTTCTGGCTTTGGACTCATTAGTAACACTAGAGGAGGTCAGGAGTATGTTTCACAGTCCAAGAAGCTTGAAGGCATCTCGTAAATCTTCGGTCTCGCAGGGCTGAGAAGGAAACAAGGAGAAAACTTCATCAGCAGAGCAGTCATAATCGGCTTGAGGTAAATGGTTTCAGGAGTTGAATGTTGTACCTGAAGGATGCGATTGAGTTTTCTTGCCAGGCGGACAGAGTTTTGGTGCAGCCCATCCCAGGGCTTGAATTTGCTCTCCCTCCCAGCCACAAAGGTCTGCCAGCAATAGAAGTAGTCTAAAGACAACGCACACAAGGAATTTTTAGAGAATGATTCCGATGAAGAGGACAAAATAGATCTAAATATCTTTATTTTATCATAGGCAAAGATTTAGTCCCCCACCTTTGTAACTCATGACTGTGATGTGCACACCAGCTTTTTTCAGTATTCTCAGACCCTCCCTTTCACGGCTGTCTTCCAAATCACAGAAATAAAGCCGAGAGACAAAAATCCTGAGTCGAAGGTTGGGAGTCTTGCTGAGGAATTGGGCCAGTCTGTAGGAGCAGTTGGCACAGGGGGACCACGAGCAAAACCAGGTGATGGAGTAGCTGACCTTTCCTGAGCCGTAGCCCCACAGACCAGGGCACAACGCTCCCAAGTAGCGCAGAAAAAGAAGCTGGGACGAAAACAAAAAGGACATTTATGTAAATGGATGATTTCTAACGCAAACCTGAACAAAATCTTCACGTCCTCTTCTCCCTCCACCCTCTCCTCACTTACCTCCACATGGCAGCCATTGCGGTTACGGAGGTGCCCAAAGTCAAAAGTCAAGGAGTCTGGGCCCACCCTCCTTTTCACCACAAAGCAGAGGTATGTCTCACACCGGCCCCTTGCCCAGCGCAAGTTCTTGTAATGATAGATGAACTTCTTTCTGGGCAAAAGCACACTGGCACAAATAGACGTTCTTTAAGAAGACAATCTTATAATTTTAGCATGCTCGCTCAACTCACATGTTCATTTAAACACATTTAAACATGAGTAAATATGAGAAGCAGACCATCCTGCTCCATTTAGCCTGTGATGACTGTGAATATTATCTGTTCTAAGATTTTGTCTGCCTCAGCTTTTGTTCTTTTACCTCATGGCATTTAAAAGTTCCATTTTATGATGCCCACATGAAGATATTATTGAATAATTTCCCTTGGGGGTAAATAAAGTATTTTCTTATACTAACTTGGGCAGACTGTGTCTGTAACTTTTTGTGTTTGCTGTCTTGGCAAAGACACTTTTAACAAAGAACCTCAAGTGTTTCTATTTCCTGGTTAAGTGAAGGTTAGATAAATGACATAGATTACCTAATGATGTGCTGCAGGTTTTACTCTGAGCACTGTAATGCATATTATGACAATGATTTCACCGCACAGCTTTTAACTTAAAAAAAAAAAACATTTTACAAGACAATCCTTGTTGCCAGATAATCCAGCAATTATCAATTTTAAGAGAGAAGAGTCTGAGGCAAACCATGTGCAAGATCTCAGTGAGAATTAACGGTCCCAATCAGTTTTTACTATTCAGATGACTAAGAGATAAATTCAACTATTAATCAGAGAAGATAGCATAAGAAATGCATGTAAAACCTGTGGTTTACTAAACCTTAGTACTGGACAGTGCAACAACAGCCAAGATTCACTAACAAACTCTCAGTTTCACAACTTTTAGTGAAACTGAGACAGATTTTTTTTGTTTACTCATTAACTAATGATAATGAAACCTCGATTTTGCTCGATTGAGAAGTCTGAAATTAAGATCAAAGTGCGGTCGTGCACTTAAAGCAATTACAAAGACAACCTCCAAATTTTTCTTTCTTACAAGACTTTGCATATACAGTGTGTACATATATTTGACAAACGGAAGAAGAGCACGACAAATAGATAGAATGGATCCATTTTGCTCACCTGTCTAGCTTTGTGATTGTCATTTCTAAAGACGCGCTTTGCTTTGTCACCCGTCAGCGTGGGTATTGAATGGAGGTAAATGAGAAAGAGTGAAAGTGTGTGTGTGTGTGTGTGTGTGTGTGTGTGTGTGCGTGTGTGTGTGTGTGTGTGTGTGGTGCATGCAAGTGTGTTGGGGGGTTAAAGGGAGGGAAATGAGAATCTATACCTCTAAACATAAGCATCCTGCATAAAGCAGATGCAGCCTCTGGTTGGACAGAAATCATTTTCAAAGTCAGTTTGGGGGGGGCGTGATACTCCAGAGATGGCTGGATAACACTTCCCCTCTGCTAGACAATTAAAGCTTTAATTTGATTACTCATTAGCCACATGTTGTCTTTGTGCTTTGTGGTTTTATTTGTTTTTGCTGAATGTGACTCCTCACATAATGATTTAAGCAAATCTGCAGCCGGTAAGTATGGACTTTTTACTGGGGTTGCAGGTTACACAACCCCAGATTGATAATCTGTGTGAGCACACACACACACACACACGAGTGGAGCGTTTGACGCACTTTGTAGCTTTTGGAGGTTTTCACAGATGTTGGTATTCTGAGCCAGCTGGATGGAACTTTCCAAGTGCTACCCGGTCATCCGCATCCACTCTTTGGGTTTTTTCCAGATTATTAAGAAAAAAAACTTCCAGATACCGTCTCACCTTGATCCATCTTGCCATTTACCCTGCTGCTATTCAGCATTTCCACTCTGTGGGTCGCCCTCCGCCCCGGGCCCCAAATTGGTGGAGCCACAGGCGTTCCCAGACCTCGGAGGCCCTGACACTTACTTTGTCCTCAGATCTGGGTTTTCCCAAACTGTGTCAGACTGGGAGCAGGGCTGTAATCGACCTCCTTAACCCTGTGCGTCTGCTAGACCAGCGGGCCAGCTGACCGACCACAGTTTGTGGATGAATCTCACTCACAAGCCTTTGAACCTTCGGTAGCTGTCATCCGCCCGTGCCAAATCAGGATGTGTATTATTTTGCTCTCGTCTTTCCTCTGCCCCGTCTGTTTAAGGTCTGGCCCAGTGGCACTGCATGCAGGCCTCCTGCTTTCCCATGACTCCCCTCACCCTCTCATGCACTCTGTGGTTTGGGGAATTCACCGTTTCCCAGGGTGGCTGTTTTTGGAGCTCATCTGTGTGTAAGTGTGAGCGTGTGTGCATGCGAGACTTAGCCGTCCGTATGAGCATGTCATTAACACAGACTATATGTTCTACAGCATCTGGGACTGATTTGTCTTATTTATCCTATGATTGCGTGGTGCCCCAAAACTTGACTGATTCATATGTGTGTGTGTGTGTGTGTGTGTGTGTGTGTGTGTGTGTGTGTGTGTGTGTGTGTGTGTGTGTGCTGTCTGCTGAGATCAACCTCACATCACACTGCAGAACCCTGACAGAGCACTGGGCCCAATGTCCCTGCACATCTGATCCTGTGTGCATGGGTCCTGATCAAATGCCAAACTGTATGTAACCGCTTCCCACCCAGCTCTCCGGGCCTGACCGCAGCTGACCGAGGTCATCTCTCAGTCACACATGAAAGTTCACGTGCACTACCACCCTTCTGTGCCGCCTGTGTGTGTGTGTGTGTGTGTGTGTGTGTGTATGCAGGAGTGGTCCGGGATGGCCAGACATGTGCATTTAACCCTCAGTCAGATTTTTTTGTGTGTGTGTGGGGGGGGGGAGAAAGTGAGCGTAAGAAATGCTAAGTCATATTTTCCGAAACCCACCCGCCCACACCCTTCAAATGTGCGCGCTCGCACACACACACGCACACAGCCCTATCGTGCAGACGCATACAACCACAGTCACAAACAGACTTTCTTTCCAGTGTGTGAACTCACATCTGTTTCCTGACAACAATAATAGCTACAGATTGGGCGGATAGAGGCCCAGCTTACAGGTGTCTGCAGCCTGACAGTAAAGAGGATGAAGAAGTGTCTGTGAAAAACGCCGCTTTGACAGGGAGAAAGAAAGTCATTGTGTGTTCAGACCACACACTTACTTGCACGTGCAGTGGTATGGCTGCATTACTGAAAGTCTCATGTTTGTTTTTTCATAAGCAATCATGAAAATATGCTCATTTTCTACTGTGAGACAAGTGGCTTCACAGTTGAATTAGGAGCTACGTTTGTCAGGTGAGCTGTGCGTCTCAGGCTGATGCATTGTACAAACATCCTGTGGTGTTTATCTGTGGCGGGTTGACGCGACACCATCATCTGAGGTTAGCAGGCGGAGAGATTCGCACTGCGGAAAGCGTGAGGGCTGCTAACCATATTAAGGTTAGCCTCAGGGGGAGGACGCATTTAAACTGCCTGTCACCTGCAAACCACACACATGCTTCAGTCAGAATACCTTTGGATTTATTTAATCCGTTGTACTATTATCTGTGTGCGAATGTTCAACTAGATCTTAATCAGCTCTTTTTTGTTTCACTATTTGCATGATTCAGGCTTTTTTTTTTGGTTATGCAACAAGTATTTATTTTGTCCACCTTATACCTAATATTGATAATTACCAACAGGATTGTTGTAAAAAAAAAAAGCACAATAAAGACCTTTGATAGTAATTTTCTCAAGTTTCTTAAAAATTAAAACAAAGGAAGCTACACGAATGCAACAATCTGCTTGTGCAAACTCACTCCTCACAGTGTGTATTTATGAAGGGCAACAGCAGCAGGAGTGCAGAGATAAAAGCCGATAAATACTGCAGATTGACATAAAACCACACATACTTCCTATACAGTAACTGTACACCTACACATTTGGATGGTTTCACACACCAGCGCATGCACTCGGTCGCGCACGTAGCAGCTGCTGTGTTGAACAGTTTGAGACAGACCCAGTCAAACACAGTCCACAAAAGGTGCTTTACGGAAAGTTGTTTTTATTCAGCTCATTTCCAGAGAGCAGCGCTTCACGCTGATGTTTTTGCATTAAGAACAATAGGAAAGAATGTGATTCGTCAAAAATGGAGATCTGAAACACTAAATAGGAGGGTGATAAAAAATGGCTTTAACTGATGAGAAGCAAAGCGACACATAAGTCAAATAAATATTTGAATAAATAACAAAAACCTTTCAGCCATTCTGAACTTAAACAAACACGCAGCAGACAGGGCGTCGTCACACTCAGCAGAGACCCAGCGTTTGCCGTGTGCCGCTCGCTCACAAGTCTTTGTAGAACACTTTAGTGAGGGGGTATCCCATAAAGCCACTCTCTGGAGTCTCTGTATTCAGCTCGTCCTCATCCTCATCATCGGTCCCCTCCCCCAGCAGCCGATAGCCCACCTTCCTGAAGAAGGCTTCCCCCACCTTGGACGGGTAGGGGATGTGCGCGTACACCCGGTGTGCGCCGGTCTCCCTCTCCCTCTGCTCCAGGCTCTGGACCAGCAGGCGGCCCAGGCCCTCTCGCCGGTACCAGCAGCCCGTCACCAGCCTGCACATCCTCCGGACGCCCGCTCGCGCCTCGCTCTCCCGGAAGATGCAGCCCACTATCTCCCCCTCGCAGTCTGCCACCCACACCTGACCCGCCGCCTGCTCCCTCTCCGGGGTGATCTTCTCAGGGGGCTTTTCTTTGTCTTTGTCTTTGTCTTTGGACGCGATTCTGCTCCTTGCCTGAGAAAAGAAGAGTTCCCGTGAAAACGAGTGCGGAATTGCTTTAAAGCCCGTTTATTTCCAACAAACGAGCAGACCAACCTTTCTGGTCCCCGATGGCTTCCCGCTGATCCTGCAGTAGGGGTTCTCCAGCGCGTCGTCCGGCGTCCCCCTGTGGCTGCTGCCCACGTAGTCCCAGCAGGGGCGGCTGCTGCCCAGCACCCCCGTCGACCGCGGCATGGTGATCTTGAGAAAGACAATCAGCAGGAAGACGGGGATGGCCAGGGCCAGGAGGAAAGAGTGGACAAGGCAACGCAGGATGGAGGACAGGACGGCGAGGATGAAGAGGCAGAGCGGGCGGGTGAGGATGTGGAGGATGAGGCGGTTCTCCGTGCCCTCGCAGCCCTCCTGGAAGCCAACAGCAGCAGCCAGTTACCACAGAACCAGGAGCTGAAGCTCAACCTGGACCTGCCGCTTGATGGAAGCCGGTAAAACCAACCTTAATGAGGGCTTTGACCGCCTCTATGTCATCCTCCCTCATCCTCCTGACCACCACCTGGTCCAGCTCCAGCCGCACCATCTCTGGGCTCCGTGCTCCAACAGCTTCACCGCCGTTGGTGGTGCAACATCCACTCTGTGTGAGCGGACAGCCTAAAACACACTGCAGAAAAGAGTTTCTGATAGGAAGTGGGCTTAATTTATTGACACAAAAGCACCTATTTAACTTATCCTTTGACAGGGCTTTGCTGGGTTTTCTATAGGCTACTGATATGCACAACACTTCACCTATAAAGAACCTATGGCTGAAACGCAGCATCACAACCATCCCTGGTCCCACACCAACAAAGACAGAAGTGGATTATGGAGGATTATTAGAATGTGTGTCACAACATCAACGTGCAGCTGAGCACAGTTCGAGCTCTCGTCTTCGCGTCTCACAGCTACCGTCAAAGGCAGAGTCGAACGGGTTCAAATCCATATATGGTTAGTAAGAAGGGCTGCGGGCTCCTGACCCACATGAGCAGCTCCAGCTCGGAGCCTCCGCGCCGCTTACCTTCTGCACGGCGCGCCTCACAGACGGGAAACACACGCGGCGTGTGTGTGTGTTTGTGTGTTTCTGTTTGCCTGAAGTCCGTGTGGGTTTGACTGAACGGCCACAATGTCGCTCCTTGCGGAAGGAGCGGAATTCTGAGCACGAGCTGACTGCTTTTTGCTCCGTTACTCGCTGTCTGGGTGGAGGTCTGCGCCATTTGCGTACGTGCTGTCCGCACTGCGTACATGCTACGGGAATACGTAACGGCGCTGCGACCACGCATGACCAAAGGTGGAAATAGAATTTAAGAATTGACTCAAGCTAAAAAACACACCGCAAAGCTGTAAAATAAACTTAAATTGAACAGTGACTGCCTGGAAGGAGGATGGATTCTAATGCATTGATGTGCCAATCAAATTTTTGAGTATCTATTATGAGTTCATATTTTTATTCTTAGTTAAATAAAAGTAATATTCCATGTAAAATATTATTTCAAATGTATTGAGTAAAAATGACTAACAATTATTTACTTTTACTTAAAAATATCTTTGATAAAACATTTGATAACCACTGCAGCCTGACTTTTCTGATTTCTGTTTGCATCGGTTGTCGGTTTCAGGATAAAATCTGAGCAACGTATAGACCAAACACACATATCAGTCACTGGATTCTGTTGATTTGAACCCATTTGCTGGGCATCAGCGGCTCAGCAAATGGGTCGATTCATCTGTGTGATAAGTCTTTTTTCAGTATGCTCTTGTGTGATTTGTCCTCTCTGAGGCAGCTTCAACTAAAAACAAAAAAGCAAACAATAAAAGGTATTAACAGATTTATTAATAATTAGTTACTATTTACTATTAACATTGTGAAGAAAGTAGGCCATGTACAACATTTATTCACAAAATCATATTAACTTCATAAACAAATTGCCAAAGACAATATAATTTAACTAATATATTTAGGAATACTCTGATGTCCATGTACAGCCTATTTGAATGTATAACATTTCTAGTAAGTGGCACCATGGCATTACAACACAATATTCATCTAGCGGCATGTTGTTTCTCTCTTTTAGGAGAACTCACATGACTAAAGTGCTACCACACGGCCCACAAAGGGAGGCTACTCCTTGCAGACACGGTTCTCCATTAGAGAACCGTCTCTTGAGAGTCGGATATAGTGGCGTTGCTTTTTGTGTCTTCGGTTGGGGTTTGGAGGTCTGGGCTGCCTGCAGAGCTGTCTTCCTTGGCAGACCTTTCCTTTTCATCTGCTGTTCCGCTGTCGTATTTCACCTCGTTGCTTTGCGAGACCTCCCCGTCCCCCTCTCTCTCTATTCTGCCTTCTCTTAAGGTGCTGGTGCTGACCTCAATTATTACGATTTCATCTCCGTTTTGCAGCTGAAAAATGCCCTCCATGTCTCCCTCATCTCCAGGGACGGCGTCACTGGCGGCGCTGCAGCCTGCGGCCTCCTCTCCCATCATTCCTCCTTGGCCTTCAATCAGCGCGATCATCTGCATGCCTTCCTCGGCCTCCTGCTCCATCTTGATCTCGCCCCCCAGTTCGAACACCACCTCCTGCCCGTGGAGGGGCACCAGGTTTTGGGAGGGCGTGCAGGAGAGCTGCAGCCTGTCGTCTTGTCCCTGGCCGTAGGCAGCACTGGACGGCCCATTGTCCTGCGTCTCAGTGTGGAAATGAAGGACGTACGACTCCTCCTGACCGCTCCCCCCACCTGCCTGTCCCCCGCCCTGCTTTTCTCCGCCCCATGTTTGCAGGAGCGACATCATTCCTCCCTCATCTCCCCCCTTTTCTTTTTCACCTTGTCCGTCCGTCTTAAACTGCAGCAAAAGCGACTTTCCCTCTCCACCCACTTCTCCGTCAGCTGCTTCGCCGGATGCATCCCTTTCAAACTGCAACACATACGACTCCCCACCCTCCAATTTGCTCCCCTCTTTTGCTTGTTCTTTATTATCAAAACATAAAACAAACTGTTTCCCTGTGGTAGTTTCCCCGCTGCTCACTTGCTCCACGAAGGAACGGGCATTCCTCTCTGGAGGGACAGAAACGGGATGAGAGACTGATGCTGTGGCTACGGTGGTGGCTGGTGTTACCATAGAAACAGCTGGCGGGGGTCCTGAGGTGTCCACTGTGGGGGCTACAGTGGTCGAAGAGCAAGGCATCTGAATAGGCGGACAAGAGGTTGACAGGGGAGAGGGGGACAGAGTGGACAGAGAGCACAGGCCTGCCTCTGAGGTGGTGTTCCCTGCAGCAGCGGGCGGGGCGCCGCCCGTCACGCTGCAGTCCACCGCTGGAGCAGCAGCTGCTGCGGCCTTCTGAAGAGCGGCTTTGGGTTTGCGCCCCCGTCGGCCCCGAGCTGTCCGTGTGCTCTTCCCTAATATGGGCTTGGTAAGCAGGGAGCCGGCTGAGATGATGTGAGGTGGCGTAGCAACGGGAGATTGTGCATTATTACTGTTAGTGATTATGATCCTGGTCTGCTGCTGTTGCTGGGATACAGTGGGAAACTGGGGCGTGTGAGTTTGTGTTTGGTTGAGGACGGGCTGGAATGCTTGGATCGTCTGAAGCACGGGGAGGGACTGAGGCTCTGGAGTCGGTGGAGGGTTGTTTGCTGTGGGGAGGAGAATCAAACTGGACTGGCTGCCATTACTGGAGGGACACTGCAGGAGGAGATAGTTTTGGGAGTGGGGCGGAGGGGGTGGCGGAGGTGGGGGAGGGGGAACTGGCATGGGAGATGACAGAGGAATAAGCTGCAGGCCACTGGCTGTCTGAATCATAAAGTAGTTCTGGGAGGTGTTTGGGGGAATATTAAGTGCTGGCTGGGACACAATCAGACTGCCGCTGCTTCCTGTGGATTCCAGGGTGATGGGGTTTAGCAGGGTGGTGGTGGTTGTCACTCCTCCCACACTGGCTTTCACAGCCACGCCATCTTTCCCTCCGCCACCGGAGCTGGGAAGCGACGCGCCGCTGCCGTGTGTGCGGATGTGTCTCTGCAAGTAAGAGTGCATGACGAACTCCTTGGAGCAGTACGGGCATTTGTAGTCTTTGAGTGACGAGTGTGTGCGAAGGTGGAGCTGGAGGTTGGAGGAGTGTGTAAAACTTTTACTGCAGCGCGTGCACTGAAAAGGTCTCTCACCAGAGTGGGTACGTTCGTGCTGCTCTCGAGGAAACAATAACAAGAGAGGAAGGAGGAAAAATGAAGTAATCAGTCAGTGAGGTCACGCACGCCAGGGGAGCTGGAGCGAAAAAGAGGCGACACTGACCTGCTTGAGATTGGACGTCTGAGAGAAAGACTTGGAGCAGATGGAGCACGTGTGAGGTCGCAGCCCGGAGTGCATCTGACTGTGTCGACGCAGGCAGCTGGTGTTCTTGAAGGACTTGCCGCACTCTTTACACACATAGGGCCTCTCACCTGTGTGCTGCCGCAAGTGGTACTGATAGTGAGAGCTCCATTTGAAGGTCAGAGGGCAGTGCGGGCACTGGAAGGCCCGGACCCCTGTGTGCACCTGGGTGAGGGGGCCATGGAACAAGAGGGACTTTTAGTATAGAGCTTAGCACTGAAACCACAAAGAGGAGGACCTGATATTAAAACAAGAATTACAGCTTTGTGTTTGGTTTGTGAGTGGTTACGGTGGGTCAAACACTCCACTAATGAGCAGAGGGCTGACTGAAGTATTCTGTGCTACCCCTAAAGTTACCATCAGGGTAAGATTTTAGTGCCAGATATACCACTCCACACGCTAAAAGCATTTTTTTGGGACCATAAAACTACATTTTGTGCCCATTTACCTGGAATCTTTCCCCATTTAACTGCAGGTAATTTGCATTTCTAGTTAGTATGAATTAGAGGGCATTTATGCTGGGACAAGTAATGTTTATTATTCCAGATAGAAGATTGAACATAAACAACTTTTTAGTTAACAAAAGGAAATTTGTGTTGGGGATTGCATTCTTTTTTTGTGCATTTGTAGACTGACTGCAGCATGTGAGTGTGCAGGGAACATGGGCACAAAGAAGCCAGTTTGGGAGTTAGACGTCTGTGTGGCGGAGCAGTGAGCCTTACCCGCTGATGGATGGACAGAAGTGATGACCTCTTGAAACTCTTTCCACACTCGGTGCAGCGGTAGGGCCTTTCCCCTGTGTGATCCCTCATGTGGTACTTCAGCCCTGACGAGCCTTTGAAGGCTTTTCCACATTCTGAACATCGGTACGGCCTCTCTGTGGCAAAACATTTAAAAGATATTTTAGACAGAGTTAGAAAATGATTAAGACCCAGATCCATGCATGCTTTAAGGGCACTACGAAAACCAGCACGACACTCAAAGGCTCCCTTTGAAAGACAGAGAGGAATTTAAAGTGTGCTTTCTCCTGTAATACTAACCACGCTGGCAGGCAAATTGTGTCCGATCCCCCTTCTGTGGATGAATCTTTAACTAGATTGTTTACATCTCTTTTAATCATTCATCCATCAATACAGCAAAACACAGGTTCCCGTTTAAAAAGTTAAGGACGTGGAATATATGTCTATGTGTGACTGTTTCAATAGTTAGTTTAGGTTTTTGTAGTCTTCTGCAATGTGTCATTGTCACAGTGACAACAAAGATCGTGATCTTTACCTCCAGCCGGGGTGCTTTTGCTGGCTCCTGCCTTTCTGTGGGATTTGGTGGGCTTGGCTGGCTGCTGTTCTTGATCCTCGCCGACAGCTATGATGTCGACGTGGATCTCCCTCTGGCCGTCCTGCTGCTTGTCAGCCTGGCCGGGGGACGAGGGCAGGGGGAGGGACAGGGAGAGGGACGGAGGGCACACTATCTCAGCCTCTGCCTCGGCCAGGAGGCGTTGCTCTGGGGTGTGGGAGTGTTGGTGGGTGAGGAGCGAGGAGAGAAGAGGGAAAGAGCGGTCACAGGCAGAGCAGCTGAACTGGGAGCGGGACTGTGATGAAAGGGAGTGCATCTGTGGAAACAAAAGACAAACAGGGGAGATAAAGTTTATTTTTAGATGGGTAAATATTAGTCTTGGTGTCCAATCTGCGGTGCTTTAATCTATTTGAGTGAAGGTAGTAAATTGCCTCTAACAGTTGTTCTCACCAGTGAAACATGTCGGTTGAGGCCTCCGCTGGTCTTAAAGGTCTTATTGCAGTAGCCACATGACAGCCCTGCCCATGTGGTTCTGGCCTCTGGCTGAACGGCCTCAGAACTCTGAGTCACCTCGGTGAAGCTCTGTAACAGGTCAAACTGGGCCTGGGTGGTGCCCACATTCTGAAGAAAAGCCAGAGGAAGTCAAAGACAGACAGATATATCAAAAATATAGATCCTAAAGCCAGACTCATTGGCCTTTTAGAAGCAAATGTTTTTAATTGAAGCACCACCAACAACAGGCCCTCTAACAGTTACACTTACAGTCTGTCTGTCATTGCTTTTCATTAGAGGTGTTTGTTGACTAAAAAGCTATGCAGGAGAATAAAGAAATCATTCCTAATCATGTCTATTTACCTCTTTTTGGTCAAATTCTCCTATACCTGAGGCAAAGCCATCAAATTTAACGCTACAAAATCTACATATACAATTAAACTGAAAGGATATATTGTGAGATAAGCTTTACAGCGTAATTCTGGATGACTCAGGGATTTTCTTTTCTTGTGGGATGGGACGGGTGAATTTGAACTTACTGTACTGTTTCCGTCTGCTCCTTCTGCTAAACCAAGGAGCACCTCTGTCGTTTGGCCACTTTCAGACACAGTGGTAGTTTCCACCACCTCCTCAAAGTCCGCCAGCAGATGCCCAGCTCCCACGAGCCCCTCTCCAACCTCCATCTCGGCACTGTGCCCAGCCTCTCCACTGGGCCCATGCTCCCCCGGAGCCATGTGGATGGCCTGGTGCTCCTCCAGCTCGGTCCGCGTGCCAAAGGTCTGGCTGCAGCTGCCGCAGCTGTAGAGCAGCACGCTGGCGCCGGTGTCAGTGCTCAGGTGAACCTCTGTCCCGATGGCTCTGGATGTGCACACATTCTCCCCAGAGGCAGTGAGGGTGAGGTGGGGCAGGAGGGTTGGATTCTGACCAGAGGTGGTCGACAGGAACACTTCTTCCATCCCCACCCCGACTCCATCAGTTCCTTCCTGGCTCACAAATCCGACCATGTCCGTCAGCATCGATGATGTCACTTCCTCTGTCCCGACCACCACCTCCACTACCTCATTTCCCTTTCTTCTGTCCTCTGCCTTCTTTCCCTCTTTCCCTCCGGCGTTGGCGTTGGAGTGGGAGTTCTTGTGCAGGGCCAAGTTGGACGAATGCGTGAAGCTTCGTCCACACTCGCTGCAGATGTACGGCCTCTCGCCCGTGTGTATCCTCATGTGCTGCCTCAGGTTGGTGGACTGGGTGAAGGATTTACTACACACCGTACATGTGTAAGGCTTGAGACCAAGATGCACATTCTTGTGACGCCGCAGGCTGCTTGAGTTCTTGAAGGCCTTGGGGCAGGCGTCACACGGGTACGGGCACTCCCCAGTGTGCTGGCGCAGGTGGTACTGGTAGTGAGAGCTCCACTTGAACGTCAGGGGGCAATAAGGACACACAAAGGTTCGGAGTCCAGTGTGGACACTCTGATGGACCTGTGTAAAGACAAAGATGGTCAAATCTATCATTTGGTCGCACATTGCTTCCCCTCATAAAATCGCTGTTTGTTAAAGGGATTTAATTGGATATCTGACCTGGAGAAGGGATGAGCGTTTGAAGGCTTTGCCACAATCGTTGCATTTGTAAGGCTTCTCTCCTGAGTGGGACCTGCAAAATGATCGCAAACAATTCAGGAGGACAATGTTTTATCTTGGACAATAGAAGTGTGCAGAATAACCACTAAGAACACATATCTTCAAACTTTGACAGCACTGCAAAAGTCTGATGCTCTTTGGGATGCTCTTTATCTCATTTGTCCAGTCCTTAAAGCACTAAAAAGCTTTTCACATATTTACTGAACTACTGCTAACTGTGCAGAGGATGACTATGACTGTGATGAGGAAGTTTTTCAGTTAGGTACCGTTGGTGGTAGAGCAGAGCAGAGGAGCCCTTGAAGGCCTTGGGGCAGAGGTTGCAGCGGTAGGGTCTCTCGTTGTTGTGGCTCCGCTGGTGGTGCGTCAGCCTGGAAGACCACCTAAAGCTCTTGCCGCAGTCTAGACACTGAAAGGGATGATCCGACTGCTCAGGCTGCTGAGCTGGCTCGGAGACTGTTGATGTCACCATGTCCAGAACCACCTCCTCTCCACCTTCCACTACCCCCTTATCTCCCTCCACAAGCTCCACTCGCTCCTTGTCGTCATCGCCATCCTCTCCCGAGCCAAGAAGTGACGGGAAAGGCGAGAGGGAGGCAGTGGACTGGGGTGGCAGGAGTTCTGTTTGGACCACTAAGGCCACTGAGTTAGCCATCACCAGATCAATCTGGCGGCGGATGTCCAAGTCCCTAGAAAAAGTGATTAGTTGTGGTGCAATATCATGGCGTATTTTTCAGCTTTCCTTCATTCATGTTTTCTTATGGGTCTTTGGTCTTATTTTTTTTTTGTCCTGTCAGCCACTGGAACCAAAAGCTGCCACTCCAAGAAATAGCATCGGGGAAGGTCTAATATGGAGCGAAATGGGACTAACACGGTGTTATAACTTGGTAACTCCCGGAAAGAGTGCCCGCTTGAAATCTGTCCCCTCTCGCCCCTCCCGCCCTCTTGTGCGCCGAGCTGGTCCTCCCTCCCAGCTGTCTTTCCTCCGGCCGTCAGTCCGCGTACAGTACACGGTCCCTGTCCGTCCCCGCACTGCGGTGCTTCATATCAGTCCTCCAACAAAGGCTCCAGCCAACTTACTCATTGTTGTTTTGGTAATAAGTGTGTCCTAAGGTTTCCGGCCAGCGCTGCGACTCAGCGGACAACAAACACGAATATCATTGCTACTGTATCAACAAAAGCAGTTAGTGGCCTTCTTTTAAGGCTAATTAAGCCCTCCTAGATGTGGAAAAGCTTCGTGGACCTGCTCGCTAAGGAAATGAACACAGGTTGAAGCAGTACTCACCGCTTATCTTAAGCTCACCTTAAAGCTAGATTGTGAACGTTATGATAAGAAACTAGGTACCGCAGTGCTAATCCACACAACCTTAACAATAAACACAGCACAAACTAACAGCAGTCCTCCACCCGATGCCGCCTTCTAAGAACAGCGACAGGGATTGGCTGTTTGGTTGAATAGATGAACAACTACTATTGGCCAGCGGTCAAACAGACAGAGCTAAGGTTGTATTTTCTCTTTACAAAAAAAAAATTCTGTTTGTTCGAAAAAACCTAAATGACATATGTGTCAGCTACGTGAGATCTTCTTAATTGTTTTACAAATTTTTATTCACTGCCAATATGTTCATTTTAGTCTGATTGACGCTCAGAATTCTGGGTAACGTAGTACCTTAATGTTCCTGCTCTGGCTTCTGTCACTGCTTACAGTACAGTTATTTACTTCAAAACCAAAATAAATTAGATAATTTTTTTAACCAAGAAAACGTATAGGATAACTGTTGTTTGTTGTATGGAAATAATATATTTTTGCTTCGATTTTCCCTGAAATCTAATGTTTTATGAAAATGTCTCATCTTTAAATTGTCTGAACTGTTGTGTGTCACGCATGCACTTCTCTGCCATGGGTTTTGTGGTTGCGTTTTGTTCTGTGTTGTGTTACAGCCAATGCATAAGATCAAAGATACACTTAAATCCATTGTGCACATTCTCAAGCATTTATTTCACCAAGGCACATATTTCACATTGAGGCCAATCAGTGTGTGGAGGAGGCATGTCGATGTTACAGAAATAATTTAAACGTGATGGTACAATGATAGCGAATAAGAATTAAAAACTGTATAAAAGTACAAAAGGAAAGGAGACTTGCTCCACTGCAGCATGAAATAAATAGTTCCACCAAGTTACTTAAATAAATAGTCAATACTGTAACAAATACTAAAATAGGAATGAATAAAAATCATAGTGAAAAAATGGATAAGTATTCTACACTATATTGTATAAAACAACACATAAGCACTGTATTCAACAATTTACATTCTTGTACATTTATGTACACCTGTACAGAACATAGTGTCACAATACACAGTATTTTAAGGCTTTGGGTGTTTAACTAAAAATAACAAACTTTCAAGCCCAAAGCACAGGTTCAAAATCAGCCACCTCACTCTTCCAAGAGGCTAATCCTAACAAGTTTGTGCAAAGAATCTAATCAGGACTATCAGTGCTCGGCAACAGGGCACATTCATACAACTTTACCACAATGTTATACATGCCTCTTCATGCAGAACATGAGAAATTGGCACTGAAAATAGAAACTCTGGCATTGTGGTATAAAAGCATGCATTCACCTCTTTTGGTTACCATCCAAACATGTACAAATAGATGCTGCAAATTTGATAAGGCGTCCATTGATAAGTAATGACGTGGCATGTCTATCATGGTTATAGATAAAAAAAAAACCTAGTGTAGAAGTATACCGTAAGGGAGCTCTAAATCAAAGATAGTGAAAATTTTGGTTGTCACCGATGCTACATCTACTGGAAAACTGCTGTCTGACAAAAAACAACAACATACAAATGGGAAAAAAGTCTGTTTAAACGAAAGTAATTATCAGAACTGTAGACTGAAGAAGTGCTAATGTTTTTTTCTTTTTCTTTTAAGAATCAGTGAGACACAAGAGAAAGAGACAGATTACAAAAAGGCTGGCATATAAATTCACGTTAGTATGGAAAAAAAAGGTAAGAGTGACACATTACATTTTCAAATAAATAAAATTAAATAAATTACTAACAGTCAATAAATAAATAAATACATAAATAACATGGTCATTAACAAGGCCTTTAGGGAGATAATTTGGCGAATTGTGACAAGATTATTGTAGTGACAGTTTGCTTTAACGGGAATCTTGATGGTGATAACTTGCTGCAGTGTGCCGCATCCTTTCTTGCTCTCTCAGGAAGAGACATTCCTCAACACACATGTCACTGACGATGACATTAGGGCCTTTTACAGGGATGCTGAAGACTACAGTGCACACTGACATGGTCATGTTTCCCCTTTGAGCGCGGAAGAACTTCAGGTGTCCTTGCAGGCTCTTTGGATTATGGATCCTCATTGTGCTGCAGATGCTTTGGGCTTGAGGGTGATGAACGCTCTGTATGCCCAATCACAGAAGAGCTTGAAGTGTTGGAGAAGCTCATGGCTGGACTGCAGGACATCAAAGGAAGAGGGGACGTGTGGGGGGAGAGAAGGGGTTGTATGAGTCAGCCTTGGTGCTTCGACTCTCTGCATCTGTCGGGGGGGACAGGAATAGGAGAAAAAACATCAATTTATTGATTCTAATCCTTAATGGACAAAAACGCTACTTATAAAGCACAATCTCAAATTAAGATTTCATACTGAAAGAGGTCCTTTACCTGACGGTGCAGCATATTGATGAGAGATCTCATTTCTCTGATCATCTCCACCAGCTTGGGTAACGCAGGGTGCTCGTGCTTCTTTGAAACCTTGTTCAGCCACTCAAAGTGGTGCTCGTACAGCTTCAGGTCGGCATGGAGCTGCGAAAGTGTGGGCTTCAGCTGGAAACAGCACAGACATACTTTAGAGACTCAGCACGGGGGTGGCAATGGATGGAACTGGCAGACACAGGCCAGCCCATTCACGCAAATACACCATCATGAGCATTACCTCAAGATTGTTGAGGCCATTGACCGATCTGTTGCTCATTTCTGGCAGGGACCTGAACCTGTGCGATTCCATGTCTGGTTCAAATGCATGCTCCCTCTGAAAGACAAAACAAGACACAAAGGAACCCGTTAGCAGTTTGCATCAGTGCAATTTTACTCTTCCTGAGAGAAGTCACGGCAACATGAGGAAAGTATTAGTCTCGCACCTCCGCTGGATCACTGTTTTCTATGCCTAGAGACGGTAGCTCGCACTCAAGGCCGTGTGGTTGATCGGGTCAGCGTGAGTTCAGCCACATTCAGCCTCCCAAAATGTCAACAATAAGAGCAAATGACCTGAACCCACAGGATGTTTTCTGCTGGGAGTGAGGATAACAACATATGCAGTGACTAAGAAAGCTCCAAGTGGCACAGACAACACAAGGCAGCAGGGAAACTCCCGGGTCACAGCTATAAAAAGGCTGAATGACGCAGTGCTGCTGTCCAGTTAGAGTCGCGCTGTAAACTGTCCCTGCAGCAGATGCCGTGATCATCACCACCAGCAGAGGGGGATAAACTACCTGACTGCCGGTTTCACGAGTGCAGCTGTGCTCGTCCGCCAAACAGATGAGGGTTTAAGATGCAGGGGCAACAAATGGAGACGACTGAAGCGGCACGCGTCACTCCCAATCAGCGGAGGAGCACAACAACATCAAGTCGATGAGTGCGAAGAAATGTTTTGTGTAAACAGGCTCACTGCTTCCTTAACCTGCTGAGAGGTTTTTTCCTTCCCCTGCTGTTTGCCTCAAGTTGTTTGTGTTGATGTTTGTGGCCATGAATGTGCTTCATTGTCTCCCATGTCTCTCCATCAGCCTTTCACAAGAGCTCACTTATGTTTGTTGTCCAATGTTTTGTCTCTGCCGCTTTTGTCCCCCTTCCATCCCTTACTTCCATCTCCTGCTCTCCTCTCAGTCTCTATCTTGCACCAGGTGCACAAAGCGCGTGCGATACACACTTGTATGCAAGTATGCGTGCACACACACGGTACTGGCTTGTCTTCCAGCTGGCCTTCTGATCTCTTCATCTCTTGTGGTTTTTCGCCCCATCTTTCTCAGCCTTTAATTCTCCCTCTTGTCCTCCTTTTTTCGTGCTCTCTCCTCTACAGACCATGACCTCACCCGACAGAACTTAGCATCCCGTCTTTTTCTTCCTGAATGCAAATCCTGGAATGTGATAAATCTTTTTGATTTTTATCGAGTCACTTTGCTGTGGCGACCAAAAGCAAAACACTAAACACCGCACCTATAGCACCATCACTATATACAGAAACCTCAGTGTGCACGCCCACAGCCACAAAAATGCACGTGCACAAACGAATGCACGCTTAAAACATGCGTTTGTGCTGTGAGCACACGCAGGCTTCGAGATTCATACTCGCACAGTAAATCTAGACCTGCATGAGCACACAGATGCACATTTCTGTCTCTAAAGCATCAGTTTCATTGCTTATTTGCAGGGACTTTCCATGGATTCCCATTTTATTTATCTTTCCTAACTGTCCCGTCTTTGCTGCAAATTCCACACAAAAAAGGGGGAAAAAATTATTTGAACCTTTTTTTCTTAATGTTGGGTAACACGTGTCCATACGCCATTGGTTAATGCCGGTGTTCAAGGTTGTGCTGCTATCATGGAGTGACAGAAACTTTGTTTCAAAGCAACAAAGCCACACACACACACACATTTTCTGAGCACTATCTGCTGGCCAAGTCTAGAGAGAGTATGTGTCTATTTTTGATTTGATCCACTGAACAAAAGACTCCGAGGATTTGCATAATGCAAAAATAGCATCGAGATCAGTGGTGTGGAACCAAAGATCCAAAGATATGATCTTACTTTCTTTTCACCTGTTAAAACACAGCGTTGATGCACAATCACCAGCTGGGTACCAAGTTTAGCAAAGTTCTCAAATCTGATTTTGCTCCCCACTTTACAGGCAGCAATTGATGTGAGAAACCGTCTAGAAGACAAATATTCCTGTTTGAACTGGTTTATGAAAAGACTTTCCTGTCTGTCAGCCGGGAGGGAGCCGATCAGTTTTTAGATGGATGTTAAAGGGAATTTAATTGCATCTTCACTGGCATTGCGTTGCAACTTCTCAAGTCTTAATGCAAAGCCTCAGGTGAGGTGAGCCGGCACACCAGGGGGTTGCTGAGTCAGACACCGGCAACACTGTAGGTTTAATTGTGGATTAAGTGTGAGATCATCCCGTCAAATCTTCAATGAGGCATGTATTGCCCTCAACTAAGCATGCAGCCAGTCTGTGATCTATGAAAGCAGCTTAAGGCCAACAGAGGCCTTAAGCAAACCTGGCGCACACTCGATCTATCCGACCAAACAGAGTTTCCACCGATCAGCATGATGCAGAGTTTCGAGGTTACCTAAACTGAGAGCTAACATTAGAGCCTAAATCCATTTAGTGAAAGATCAACGTGTTACGCAGAATCCCCCTCCACCCAAACACCAGCAATTCAATTAGCATGGAGCGGCCTCGTTAAGGTCTCCTCCAATCAGCGGCTTGTTGGTAATGAACATGACGTCATCTTCACTTACCAAAAGTTCTTGGGCTAGCTTCATTAGATTCTTGGTCTGATTGGACAGTTTGTCCAAGTCACTGGCCCGTCGCGGTGGTACCGGAGAGGCAGACGTGAACACGGGCAGCTGGGCCAATAGCAGCGAGAAGAGGAGCGACGAGGAGGAGTCGAGGAACACTGTCAGGGCAGAACAAAAAACGGAAGCAATTAGTGGAGAGGCGCTGACATCTTGCCATAATGATGATGACCTCAGGCCACGGTTGTCAGCTGTGGGGGGAAGATATTGCACCATAGCATAAACAATGGCTCCAGACCTGGCAGAGGAAAACCCGAAGAGCAACAGAGTCATGTTTTCACAGGCTGAACGCAAATCATTAAATCATTACAAGCCCGGGTTTGACACAGAATATCTCCATCACTTCTCAACCAAAAGCAGGGCAATGAATGCTGCTGATTGTCACACCTGCAACTCGATAGGTATGTGAGCCTGTGGTATAAATTATATAGACCAAGCCAAGTTTAACAGTAAGCTTATTCATTCTGTGCCTTTCAAGTTCAAATACAAAGTAGAGTAAGTATTAAAAGGGAACCACAGTGCTGAAATGATGAATGCTTGATAATTACAGGTGGACCACAAGAATCACAGCCAAAATAGCAACCGCAGGAGCTCCGTGTCCCGGTGTAACTTTTACGCCAAAGAATAAAGTTATCCATATCTCGAGTTAGGCAGTAAAGTCTGGCCTGGGTTGAGAATAAATCGTTTAATTGGTAATACAAATAACTTTGTAAAGCCAGTTAAATGTACTTTAGAGATAAAAATGACTTATTAAAAAAAGTAAGGAAAAAAAGATAAAGAATGGAAATGAATATTACAGTAAGAAACAGTCCACAGCTCTGAAGTCACTTACATTTCATATTGGTTCGGGTCCAAGAGACAGGTAAACCAGCAGACAAGCGGAGACAAATAAATAAATAAATAGGAAATTAATAAATAAATTGAACTCCGGAAACTGTCACGTGCCCCGGTTTCTTCTTCGCACTCTTCAGTCAGAGCGAGGAGGAAAGTTGTCAGAATGAATGGGCGCGCGGGGTGATGAGAGGCGCACGCAGGGAGACAGCGGGGAAAGAAAAAAAAACTGAGTCAGTAAATAAAGGAGAAAAAAAGTTTTTAGTAAAGTCTGAGAGGAGCCCCTGTCGTCTTTATAGAGTGCAGAGAGGCACTTGAACAGTTTGGAGAAGGAGAGCCAACAGCAGTGCAGAGAGAGGGATGCGAGTGTGGTAAGTCCAATTTTTGCGCGCAGTGAAGTGTTTAGGCTTGTTTAAAACTTCCTTTATAAAGACGTCGGGCCTATGACACATCGGCAGTGACTCACTTCATTCATAAAAACACGCACACACACACACACACACACACACACACACACGCTCACAAGACATACGCTCTCTCTCCCTCCTCTCTGGCTCTTTTTCCTCCTCCCCTCCCTGCTGCTTGTCTGCCTTTGCGAAACTTTAAAAAAAAAAAGAAAAATGTTCCGTTGTTTTTTTCTTTCCTCTATCACTTCCTCCGTGGCATCGCTACCTGTGCCAATCAGCACACTTGCCTCTTTTTTTAAATCTTTTATCTTAAACATTTTTTTATCTAATCTAAATCTCTTCCCCCCTTCTCTCTATCACCGCAGAAAAAAGCCCATTGTTTTCAGGTGTATCAGCATATCTCATGTATCTTTTAGAGCCTATGCACTCCAGATTTACCTGGCCCTTCTGTTTCTTGTACCTGTGCTGAAGGGAGCAATGTCACCCGGAATGTGTCCCCGCTTGTGTTTTAGGCTACACATGTCACATTCCCTGTATTATAGCTAATACACTCGGCAAACACCTTTCCTCTCCCTCCTTTTCTCACCCCTTCCTCCTTCTTTTTCATTGCCCCTCCTGAGACAGCAGACTGTTATTTCCACTGCCCCCCCCCAACCACCTCCTTCTCCCTTTTTTGCTACTTCTCTCCCTCCTCAGGGTGAAGGAAAGAGTGAGAGACGGATAGGAGCTGGAGAGAGGTGTTGTCCAGGCCAGAAGGGGCCTCTGAAAGTGTTGCGTAGAAACAGCAAGTGGACACACACGCATACACAGAAAGTTTAGGGGTGGGGAGCTCGATGGGGTCAACATACAGAGACACGTTCCCAAAACATGCACATGGATTCGCTCAGACGCTGCGTGCCATAAAAGCACACGGTTCAAATAAACTAAAACGTGCCAGGAGATCTTCCTGATAGATGCAGAAACGTCCCAGCAGTACGCGTTTGCCTCTCTACGTCACACAAACACACACTTGAGGAGCAGGGCAGCCTGGAAACACTCAGTCAGGTGCATTAAAGCATGGCCTCCAGTTGCAAGGGGCAAAAATGAGTTTCCAGTCATCACAGACGGACAGTGAAGGCATCATACTGTACACAAAGTGTAAAGGGAAATCAAAAAGGAGTCTCCCACACACACACACACACACACACACACAAAAGTGAGCAGGGAAAGGGAAAAAAACATTTTTGAGTCTGGGTGTGAGATTAGGAGACCCTCATTCACAGACATAAACTCATGGTGTGGTTAGAAAATAATTAGTGGTGGGCTTTGTATGCGCTCACTCACACACTCATGCACATATACACACAGAGTTGCCAGTCCGGCGGTGGGCCTACACAGACAAACAAACACCCTCCAGAAGATGAGTGCTGGTGGCAGCGAGTGGGTGGCAGAGTTGTTGTGGTGAAAAGGGTCATGCTCTGCTTTCTCGGGTCAACAGCAGAGAAGAAAAGCTGGGAAAGGAGGAGAGCAGGAGAAGAAGGGGAGGAAGTAGATGAGTGCGGTTGGACGTAGGGAGATATTGACACACTCGCTCTTTTTAATTTCCCACATCAAAGGGACGTTTGAAGACACAGCTGGGGAGAGAAGAAAAGAAAGAGTGAAGTTAGTCACTCTCCCTCATTCCCCTCATGATGGGGGTCTACTGGGTGGTTCTGAGGCACACAGTCTGATGTTAGGCCATCAGCCAGAGCTGAGCGCTCACACACTGCAACGCCGGGTGGCTGCCCTGTAAGAGCGGGGAGCGTGCACACACGCCTGGATGTCAGCATGCAAAAAAAAAAGCGTTATGTGTCTTTGTTTAGACTTTTGTGTGTGTGTGTGTGTGTGTGTCAGAGCGGGTATACAGCGGCGCATGTCTGCTGGAAAAGGGGGAATTCAGGGTTTGTGTAAATGGGTGTGCATTGAGTGTATGTGTGTAATTATGGGTATGTGGTGCAGTGTCTGCATAACGTGCATGAGCATCAGTGTTTGCGTGTGCGTCTGTGTGTGAGAGTGTGTTTGTGTGTGGCCTTCATATGCTACCCATTACATCACCAATCTGTGTAAACCACCATAGGAGGAGAAACAGAGTGAGACACTCAGACGACGACCTCAAAGACATCAGAGAGGAAGGGGAACCTGTGACAGGGCCTGCCCGCCTCCCTCTCTGCCAGACAAACTTTACTCACACAAGCTTCACTCAATTTGCTCATGCTTCACACTGGGCTTCCTGTGCGCCTTAGCATGTATTCACACATTATTACGCACCCTTCAAATCACTCGAATGCCTGACTCTCTATATTCACCTTTTGCCAGGTTGTAAATCCACACAGTTGCTCAATTCATGGCCAAGCTCGCTTTGAGAAGTTCTCATTGAAGCAGGTCAAATGTTCTGGGGTTCATTCATTAATGTTCATTAAACATTAACTGGAGCTCTGATTACTTTTATTTGTCGCAGTTAGCATTGCATCATGCTTATTTAGAAGGTTAAGTAATCAGAGGGTTAGTTTTTCAAAATGAGCTCTCAGTTCCTTCTCAAGACTTGCAAGTTTTCAGATGCGAAAACTTAAATGTGAGTTTGTGGGTGACATGGACAATGGCATGTCCCAGGAACGCACAAGGGTTACGATAAACGTATGATATTTCGGTCTGCTTTTGAGTTTTGAGAGACACAGCTCCACAACTTTGGTCGCAAGGCCCAGTGAGGAGATAAATTATGTTTTTGCTGCAGCACCAATAGGATCCTATTGGTCAGGTTTGTACTGCTGCCCTGAGGATTTAAACAGTTGTCATTTACATCTGGAAAAAGATGCCACACATGACGAAAACACAAAGTAAAGGAGTGAGCAGATAAAAAATCCTCAAAAAAAATCTCTGTCACCAATGTCAGAGGACACATGTTGTGGTTGAAAAGATATTAGTCCATTACAGAGGTGTCAGATTATCTATCGGTCCCCTGGAATCGTCAAGATCAGGCCATGCAATGTCCAACTAGAAAGATCTGGTTGGAGTGTTAAATCAGACTGAGGAGACTCAACAACAAGTCACAGCACTGGTTTATTAGTGAAAGTAAAAGAGTATAGTATAGTTACCGTAAATCGAGGCGATGGGACAAAACAACAGGGCAGCCTTGAGAAAAAACACTTATCAGTGAGACTAGTACGAAAAACTTTCGATTTGCATGGGAGTAAAAAGATGGGGCTTTTTAACACTGGGAAAAATGTGCTGTCTGGTGTGTTTGGATTTACCCTGTTAATCAGAGCTAAAAAGCCATCAAAAAAAGGGGATGAAATGTTGGCTTGGATCCACTGCCTGTGTTGTGATCCGGAGTTGTTTTACTTGGTGAAGTGGAGCTTCAGGGCTTTGTGTGCCACAAATGGGATCAGTTGACGACCTGAATATACTGAATGAGCGGGTTTTTCCATCAACAGCTTTGCTTCTTGCCTGATAGTTCAGCCACATTCCAAGATGACAACGTTAAGATTTGTCAGGCTCAGATTGTGAATCAGTGGTTCAGGGAGAAAGAAATACATCATTTTGACACATGGAAGGGCCACCACAGCTCAGACCTGAAGCCCACTGAGAATCTTTCAAAATCTTGGGGAAAACTGAATCTGTTTAGATATTCATTTAACTCCTCTAATTGGTGTAACTATGGAAGAACTGTAGCAGAGTGTTTTTTCTTAATGAATAAAAGATCTAATTCAGTTAAAGGACACATCATGCTAAGAATGCAATAGAAGAAGAAAAAAAGAAAGGAACAAAAAGCTCATAACAAAGAATGACGATGGAGAAAATGCATCAGAAGTAATGAGGGAGAGAGGTTAAGATGTTTCAGCTGTCTCAGCAAAATCAAAGAGCTGGCTCAGTATTACTCAGGGCATCCCCCTATAAACTATTGAAGATACATTTGAACATAAGCTGCACCTGCACAGTGGTGTGGGCTACATTTTTATAACACAAATGTAAGTGTATAACCAATGTTTCTCTTTAGTTACCCCAAAAATATCTTTCAATGGCTGTAAAAAATCAAAACAACTGACTTTACCTTACTGATTATCTGTGTATTCTTCTAACATGAAATGATCGTGTTTAACAATCAAGGTTAAACTGTAATGAGAACAGACTTTGTTCTGTTGGGAATTTCTGTTCTTTGTTTGCCCTGGTGGGATGCAGTCTGATTAAGAGAACAAATACCAGATCAGTTTATTCCAATAATGTTGGTTTTCCCATAAATGTTTATTGCCGTGGCTTAATTTCCATGTTCAGGTGGATAATAAAGTAGTCTTGTGGATTTTAGGGTTAAGTCCCATGTTCTGCTTACCTCAGAATGTCATATGTAAACAGTGAAAACGCTGGCCGTGACGCAGCGTTGCTCCGATGGTAAAAAGGATTATGGCTGGAGCAGTAGTAATAAATTCATCATTTTTATGCTGCACCCTCATTTCCTCAAGGGAATTCCAGCAGGGCTCGAGTAAACAAACAGAGATTACATTCAAAGGGGAAACCAGAGGACCTATTACTGTTAATATTTACTTTGCTATAACAGTACGCTTTTAAGTTTCCCCATGACCTCCTAAATCCCCTCTTCTTTTCCTCTACTCTGTCATTCTGCTCCCCCTTTCATTTTCTCCAGCTTGCTCCAATCTGGGAGTGTATCCTATCTGGGGGAACTGCCATGGTTACCCTAACTCACTGCTCAACACTATCGCAGCCCCACTGCCCTTCGCTCCTCCGCTTGCCCACTTATGCATCAACCTACGTCAGAGAGTAAGTGAGTGTGTTAATAGTTTGGGGGGAACAGGAGAAATAGTGACACACAGAAGGGGGCTGCGGTCATTGGGCAATAAAGTGACGTCTCTCTCGCAGTTAGAGATCAGTGTTAACGTATTACTGTCCTCTTTTCAAATGGATATGTGACATAAAACCCTCGATTTGAGCCACGGTCCATGTTAGCGCCGCTCGAGAGTCTTTAGCTCCGAAAAAAAACCCCCGTGGACAAGATTTACAAATCATCCATGTCAATTGCTC